TGGGTGATTTAGCAAGGTTGGGGTGATTAAGCAAGGTAGGGGTGATGAAGAAACGGAGGGATGATTCAGCAAGATAGGGAGAAGTCAACAAGGTAGGGGTTATTGAGGAAGGTAGCGGGGATTAAGCAAGATGGGGGGGAATTCACCAAGGTAAGGGTGATTAATGCTAGGTAGGGGTTTTTAATCGAGGCATGGGGGACTAAGCAAGGTACGAGTGCTTGTACAAGGTAGAGGGAATACAGCAAGGTAGTGGGAATTCAGTAAGGTAGGCGTAATTGAGCAAGGTAGGGGTGATGGAGCAAGGTAGAGGGAATTCAGCAAAAGGGTGGGAATTCAGCAAGATAGGGGTGATTAAGCAAGGTAGGGGTGATTCAGAATGGTAGGGGTGACTAAGCAAGGAAGGGGTGATTAAGCAAGGTAGGAGTGATAGGGCATGGAAATGGGAATTCATCAAAATATGGGTGACTATGCAAGGAAGGGGGCATTCCACAAGAAAGGGAGAATTCAACAAGGTACGGTGAATTCAGCAAGGGAGGAGTAATTATGCAAGGTATGGGTGATTAATCAAGGTAGGGTTGATTGATCAAGGTAGGGGTGATTAAGCAAGGAAGAGGGAATTCAGCAAGGTAGTGGGAATTCAGCAAGGTAGGGGTGATTAAGCAAGGTAGGGGTGATTACGAAAGGTTGAGAGGATTCAGCAAGATTGGGAGAATTCAGCAAGGTAGGGGTGATTAAGCAAGGTAGCGGGGATTCAGCAAGATAGGGAGAATTCAGCAAGTTAGGGGGTATTTAGCAAGGTAGGGGTGATTCAACAAGGAAGGTGCAATTCAGCGAGGCAGGGGGGATTCAGCAAGACAAGGGTGATTAAGTAAGGAAGGGGTGTTTAATAAATGTAGTGGTGATTGAGCAAGGTATGGGTGATTATGCAAGGTATGGGTGATTAAGCAAGGTAGGGGGGATTCAGTGAGAGAGGGGGAATTCAGCAAGGTAGGGGTGATAAATTCTTGTTAGGGGTTATTAATCAAGGTAGGGAAGATTAAGCAAGGTAGGATTGCTTAAACAAGGTAGATTTTTTTTGGGGGTGTACTCTGATCCCAAATACTTTTTTTCTATGTTACTCTGATTTTTCAGAGAAGTTTTATGTACCTACGCTGAATGTTCTTACTTCTTTTACAAGTGTACTCTGATGCTTCATCCTTGTATGGGGGTGGGACTCTGATTCCACTAATACCGTCATTTGAGGGGGGGGTGCGAGATTTGCGCTGGTACCTCTGTCGTCACCGTCAATCACGTCGAATTTACATTTGCGCTGGCGCGGCCCGAGCCGTCGGGCGGTCAAATTATGTGCGATGGCGCCAGCATAGAGATAGCTCGAACAGCCAATTGGTCCTTGACCAAAACACGGTTGTTTTCACCAATCCATAGGCGTTTTGATGGGTGAGGCACAACAGACGAGGCACCACACCCATGATGACGCGACGAGTGGCTGGTTCATTCATGCATGGACAGCATCTCGCCCGCTGCGATGGAGTTGCAGCTGGCAGAACCCCTCCTTCTCCATCAGTTCATTACTGATAGGGAAAACGACCCTGCTAGTCCCCCCTCCAGCAAAGCTTCACCCAAGCTTCGTGTAGCCCCTCGGTTTTCTATCTGTGCGTTTTTTTTTCCCACCGCGCCTGCAGGCCATGGAGCAGGCCGACCTTGATGAGGACGTAGACGAGGCAGATTATGACGAAGAAGAAGAGTATTGGTGTGCCGAGAAGTTCCGCGATGGTCGCGCCGCGCTAGAGTTCCTGCGCCAGTCCGATGCCTCCGATCATAGCCCTCCGAGGAAGCCTAGTGACGCTGCCCCTATTGATGGCGATGCGCATGTTCCCGATGCAACGGGCAAGAAGTCTGCGGATGCAAGTCCCTTGGCGAGGCACAAGAGCGTTTCAAATCTCGCTGGTCTGATAGATTCCCTTGCCTCATGCTCTTGAAAACTGACGATGGGCTCCCAGCCTTCAAGTGCAGTGTATGCGCAGTGCATGCAGGACCTGCAGGGCGTACCGGCAAATTGGGCAAGGGAGCTACCGACGTGCAGACCCAGTCATTCAAGAAGCACGCCGAGACTCAAAAGCATCGCCTCGCATGTCCAAGCAGGACGATCTCCTGCAACTGGCGTCGAACCAGCAGCGGATCGACATGCATCCCCGTGCGGCTGACGAAGAGAAGGAGCGAGTCATTGCGCTGCTCGACTCCCTCTACTTCTGCGCCAAGTGTAACGAACCCATGGAAACATGGATTCGTTTGGTGCGCTACCTCCTATAGTGTTGTTTCAAGGGCTTCCCGAAGTCGGCCTACGGCACGTACTATAATTGGTGAGAACTCCAGTGACTATGAGCTTCTCTTTGTCTCGTCTTTACACATGATACTTACAACGAGTTGGCTTGTGCGTGTCGTGTAACAGGTACGGCTTCGGTGAGCTGACACAAGCAACAGCAACGTGGTTGCAGATGACTCAACTCCAACACCGGCTGGCCAGTCCCTACATTGGCCTGAGCCTCGACGAAAGCACTGATCACTGCCGTGGCAAGCACCTGATCGTATTTGCCACGTTCATCCGGGAAGGGCGGCTTGTAAGCGAGTACCTGGCTCTGCTTACAGTGGATAAGGCGGATGCGGCATCGCTTCTCGCACTCTTGTTGTCCCATCTGCAGGCGATTGGCGTTGACCTCGGCCGCATCTCTGGAATAAGCACTGACGGCGCTGCCGTCATGATGGGATCGTGCTCTGGACTTGTGGCCCGCCTTCGTCTTTGCGTTCCGCACCTTGTCTCTTGCCATTGCATTGCCCATCGGTTCATCATCCGTTTGCTGTGTACGTGTCATGTATATTTGCTTCTTGGTTCGTTTATACTGCCAATCCCTAATTTTCTTCCTAGTTTGCATCTCATCTCCCTATCCCACGCAGAGAGGCGATGGCGGCGAAGGCGGTTGCCGTGGAGATCCCTGTCTTCAGCATGGTGGACAACGTCATTCGCGAGATCGCTGAGCTGCTCAGTCGCTCCAACCCTTGGCATCAATGGTTCCTGAGGCTGCAGGACGTGTTTATGTCAATGAACCTCGAGCTCCAGGGCATCCACAACATCCGTTGGCTGTCACGCGGGGATGCGGTCATCCGCCTGGTCGTGGTCAACGCCAAGCTATACGCGCTCGTCACCAGTTACCGCTTATGGCTCCTCTTGATGTTCCTCGCCGACGTGCTGGAGCTGCTGAACGTCCTCAACAAGGTCTTCCAGCAGGGGGAGGTAAACTTGTTTAATGCTTGTGTTTGCATGCCTGTCGATGTCGTTGCTTGTCTCTGCTGGTCGTCCCTTAACCACACATCCGTCTATGATGCCCTACCTCTCCTCGTCCCCCTACCCACCAGCTGGACTTCACGACAGTGCACGCGCAGATCATCCGCACGACCTCACTGCTGGAGAGCCGCTATGTGGACTGCGGAGACGACTTCACCGGCGGGCCCAACGATCGATTGACACGGTTCCTCGCCAAGCACGGGCCCGGCAAGTCCAAGCTAGTGACAGTGTCCAGCTGGTGCCCATCGACTCCGACGGCCGACCTTCACGGTTCACCTTCGAGCTGCACGACGAGCTCCAAGAGGACTACCTGGGGCCCAGCGACCACGATGGGAGTGTCGTGGCGTGCATGGCTCTGGCGGAGGGCCTGGTCCGCAACCTCGACGAGCGCCTAGGCGATCTGCGGCAGTTGTCGGGAGCGCGTCTGTTCAGCGTCGACACATGGCTACCCAACTGGGACGGACAGGCACGGAGAACGCAGTGCCTCGAGTGGTTCAACTCGCTCATGGTCATATACCGCGCTGAAGACAGGGACGAGATTCTGCCAGGTGAATCACCGTCTATTCCTTCCGGTATCCTTGCGGCAATGTATCTGTTCAACAAGACACCTATCTTTTACTAGCTGTGTCCTGATTCTGATAACCCAACCCTCTCCCTCTCCTTGTGTGCCCTTGTCTGAGCAGGTATAGACAAGCGCAAAGCCCAGTGCGAGCTCCGCAACTTCGCCCCCGTCCTTGCTGCGCTTCCCAAGGCGGACAAGTCATTCCACGCGGGGCTGAGTGCCATGCTCAAGACGCAGGACTGGAGGGACACCTACCCCAACCTGGTCAACCTGTGGGTGGCGGTGGCTGTCGTTCCATTGAGCACTGTCGAGTGTGAGCACGGGTTCTCCCACCAGAACGTCATCAAGAGTTGGCTGCGGGGGGCTCTCAAGGATACTAGGCTAGGAGATCTGATGTGCATGTCGCAGCTAGAGTATGACCCCGACTGGGAAGAGGTGGTCTCCATCTGCCGGGCTTATAAGAAGAGGAAGCCCCTTAGTTAGCAATGCCTTGCCCGAGGCCAGTAGCAGCAAGAAGGGAAAGGAGAAAGTAGATGATGATGATATGCCGGCAGCACCTCAGCAAGATATGCAGGATATCGACTGATTATGTGCATGTAGTGAACTGTAGTGCATTCTCTAATGAAGTGTTAAGACTAGAAAGATTGATTAGAAGAAGGGAGAACAGGGGAGATATAGTGTTTGGGTTGTACCCACTAAGAGCATACCCTATCTAGCCTATAACTTCTACATAACAATATGTATAAGTTGACATGAAGAACCATAAAAAAGGCTCATACAAAAGTTTGGCTATGACTCTGATTGGTCAGACAAAAAATCCATGGCTACTCTGATTTTTCAAACTTTTTCTAGGAGGTGACTCTAACACCCATACCAAGGGAAGGGAGGGGATTCTGACGAAACAGGCAGGCCCAAAACCAATTTGGGGGCCTGTTATAGACTACACAGGGTTGTGCCTTAGAAAGTACAACCCACTAGGTTACCTTCCCTTGTACGGTATGACATGGTTTTAGTCGTTCGTTAACTATGATAGTACCAACCTTAATTTAGGAGGCTTTTTTCCAAGGCCTATCATGAAATGAAATTCAAGATATTTTTTAGGGAATTCAGAACTTTCAGCAGGGAATCCTGAAAAATCAGGCAATTCTTTTTTGGGAGTCCAGATGGACTGGGACACCTGAAAACCAATCTAGGGGCATGTGCCAGCACACCTAAATGTACATTTTAGAGGTGATGTCATGTTACTTTTTGTGCCGTCTTAATTGTGTCTTTAGAACAAACTGAAAGACGTCAGCCCATACGTCTGGAAGTCCTGGCAAACACCAGTGAGTGCAGTCCCACTTGGTTTTGCTGTTTGTCTTGGAGCCATAGAAGAGCTTTACATGGGCGTCTGGGCGGAAGAGGGAGATGCGAGTGATGTCGATGATTCGGAAGGGTGACTTCCTCAGCTCCCTCACCTCCAGCCCCCTGAAGGCTGTTGCGATGTCATGGGCTGCCACTGCTTGGACTCGCTTCGCCGAGATGGGTGAGGTGCGGCGGCATGTGGGGGGGTTGCCCCTGGAGTAGTGAGAGGGGGAGTAGGTGAGCCACATGGGCACGCCGCGGTACTTCTGCTCCACGGCCACGAAGCGCTTCACGTTGCGCATGGCGGTGCGGTACGCAGCCATGCCGCTCATGCGCACGACCTTGTTGTTGGCCACATACACGGTGGAGCGCACGGCCTCGGCGCCCTGCTTGTCCAGGAACCAGTGGCCCGACATGAACACCGTCAGGTCCACATGTTGCAGCACGCTGGCCCACTGCGCGTCCATGTCGTCCAGCCACACCACGTACCGGCTGCCGTCGCCTGGCTTCAGCCCGTACTGCCGGAACGCCCAGTCCGCGTTGCTGTAGCGCACCAGGTACGGCGCCACCACGGCCACCAGCCTCAGGTTGTAGCGCGGCACGGCCAGCCCCGATACGAGCGTGCCGCCTAGCCAGCCGGACCAGGGCTCGACGCGGTCGTCCACGCCCAGCTCGCACGCGATGGCCTGCTGCAGGTTGCGCGAAAACGAGTCGCCCACGAACGCCACCACCTGCGCACGCGCACCAAGGAAGGGGGGGGAGGGGGGGAAAGGGGGGGAGGGAGTGGGGGGGGAAGGGGGAAGTCAGACGGCGGCGTGGGAGTGGTTTGCAAGAAGGCAGTGCGGGAAGCAAGGCAGGCAGGGAGAGGACGGGAGGGACGGGCATGGCTGTCAAGTGAATGAGCAGGGTGGGCACAGGAGTCGCGGGGAGGGGTGACTGACCTTGTTTCGGAGGGTGGCTTTGAAGTAGGCGCGGTCGAAGCGGCGGATGGTGCAGGCGCGCGGCTTCCACGAGTACTTGGTGTACGCCGTGTCCCGCCGCCCGTTGCCCTGGCAGTTGAACGCCGACCGGATCCACTCGCACTTGCTGCTGTACGACCGCCGCCGCGGGTCGTACACCCATCGCCCCGCCGTGTAGTCGCATGCTGCACGCCGTGCGACACCCACGCACACCCCAGGTCGCAACCCCATTGCCGTCGCACAGGCAGAGGGGCACCAGACAAGAACAGCAGCGACACAAAACCAAAAATGGCATAGACACGGAAAAAAAAAAAACATAAGCTCTGGGTTTAGGGCTACAGAACGCTGTGGCGGCCAGCGGAACCATTGCGATAGGGCGGTACCCAGTGCAAGGACGTAGAAGCAGCAACCAAGGCGCGGGGAAGCGCAGCACGGAACAGAGGGGGCGAAAAGCAGGAGCGGAATGTGCACGAGGGGCAGGGGGAGCGGCAAAGTGCAGCAAGGCACAGGGGGGGCGGAGGCGCAGCCGGGTAGATCGGGAAGCGCGCAGACAGGATGTGGGATTAAATTGGGGAAGGGTGGCAAGAGGGCGGGGCGAGGTATTGGATGGAGCGAAGTGTGCGCGGATCGGGGAGCGAGGCGGGCAGGCGCGCGCTTACCGGCGAGTCGACGGCGGCTGGAGGAGTTGAGGGGCGGCAGGCGGTCGAGGTCGTCCTGCCACGTGGACACCCGCGAAATGTTTTCCGCACGCATTGCGGCATCCGAATTTGGTGGCCAGGGCAAGGAGAAGCGCGTGACGTCAGCAGCTACTGCGGCGGCTGCCATGATTCCTGGCACGACGGCAAGCAAGGCAAGCGCGAGCAGCAGAGGGTGCAAGGCACGCGTGTGAGTAACTGTTGCCGCTACGAGATGCTACCAACAGTCCTTCACGAAAGCATTAGCGGCTGCGCCAGAAAGGGTTTGCATTCTCGTGGGAATTGCGTGTCCGTTGCTTGTCTGCTATGGCGTTGGACGTGCAACCTCACCGCCAAGAAGCGCAATCAGCGACAGGGATCGACGATTCCATCGTCCACCTATCGTCATCTACCGCCTCGCTCGCTACGCGCCAACCGCCGCGAGTGCTACGACCGCTCCTCGCGTGTGGCGAACACCTGTGGTCGACGCGGATGCGAGAGATGACGACGCGATGTACGCGAAGAGTTCTAGAGCGGGGTCGTATCTCTTGCCTCTCAGCGAATTAGCCGCATCGCGGCATTCGTAAAGGGGTGAGCAGCGGAGTCACAGGGCAGCGCATGGAGGTCGATTAGTGGCGTGGCGAGGGAAGCAGGAAAGGGTGAGTGAGACTGTGCAGGGAGAGCAACGGGCAAAGGGGAACCAGAGCAAGGGGTGTCGGGTGCGGGTTGGAGTGGTGGTGTGTTGAGCTTGCCTCGGCTGGGGCCCAGAGAGCATTTGTTGATGTTTCTTGGGCAAGTAGCCAAGCGCACTGCGGGGGCAGTCGGTCCCTCAGAGCTGATTCTGCACCTCGGGTCTGACCTGAGGCTGACCCGCGGTCGAAGGAGCCGCGGGGTTTAGAGGCCCAACCTTGGGTCTAGTGACTTTGACGGTCATGCGTCTACAGAGGTGCAGAATGTCGCAAAACGAGTTGACGATGTACAGAAAACCGCACAGAGTCGTCGCAAAACGAATTGGGAGGTTTACATTGGCGGGCGATGCACTTGCGCCAATCTAGTCCGGTAGGTTTGTATGCGAACCGTGTGTTTCCAGTCAAGCAGCCATCAGGAGTCGTAAGACCCGAGGCAATTTTTTTCCACCTCGGGTGTTCCCGTATGATTCTAGTGTCAGAGCTCCAGAATCATCCCTCAGCCCAGCCTGGCAGCTGGATGGCATGGCATCACATCGCGTCGCCTTGAATCGCATCGCGCCTCGTTCGCGCCCTGGCCGAGATGAATGACTGCGGTGCGGTCCCCCCTCCCATCCAGCTGCATCGAAGCGCTCAATTGAGGGCCACCGTAACCAACACCCGAACCAATCCGCTCCAACGGCCAGTCACAAACGGCGTCAGATCTGTCAGGTGAAGTGCCCCTTTATAAGATTTTCATAATCATGGCACTACAGATTGCATAACGGCTTCATACGGAAAATAGCCATGTATGAGTATACTCATTGTCAACCAAAGCGTCTCGACAAATCATCGAAGTACCTTGCGAGATGGGGCAAATAATTAAGTACTTCCTGCATATAGTTCCGGCCTGGGTGCCTTCTGTATAAAATAGGTGCAACCAACAACCTACCACTGGGGGTGAATAATTACAAACCCCCTAGAGTGGTAGAACATGGACAGCATCTTGGAATGCTGGGATCTGAGACGTCAGATAATGACTTGATACTACTGGAAGAGCATCTTCCACGAGAAGCAAGCGACCTTAACACCAGCTGATCTAGGAGCCAAGCCAAACTTATTCTCCACATGAACTAGTTTGACCCGCTTGGTCTCCATCTTGCGTTCTAGGGCCTTTCCCCTCCGCTCCAGTGCTGCCATCCTGTGCACGATCCGTTCTGTGCGCTCGATCAGCGCGCGTGCCTCGTCCGCCTCGCCCTCCACCTCGGCCAGCATCTCCCTCACCTGGCCGCGCTTGTCGCTGCCCCTGCGCCCCAGCACTGCTGCGGCACGCAGCCCCATCTCCGCCGCCAGCGCGGCCCTCTCGCGCAGCCCGTGCATGGCGATCAGCAGCTCGTCCCGCCGCGCCTGCAGCTCCTTGAGGCCCACAGCGGGCCACTCCTCCCCCTCGCCGCCCGCCTCACTGCCCCCTCGCACTCGCCCCCTGCCCCTGCGTGCCGTGCCTGCCCTCCTGGAGCTGCCCCCCGTGGATACTGCCTGGTCAGCCTGGTCAGCCTCCACCGCTGCCACGCCCACCTCCTCATCTGCGCCACCAGCGCCATCCGGGCTGGCCTCCCCCCGCCTCACACCCTCGTGCTGCCTTGACCCCGCTCCTGTCTCCCGCCCACCCTGGCCCCCTTCCTCATCCACAGCCCCTATCTCCGCCACGCGACACCCGCTCGCCAGCCCCTTCTCCCTGATGCCACCACTGCCCTCTGCCCCGATTGCAGCGGGGGTGCTGCAGCGTTCACACACAGCAGCGGGTGCAGCAGGGCCAGCAGCGCCCCTGGAAGTCAGCTGGTGCTGCAGCTGCAGCTGGCGGTCCAGGTGGGCGCAGCGTGCCTCAGCGGCGCGTGCGCGCTGCACGGCGACCTCAAGGGCGCGGTCCTTGACGTCCACCACCTTGGTGGTCAGCTCCAGACACACACGCAGCTGCAACACGCGCTGCCGCACGCGGCCCTGCGACGCCACCGCGCGCTGCGACCGCGCCACCTGCGCCTGCAGCGCCCGCACCTGCTCCTGCAGCCGCCCGTTCTCCTCCAGAGCCTGCTCCACCTCCCTCTCCCGCTGCTCCTCCCCCTCCCCCTCCCCGCCACTCGAGTCATAGTACCGGGCCACAGCCTCCTTGGCGCGGCTCCACGCGCCCTTGCGCGGCACCGGCAGCGTGTACGTGGACTCGTACTCGCGGCCCTGCGTCTCCTCCACACGCCCAGCGCTGTCATCATGAGCCTCCAACGCGTCACAGGCATCGCTGTCCCCGCCAGGCTCCGTAGCTCCAGGCTCCTCAGCACCTACCGCACTCGCCCGCACTCTCCCATCACCCGCACCCTCACATGCGCCTCCCCGCCCCCACGCCTTGCTACCTGCCGCCATCTCTGCCCTCCCTGCCCCCCCCCCACCTGCTGCAGCTTGCCCTCGGTGGGCCCCACTGCTGTCTCCACCCGCATTGTCGCGGCTGCGCCTCGCTGCTTCCCCTTTTTTTGCATCACCATCAGCATCGCCACTGCCATCGCCAAGTGGAGCTTCTGCCTTGCTTCTCTGAACCATGTCTCGCCACGCTGCGCCTCCTGGGACCTGCTCAACACACTTCCCTTCCACCGCCTCCTCAACCCTCTCCGCCGCTCCATCTGCTTGCCATCTGCTGCGTTCCTGCTCCACCCACCCGCTGCCCGCCCCCACACTGCCCCGCCCGCCCTCCTCTCTCCTGTGCAGCGCAGCCCTGAGCGCCTCGTTGTCATCGCGCAGCCGGTCAATCAGCGCCACCGCCAACTCCTCACGCTGTGCCGCCGCGTCCGCCTGCGCCTGCAGCCGCGCCAGGTCGCCGTCCACAAGCGCCATTGCCTCTCGCTGTTCCCGCTCCCGCTCCGCTGCCGCCCGCAACGCGCCCGCCAGCTGCCCGCGCAGCACGGCCACGGCGCTGCTGCCCTCCTCTCGCACGCCCTGCGCACACGCCTCCGCCACACTCAGTGCTGCGGAGAGAACACGGGGGGCAAGGGGGAACGGGTGCAGGAGGGAGGGGCATTGGGCACAGAGGACACAGAGGGCGGTGGCAGGGTGAGAGCAGGACGGTTAGAAGGTGGTGGCAGGGTGAGAGCAGGGGTGGGTCAGAAGGTGGTGGCAGGGTGAGAAAGCATGGGGTAGGGAGGGGCGCTGACCGTTGCGCGAGTCCGTTAGTCGGTGGCGCAGGTGGCGCAGCTCGTGCTCCAACTCCACCTCCTGCCGCACACACGTGCGGATGGGCGCGCACACGCACAGGGGATGGGCGCGCACACGGAAAGGGATGGACGCATAAGGCAAGGGGATGGGCGCACACGGGCAAGGGGATGGGCGCATAAGGCAAGGGGATGGGCGCACACGGGCAAGGGGATGGGCGCATAAGGCAAGGGGATGGGCGCACACGGGCAAGGGGATGGGCGCATAAGGCAAGGGGATGGGCGCACACGGGCAAGGGGATGGGCGCACACGGGCAAGGGGATGAGCGCACACGGGCAAGGGGATGGGCGCACACGGGCAAGGGGATGGGCGCACACCGGCAAGGGGATGGGCGCACACGGGCAAGGGGATGGGCGCACACCGGCAAGGGGATGGGCGCACACGGGCAAGGGGATGGGCGCACGAGGCAGGGAGGGACGGTGAGGGTATGACGAGACACGGGAGGGACGAGGCACAGCACGGACAACATGGCTGCCAGGGGGCTGGAAGCAATGGGCTGCACAGCATGCTGCTGGTGGCTGCACGGCCATGAGGCTATGCTCGGGTGCCCCCACCCCCCCTGCACCTACCTTACGCTGCCACAGCGCCTCCTTGTCGCGGTGCGCGCCCAGCAGCACCGCCACCTCCTCCTCGTGGTACCGCCGCGCTCGCTCCGTCTCGCGCCGCGCCGCCGCCACCTCGCCCCGCAACTCCTCCACCTGCCGCTGCGCCTCCTCGCGCGCGCCCCTCGCGCCCGCCGCGCGCTCCTCCTCCAGCGCACGCTCCGACCGCGCCTGCATGGCGGGGGAGGGGGAGGGGGTGGGAGGGGAAGGGGGGGAGGGAGAGGATGGGTTGTAGAGATGGTAAGAGGGATGGCAGGAGGGATGGCAGGAGGGATGGCAGGAGGGATGGCAGGAGGGATGGCAGGAGGGATGGCAGGAGGGATGGCAGGAGGTCGAGCGGGGGACGCAGGCGGGGCAGCCGCAGAAGGGGCGGGCGGGAGAGTATGATAAGGGCGGAATAGAAGGGACGGTTGGGGGGACGGGGGGGGGGTGGCGACGGTAGTGATGGCGTGGTCTACGGGCGGGCAACAACTGTGGCATCCCACCACGGCACCGCTTCCTCTCACGCACCTCCAATTGCCCTCTTAACTCGCTGCACTCTATGCGTGCCGCCCACAGCTCGAGTCGCAGGCGATCCATCTCCGCGTGCACGCTGTCCACCTGCGACCCGGCGGGAGGAAGGGGAGATGAGAAGGCTGACGGCGGGAAGGGGAGACGAGACGGCTCACGGCGGGAAGGGGAGATGAGACGGCTGACGGCGGCCGAACGGCAGGGAGTGGCGTGCGGCCAGACGGCAGGGAGTGGCGTGCGCAAGATGGGGATGCGCGGAGCGAAGCGAAGAGAGCAACGCGCGGCACGGGAATGAGCGCACACGCGGGGCCCACCTTGACCGGGTGGAAGAGCGGGCGCGGAGGCGTCTCGCCGTCCTTCCCCGTGGCGCCGGCAGTAGCGGGCCCATCGTGGGCCGCCGTTGACACCGCCGACGTGGCCGCCTGCGCATTATTCTCCAAGACTGATGGGGCGACGCTGTCCTGCGACTGGTGTGCGACGCTGTCCTGCGACTGGTGTGCAACGCTGTCCTGCGAGTGGTGGGCGAGCACGCAAGGTAGGGAGTGGCGAATTGAGAGGGGGGAGCGGGAGCGAGAGAAGGGGGCATGGAGAGATTCGCCACAAGAGCTGCGCGCGGGACGTGCGGGGAGGCGTCGAACCTTTATGGGTGGCGCCGTGCGTGAAGACGGCCATCCCGTGCGGTCGTGCCACAGATAGTCCATTCCTCGTGAATCTCGCTCGCTGCCGGAGAATGCTCGTCCGCGAGCGCAATAGAAATGCCGACGACCTCGCATTCCACCCAAGTCGCCGTCGACCGCAATCGCCATGGCTCGGTGAGGGGGGGGGACGCAGTAGCTCTGTGGTGGTTGGTGGGTGCTGGTGTTGAGTGCGGGAAGAGCAGGTTGCGGCAGGCACATGGCCCAGCCCGATGGAGAGTTGGGGGAGGTGTTTTGCAGCTCCGACTGTCGTCCCGTGTGGTGGGTGTGGAGTGGAGTGGGGTGACGGGAATTGCACCACCCGCCCAATCTGGCTCCTGTGCAAGGCGCTGCACAGCCCCACATGCTGCACCCCTGTTCCATCTTCGGTTCGGGCAGTGTCGACGGTCAGAGACCCTTCGGTCATACCCATTTTGACTTCACACAGATGCTCTTGTACACACTCATCACGTCGTTCAGCTAGGGGCGATCAGCATGCGCCCTGCCCCCCTGAGTCTCAGAATGGAGTGAGGCTATTTACCCAGACGTCATCTCATCGCCCCGTTGTGGCGGCTTGCTGGCGCCACTGGCCATTTCCATAAGCCAAGCTGCTGGTGGCCCTTCCCGCAAGCCAAGCGTGGCATTTTTCGCAAGCCATTGTCTAGGCCTTCGCAAGCGTTTCGCGAAATCTGACTATTTTCGCAGCCAGCGACTTGGAGGGATTGAATGAGGGCGCGGCACCACGAAGGCTCAAATTTCTGCGTCACAACGGTACACTATGGTACACTACGTGGAACAAGCACCTAGGTCCGAGTGCATAAAACGTTGGGTACTCAGGCCTCGTTTTGAAGTTTGGCCTAACTTTGAAGTTTAGCCACCCGACTCGCCACGTCGGAATAGCATGTTGCAATGTTTGGCGGGGCGATTCGAACTTTGGCCAACCACACCTTGCCGGCCAGAATGCGTGCGACGGGGGTCCACGGCTGCGACCAACAGCGAAACCTGGTTTCTGGATACTTGGCCGGCGACGCCAAAGAAATGTGACGTCGACCAAGCCACAAAAGCAGCACCATCCTGCCTGGCGCACGAACAGCCGTCAAGTTGCGAATGCTCCACTCTTCTTCACCAAAGCCTTCATCAACACCCCAACCAGAATGAGATGTTCTAAAAAACATGCGTGCTAACTGTCTCGAGCTTCCTATCTTTGGTTGGGAGAACCCTAGAAGCGCTACCTAGAATTACTTGGCATACGGGTTTTAGCTCTTCATTCTAGTGGGGATTTTGATGGAATTTTTTCAAGACAACTTTCCCAAAATTATCTGGAAGCTGGCCGTCATGTCTCGCAGTCCTCTGCGACCCAAATTGTGTTCTCTCGCATACCGTTTTATGGATCGCATGTCGATCTGATTTGGCGCGATGGGGGACCTTTCGCAAAATGTCGTTGCCTGGTTGGTCGTCTAGTTTTTCGCGGAGGGGTTGGCCAAAGTTCACCTACCACAACTTTTGCCAACCAAAACCTCAAAGTTTGGCCCAACTTTCGCTAACGTGGCAAGTCGGACGGCCAAACTTCAACTCGGCCAAACTTCAGAACGCGATCTCACTTGCACTCCAACTATGGGGAACAAGGGTTTTGAGCGCACAGCAAGGGCAACCGAGTTTAGAGAAGAAAATTGAATTTAGGTTAGCATGAATGTTGTGTTAAGAAAGGGCTAGGAACTAGGAATAGAACTAGCAAGGGGTTTAGCTAGGGTAGGAGAAAGTTGACGAGAGAAAAGAGGTGCACTAAGAAAGAGGAGGAGATACAAGAGGGGGAGGGGGGGGGTTGTCCTCTCTACAGTAGGGTTCAGCGATGTCGCACACCTACTAAGCCTAACAAACATAAATCAAATATAAATCGTAATCCCCCGTATTCTACAAGATTCATGCTAAAAAGGGGGGGTGGGTTCTCTATTTCGCATTTAGGCTATAGCACTCTGGTGTTATATTTGAGGATGAATTTTTTTTTTTTATGTGCATTGTGATCTCTGTAGATCTCTGTAGAAATGTCTTATTTTGGGCTCGATCGAGCATCAAATGTGCGCGATATGAAGGTTGGAAGTGGACCAAAGGGTTAAGCCCGTTATAGTGATCCATGCAGCTGGAAACCAGTAGAGGACCATAGCACGAAACTCTCTCACGTGCGGGATACCTCTGTTGTCACTCGGCGACAGCGCGTTGCCTCGGGCGACACGTTGAACGTGTCGCCCGCCAATGCCGTGACGCTCAGGCAAGGGGGCCTCAGCAGAGGTATTTCTAGGTGAACCTTTGTGAACAGGCCTATGTCTGTACCCCTTTCTTTCTCAACCTGTTCTCTCAAACGCATGACAAACGCTGGAATTAGCGTTCTCTTCAGCCATAGAGCAGCTAAAAATGCTAGCACCTCTAGCCATGTTACGCATACCGCAGGTTCTCCTTCTAGCCGCGCAGCACCAGTAGTGCAATCGATTGCTACGGGGTGGTTAATGGTCGCACGCATGGCAAAGGTGCAGCCGGTCATGATCCGCGAGTGGCGGAAGGCACACGAGCAGCTAAAGGGAGCGGCGCCTAGTCGGAAGCGTCTTCGCGGAGCCGGCCGGAAATCCAAGTACCCCGACATGGAGCGGGCCGTCTTCTGCCGCTATCTCTGCGCGCGGCGACGCGGTCTCCCCGTGTCAGTGGGGGTGCTCCAGTCCTGGAGCCGCGACTGGATGCGCGACCACTTCCCGACCGTCGACTGGAGGGCGTCGTCGCAGTGGTCATTTCGTTTCCGCCGTCGATGGGGCCTCACGGTGCGGGTTAAGACGATGATGGGCAGAAGCTTCCTGCTGGTAAGCTCGCTCGTCCCTCACTCATGTCTAGTGTTGCATACCCTTTGCACTCTGGCTGAGTCTTAAGACAGCTTCTGTGTCTCTTCCTCCTCTTTTGCTTGTCAGGTAGCGCGCTCAAATGCGAGCTCTTATGGCCGTTTGTTCGCTAGATGACGGTCAAGAGGCAGATCGCGCTCGAGAACGTTATAAACGCGGATCAAACTCAGTTGTATCTCGAGAAGCCGCTCGAGTGGACCCTCGAGCGTCGTGGCACCCGCACCGTCCACGTCCATACCGCGGGGTACGAGAAGGAACAAGTGACCGTGATGCTTGCATGTACGGCCACCAGGGAGAAACTGCCGGCCTATGTCGTGTTCAAGCAGAAGAACCCCTCGAACTGCTACACTCTCGTGTGTATGTTCTGTCCCATGATACGCGTCCATGAATTCGCCATGGTTCTTAAAAACCAGTGTCAAAATGTCTCGACAAACAATTAAATACGTGCAAAAAACCCCCTGCCCCCCTCCCCTCATTCAGACGCAGTGGTGCGCGCCCAGCCAGAGGGCTGGATGGACGAGCGCCTCGTCCAGGATTGGACAAGGAAGGTCGTGGTGCCCTTCCTGTCGCGGCGGCACGGACCTCGATCGGCCTCGCTCTTTGTGCTGGACTCGTACAAGGGGCACTTGACTTCGACAGTGCGGGCTACCTTCTCCCTCTTCTAGCTCTTCCCCGCAGTTATCCCCGGTGGCTGCACACCCTACATGCAGCCACTAGACGTCAACATCAACAAGAGCTTTAAAGCGGGGGTTCGTTCATAGTATACCAAGTGGTTTGCCGAGGAGGGCATCAACTCCACCACGAAGGCCGGTACATATTGTTTTGTTCTCTTCCCCTCCTATCATGTGCGCTTGTTCCGTGTTGGCTCACTCTCTGAACTCTACTAACCTGTCTGTTTATGTTGTGCCTTTCAGAGAATCTCAAGAAACCGCCTCCAGAAATCGTCATGAAGTGGATCTCCCGTGCCTGGGTGGCCGTCCCTGAGTCGGTCATCACCAAGGCATTCAAGACCTACAGCGACGGAAAGTATTGCCCGGATAAAGTCCAATTTTATGTTCAACACATGATTTGAATGCTTTCACCCGATGTATCGTTGAATGTTCATTGCTGACTAGTAAGTTACGCGTGCCAGTTACAATAGGGTAACACGATTGCAATTTGAATGGGTCGCACTAATAGCGTGGACAAGATTTCAGTCGCGTGAGTGCATCCGGACAGTTTTGGCCAAGCAGCGGACTAGATCCGTTTTCGACTAGCGCATTCTCTCCATAGTTCCTAACGCAATCGTCGAGTAGTCAGAATAGAGTTTATACCCGAGGCGTAGACTACGCCAAGATGAGACCGATAGATGAGGCTCGTCGCGCCCGGATCGTGGCCCTGTTGCGTAGGGGGTTCAGCACGAGGCAAATCGCGAAACAGGTTGGCGTTGGGAAAAGTACAGTACATGATGTCGGGCTCAAGGCGATTTCAGAGACTAGTCCTGAGGACGTACGTCCTACAATGCCCACTGCTGGTCGTCCACGCGTACTGACGAGTAGAATTCGTCGTGGGATCGTCAGGGCGATCACTAGCGGCGAGGCGAAAACCTCGAGGCATGCGGCCCAAATCGTCGAATCCCAGCACGGCATCACGGTGCATCCTAGGACGGTGCGTAATGTGCTCAAATCCAGCGGCCTTATCGCAATTCAGCAGCCTAAGAAGCCGCGACTCTCCAAGAAAAATATCCGCGATAGGCTGGCGTTCGCACGGGCCCACGCGGATTGGACCATAGATGATGGGCGACGGGTCATATGGTCGGATGAGACGAGGATTAGTAGGTTCGGCTCTGACGGCCGCGCGTACGCCTGGGTTCGTGAAGGTACGACTCTCCAACACCACCAGATCAAGCAAACCGTCAAACACGGGGGCGGCGGCTTGATGCTCTGGGGATGTATAACGTTTGAGGGGGCGGGTTTCATGTGCAAAATCGATGGTCGGATGGACGGGCCGCTGTATCTGAGCATTTTGCAAGACGAGCTGAAGAAAACCATCGACTTTTACAAGCTAACCCCCTCAGCTGTGATCTTCCAACATGATAACGACCCCAAGCATAAGTCCCCGTGTGGTGCAACAGTGGCTTCAGGAGCAGGAGTATGGGGTCCTGGAGTGGCCGGCAGGAAGTCCTGATCTGAACCCCATTGAGCATCTGTGGGCTCATCTTAAAAGGGAGCTGGGAAAGCATGAGACACCTCCCTCTGGTATGGTGGACCTGTGGGAGCGTGTACAAGAGCAGTGGGAGAAGATCCCATCAGAGGTGTGCTCCAATTTGATCGACAGCATGCCCAGGAGGGTGAAAGCAGTGATTAGGGCTAAAGGGCGGTGGACCAGGTACTAGTTTAAGGGTTTTTCAAGTTGCTGCTTCCGCCTGGAAATAATTGTCCACATGCACCGTGTTTGGTTATGTTTGCTGTTTACTGTTAACGATAGTAGTTTCATCAAATGTGTAGCATTTTTATGTCTCCCTAGATTGGCCTGCATATAGTGGGTAATGCCTCCAATTAAGGCTTAATGTTCAAATGCCCTTTAACCGTGGAAATTCAAAAAATTGCCAAACATGTGGACAATTCTTTCCGTCAGTGTATGGCATATCGAATGCCACTGATGGGAGCGAGGATCAACTGGTCCTCGCTCACATGCGGGGCGGCAATGAAGTGGAGGTGCTGGAGGAGGTTGTTCCTGAAGACTCCCCCAACCCCCCTGAGCCGACTGCCGCTGTGCCTGCCCTGGAGCCCCGCAGCATTCCAAAGGTGGTCTCGGAGCCTCGAGACGAGGATGCCTGCTCGGAGGACTTCTCAGGATGCGACTCCGACGAGGAGAGTAATGGTGAGGCCGAGGTGGAGGGAGAGGAAGAGGACGGGGAGGAGGAGCTGCCTTGGGAGGATGAGCTGTAGGACCTTAGCACCAAGCAGGGAGGCTGTGGAGGAAGACTCAGCATAGGGGATGCATTCTGTAGACTGCTGGGTGCATTGGTGGCTGAGCAGGGTTTAGGGTTTAGGGCATGAATGCATCTTGTTGTTGTTGGAAAATCAAGCTTGAAGTTGACTATGAGCAAAAACAAAACATAGGCAAAACTAACAAGGGGGGTGCTCTCTTGGAACCCTCAAAAAGGGGGTATATAATTGTGGATTCTTCAATAGTATACCCTTCCCGGATACAACACCAGGGGGTGCTTAATTCCGACGGGTGTTATATCCGGGGGATTACGGTATATGATTTAACACACCCCCTAGGCTTGGTAGTGGCAAGCCCACCCCCACACGCAGCACCCCCACACCCTTGCAACCCCTATGCCCTGCAGCAGCTGTGGCGTCGTCAGCCCAGTCGACCTCTCCACGTGCGAGGCGGCGACATCAGCGGCGGGGGCAGCGACGGCGGCAACAACGACGGTACGACGACAGTGGCGGCTGCGACGGCAGGTGGCGGCGAAGCCAGCGGCACTTGCAGCATAGGCGGCGGCTTCGACGGCGGCGGCGGCGGCGACGGAGACCGCGGCACCCGGCGACATGGCCCAGCTCAGCAACGACGGGGCCGCACTGCGTGGGACAGCCATCGGCTGCGGCGGAGAGAAAGGGAAATGCTGAGGAGGGGGGCGGAAGCTGCAGTGAGGCGTCATGGCGGCGCGGCCCTGGCTAGCGTGCGGGCGAGCTGGACGCCACGGCAGCTCGACGACGCTGCCACGGCGCGGCGTCGCTGCCGCGGCAGCACGTCGACGCTGCCACGGCAGCACGACGAAGCCGCCATGGCAGCACAACATGGCTGCCACGGCGACGCGGAAGGGAGGAGAGCGTTAAACTATATTTGTTACATAATTGTAGGCTTGGTAGGTATTACTGAACTCTACTGTAGAGGTTACAACTCCCTCCTTGTATGCCTCTCTCTCTTCTATTCCAACCCCTTTTTCTCTCATAAACTTTCTCTCCTAGCTCCTAAATCCCTCGCCACTTCATGGCCGCCTACCTTCCTAGCTAAGTTAGTCTTCTGATATGGTATCAGAGCTGTTCGATCCTTGTGGGCCTGCTCCTCACGCTTCCGCCGCGCTCTTCTCTCTCTCTCGCACTGCCATGGCGGCCGCGTCGTGCTGCCGTGGCCGCGTCGTCGTGCCGCCGGCCGCGTCGTGCTGCCGCGGCCGTCGCGACGTGCTGCCGTGGCGTCGACGTCAAGCCGTGGCGGCGTCGGCGCCGACGTCAAACTGTGGCGGCGTGACGGCGCCGTCCTGCTGCCGCGGCGTCTACGCGACAGTGCGCGGACGGCACGGACGGCAGCAGCCAGCGCCTCTTCTTAACGCTGGCCAGCACGCCCGCATGCAGCCAGCGCGCCACACGGGGTGGCACGCTCCCGGGCTCCGCTGCTTCAGCCCCGCCCCCCTTCCTCTGCGTCCCCTCTTCCTTGCCGCAGCCGACAACTACTTCGCGCCGGCCGTCCCACCGTCGCGGAGCCCGGCCACGCCGCCGAGTGCTGCGAGCTCCGCCGCCGCTGGCAGCTGTCGTCGAAGTCGCCGCCACCGCAGCTGGTGCCGCTGGCCACGCCACCACACGCCGCTGTCGACGCTGCCACCGTCGCCGCCGTTGCAGCCGCTGTCCTCGTTGTCGACGTCGCCCCACCTCACGTGCCATGGGGTTGACGGTGCTGAAGTAGCAGTCGCTGCTACTGAGTATGGGGTGGCTAGGTTAGGGGGTGTGGGTGTGTGACCAGGCCACTACCAAGCCTAAGGGGTGTGTTAAATTATATTTGTTATATAATTGAAGGCTTGATAGGTGTTACTGAACTCTACTGTAAAGGGTACAACTCCCTCCTTGTATGCCTCTCTCTCTTCTATTCCAACCCATTTTTCTCTCGTAAACTTTCTCTCCAAGCTCCTAAACCTCTCGCCATTTCATGGCCGCCTACCTTCCTAGCTAAGTTAGTCTTCTAACAGAGAGGACGCTTGGGAAGCGTGAGGAGAAGGCCCGAGCGGAAGGGCCTGCTCTGAAACCATGTTAAGATAGGGCTAGGAAGTAGGCATAGAACTAGCGAGAGGTTTAGCTAGGGTAGGAGAAAGTTGACGAGAGAAAAGAGGTGGACTAAGAAAGAGGAGATACAAGAGGGGGGGGAGGGGGGGGGGGGTTGTCCCCTCTACATAGGATTCAGCAATGTCGCTCACCTACCATGCCTAACAAACATATATAAAATATATATATGATTTAACAAGTTGAACCCTATGTGAGTAGACACAATGAATCGTGTACCTACCGTACACATCTTTGTGGCCATGTTGCCATAAATTAGAGTCCCACATGAAACCCCCGCCCCGCTTTGAAGGGTAGCCCATCATGGCCCACCATGTCCATCATTTACACACATCACTCCTGTGTGTCATGGCGGGCGGCGTGCAGTGCGGCGTCGAGGAAGTGCACGTAGTGGTGGAAGCAGTGGTCGCGGATGGAGCGCGCCAGCATGAGCGGGTCGCGCACCAGCTCCCCTACGCCCATCGCCAGAGCCTTCTCCGCCAGCGCAGGCGGCAGGCTCGCCACCAGCGACTCCGACTCTGCATCCCATGCATGGAGGCAGGAGGGGGTGGGGAAGAGGATGAGTCACCGCATTTATTACTAGGGGACATGGTGGAAACAATACATGACTAGTGTGTATAGCACTTGACTAATGAATTTGATGCCTGGCCTAGTGTGTGTGCCATGTGTATGCACGCACCCATGGCCTGCATGCACGCACCCTTGCTTTAACGTACCCATGGCCTGCATGTAGTGGACGAGCCCGACTGGTTGGAAGGTGAGCGGGCCCCAGGGGGCGTGGGTGGCATGTGGGGAGAGGGGCGGCGCGCACGGGGAGGGGTGGAGGCCCAGCAGGGCGCGCAGGAGGGGCGTGCGGGCGAGGGCGGAGCAGAGGGGGTGGGCGAGGTGGAAGGCGCGCGGGATGATGTCGCGGTCCAGCACAAAGGCGCGCGCCGCGTCACACGGCAGCCCCACGCTCGCCAGCACGCTGCACCGCTCTGCCTTTCTAATGCTGCTGAAGGGCGAGGAAGGCGGTGAGAGGGGGAGGTGCCGGGGTGCATGAGGGAAGTGGAGGCGGCCAGGGGGGGGCGCATGGAGGTGCGGCGCAAAACTGTGAGCTGCGGGAAGACGGCAAGCAGCAGGGTTTAGCAGGGGGGAGGAGGCGTGCGCGTGTGCAGGGGTGAAGAGGTCTGAGAGGTCGCCCGAGGAATGGGCGAAATGGTGGGAGAGGCTGTGAGGGGTGGAGGGTGGGGAAGAGGAGGAGAGGGAGGCGAGGACAGGGAAGGAGCCAAAGGTATGGGCGGAGAGGTGGAGGGCGGAGGCGTGGGCGCGCTTGTTGGGCGCGCGCAGGTGGAACATGAGCATCAGCAGCAGCGCCAGCGACCCGCCCAGCGAGTGGCCTCCGAATCTCAGGCGGGTGATGCCCTGCTGGCCGAGGTCGGCGGCGAGCAGCGGCAGCAACGCGCGGTACACGTCCTCCGCGATGCCCAGCACGCCCCCGTGCACCACCACCTCCACGCCCGGGGGCGTCGCCGCGCGCTCCAGCTGCACCGGCCGCACCTGCAGCAGCTGCCGCCACAGCCGCCCCACGTGCACCTCGCGCCGGTCCACCGCCACCCCGCGCGCAATCACGTAACGCGTGCGCCCGCCGTCACGCGGGCAGGGTGGCGAGTCGACGACCATGTAGGCCGTGAAGGGCGTCTGCTGGCACGCGCGCAGCGTCAAGCCCAAGGCGCTCACGTGCGGCGCGGGGTCGCGATGGTACACCAGCGCTGAGAGCCGCGCCATCTGCGCGTGCAGGGGGACGAGGAAAGCGGGGTGACGGGGGAGAAAATCATGGAGGAGAGGGGGAGTTGGCGGGATGAGTGGAGGAGAGGGGGAGTTGGCGGGATGAGTGGAGGAGAGGGGGAGTTGGCGGGATGAGTGGAGGAGAGGGGGAGTTGGCGGGATGAGTGGAGGAGAGGGGGAGTTGGCGGGATGAGTGGAGGAAGAAGCGGAGGCGTGAGTGGTGAAGGGGCCCAGCAACGCACTGTGCCAGTACGGCGCACCTTGGACATTGTGCTGCCACGCACTCTCACTCTCCTCGTGCCACCACGTTCCTTCTCTCCCATCCCCCCTCCCACATCGTGCCGTATCCCCTAACCCCTCCCACATCGTGCCGTATCCCCTAACCCCTCCCACATAGTGCCGTATCCCCTAACCCCTCCCACATAGTGCCGTATCCCCTAACCCCTCCCCTGCGACCTCACCTCTGAGGCCGACGCCAGCTCGTCCACCGTCGCACGCGGCGCCGACTGAACGATCTGCTTGCGAAGGTCAGCACAGTCGCCAGCCCTCGCGTCGTCGTCTCGAGGCGGCGACAGGAACGGCAGTCGCTCGCCGCGCTTTCCGCTCCGCCCGCTGCTCGCCCCGCCATCCCACCGCGCTCTTCGCCCTGCACCCGAACCCAGCCCGCTGCTCCGCCCTCCCGCCAGCGGCCAGTGCACTCCGCTATCAGTCGTCCCAGCGCCCGGCGCTCTCCGCTCCACCGCCACCGCCTGCAGGCGGGCCGGCGGGAAGTGTAGCCGCCGTATGCGGAGTCGACGGCGGGTGCACGCTCCACGCCACGCCGTGGTCCCGCGGCCCGCGCGCAAGGCGCCATCCACGTCCGCCGCCCCGCACGGCGCAAGGGAGGGCCAAGAGCGGAGCGCACCCGCACACGCGTCGACTGCCGCCCGGACTGGTCCCGTCGAGCAGCGCGCGCGGTGGGTTGCGGCTTCCGCAGGACACACGTGATGAGCCAGCTGCGCCCCGGGAACGAGGCGAGCAATGGCGCGCTGCTGGCGATGATGGCCGGGAGATAGGCCGGCGGAGAGAGGGCGGAGGGCGGCGAGGCACGACGACGGCTGGCGATGGGTGGGGCTAGCGACAGCGTCGTTGAAGAGCTGGCGTCGCACGCCGTGTTGCAGCGACTGCGACGACTGCGAGACTAGTCGCATCGCCGGCGGCAGGGAAGGTGGGGAGAGTGGCACAAAGAACCAGAGGCGCAACAGGCAGGGTCGGTCGCGAAGCAAGGCGGGCGAGGTCGAGGGCGTCCGTTGGATGAGAGACAATGTCGGCGCGTTTGGCGCTACGGATTGATGGCCGGGCCTCACGAGACGTGCGTGACGTGGTCTCGGTCGCCCTTGCGGTCACTGGCGTTCAGCAGCGGCGTCTAGCGCACACTCAAGTCAATCGTAGATAGCCACGTGATCAAGGCTCATCCAGCAGATCCGCACATCGTGTCGGCGCTTTCGCTCAGGATGGTTCGCCTGCGTTTCCCTGATGGACACACCACGCGTACCCCCGATTGGAGTGCCGCGAGTCGTCGCTTCCAGGTGTCTTATCCCTGATGATCCGTGTGGCTTGCTGCACGAAGCGCAAGGGACGGGACGGACGTAGGGTAGGGGGGTGGCTAGCTGGTCAGAGAAGGCGGCGGGGCACGATGCAGGAGGGCAGCTTGGATCAGCTTGGTTGGGGCGGGTTGGTTGGGCTTGGGAATTCGGGAGGATGGCGATCGCGTTGAATTGAGTGGGAGCGCACGATGGATCCAATGGAGCGCGGGCCGAGGGAGAGGAGTCCAGCTGGCACAGCTGCTGGATCCCTAAAAGCGCAGCGCAGATGGTGCAATTCGAGAGTCCTCGTTGGATCCGCGTCAAATCTGGCGCCACCAGCACACCGCACCCATCTGCCACACCGGCAGCCCAATCCTCCGCTAACTTTGTGCGTGCGGAGTTGTTACCAAAGACATCGCCAATGACCAGATCTCCCGCCAAGAAGCACTGGCTGAGTTGGGCCCTAAGTTTCGCGCACAGTCGCGATGACAAATCTGAGCCCTAGTTCACGACAGTGGACTCTTCGCGACCTTCTCGAGCTTCTGTGGGTGACTCCTCCGCCACCCAAACTTCATGTTTTGTTGAGCTGCGTGACAATACGCGTTCGCCGAGTGACTACAAGCGTAAACAGGGGGTGTAGTAGGCACCTCCACCATAAGATTTCTCGAATTTCTATGCTAGAATAGCATATTGGTAGTTGGGTTGTTCCTTGTCTTTATGGCGAATTATGCTAGAAGTAGCGCATGAAGAAATTACGATAACATATTATCATGACAAGCCCTCGCTCCCATCACTAACACTAGCACTTTCAATAACTACAATCTCATCATCACTATCTATCTTCCTTCTCTTGGCATTATCAACCTCAAATACGTTTGGTGGAGACACAGCCAACTTCTTTTGCCGCCTGCTCGTTGTGCGTGGCTTTCTAATAGCACTGAGTCCAGTCTCATGGGTTTGAGTGGCGCTGGACTTACCCTCTCGTTCACTGCCTACCTGCATATCTGAACCCTGCTCCTTCACCTCTGCACCATTCTCATCTGCACAACTGCGCCCAACTCTCAATGCTTCACTGCCTCCTCTTCCTCTTCCCACTGCCCCTGCGTCCATCATTTCACAAACCCCCCTACGCTGCTCCCCCAGCTGCCTGCCTCCCAAGCCCCACCCTCGGCCCCTCATGCCAAATCTTCCCTGTACTGCCACCACCCCTCCTCCCAGCCTGCCTGCTGCAGCCATCCCACCGCGCGAAGCAGCAGCAGGGCGGAGGGGCAGCCTGGAGTGCAGGCGAGACGCGAGGACGCGAGGGGGGCGGGCGGAGAGGGGCAGAGCGGAGTCGATGGGGGTGAGGTGGCCGTGGATCTGGCAGGAGAACACAAAGGTCACCTGCCATGCCATGGCACATGCACGCATGCGAGGGCGGAGGGGGGGGCACATGGCGGAAACGAAAGAGGGGGGCGGGGAGGGGGGCACGTGGTGAGAGAGGGTCATGCCATGATGACGGGACGGTGGAAAAGGGAGGGAGCACGTGAGAAAGGGCGGCGTGGCTGGGTCGTGCACGGAGGAAAGGGCTGGAGCGGAAGCACAAGAACGGCCCTAGTAGTACATGATGGGATGAATGGGTTACATCGAAGAGATGAACCAATGTCATCCATGAACAACATGCATCAATGGCATCCATGAACAACATGCATCAATGGCATCCATGAACAACATGCATCAATGGCATGAATGGAATACATCGAGCGAGGCGGCCTTTTGCAAGGCAATGTCGGGGACAGTTGAGGATGGACGGCTGTGATGCGCCCACAGGTCAAGGTGCTCCTCCAGTGGACTGCCCACCTGCCACACACACACGCACACAGAAAACTGCCTAAATGAACACTCTGTGGCTTTCAAGCCCTGTGTGCCTCAACACCCTCACCCCTGCTTCAACCTCCTCACGCCTCACCAATCTCCTCACCCCTGCGTCAATCTCCTCACCCCTGCTTCAAAGGACTCAACCCACGCGATTTTGGTGAAAGGCAACACATGTGAGCATATGACGGGCCAGCCCACCCAGCACACGCGCTCACCTGTTTCTCGCACTCCTTCAGTTTCCCCGCCACGCCCGCCACCAGGGCGAAGCCGCCGATGTCACTGTTGCTCTCAGCCCCGCTCTTGCACCTCCCACTGCCATCCCCCCCTGCCAGTGCATCCTCCTCCCCACTCCCCTCTGCCTGCTGGTCCTCCCCACTCCTCCTGTCCATTCCACCGGACCCCTCCTCCCTCACTGCTTCCACCCCCTCTCCCTCTGCAGCAGCCACCGCTGCCAACTCCTCCAGCAACCCTCCCCCTCGCCTCTCGCCCTCTCCTCCCTCCCCCCCGCCCTCTGCCGCCTCCCCCGCCTCCCCTTCCCCGCCCCTCTGCTGCCCCCCCATGCGGCGGCCCGCCCGGCCTGCTGCCTGCAACTGCTGGGGCGGGCAGCAGCGGTGGCACCCCAGGGAGTCGTGAGTGTCGGAGCTGCGGGGGAAACGGGGTCAGCGGATGCGGCTCACATGGTAAGGCGTGCGCGGTGGGTGGGCGCTGGGACCTCGCACGCCCAGCCACATGGCTACCAGACGCAGTGCACTCTGCGCTTCAGCTGGCGGGCTTGGCATTCTCACAGCCAACTAAGGAAGGACGGCAGCATGGAGCGACAAGGAAGGACGGCAGCATGGAACGACAAGGCAGGACGGCAGCATGGTGTGACAAGGCAGGACGGCAGCATGGTGTGACAAGGCAGGACGGCAGCATGGTGTGACAAGGCAGGACGGCAGCATGGTGTGACAAGGCAGGACGGCAGCATGGTGTGACAAGGCAGGACGGCAGCATGGTGTGACAAGGCAGGAAGGAGAGCCCAGAGAGCGAAAGGGCAGCAGTGAGAGTGAGGGAGGGATCACGGCAGCAGCAGCAGCAACAGCAGCACGCGCCTCAGTGTGGTGAGCAGCAGCACGCGCCTCAGTGTGGTGAGCAGCAGCACGCGCCTCAGTGTGGTGAGCAGCAGCATGCGTCACAGTGTGGTGAGCAGCAGCATGCGTCACAGTGTGGTGAGCAGCAGCATGCGTCACAGTGTGGTGAGCAGCAGCATGCGTCACAGTGTGGTGAGCAGCAGCATGCGTCACAGTGTGGTGAGCAGCAGCATGCGTCACAGTGTGGTGAGCAGCAGCATGCGTCACAGTGTGGTGAGCAGCAGCATGCGTCACAGTGTGGTGAGCAGCAGCATGCGTCACAGTGTGGTGAGCAGCAGCATGCGTCACAGTGTGGTGAGCAGCAGCATGCGTCACAGTGTGGTGAGCAGCAGCATGCGTCACAGTGTGGTGAGCAGCAGCACGCGTCACAGTGTGGTGAGCAGCATGCGCGACTCACAGAGTGGTGGAGCGCAGAATGAAGAGGTCCCTCAGGTCCTCTGACGACAGCAGGTTCACCTGCCATGCGTCACACCACACCACACCACACCACACCACACCACACCACACCACACCACACCACACCACAACATAACACAACACAACATACCACACGACAACATAACACAACACAACATACCACACCACAACATAACACAACACAACGCGGTCTTTCAAAGTTCTCCCTAGAAAAACCTTCTGTATTCGTAAGTGTACCAGAAAGTGTAAATAAGGGAAGAGCGTTGGGCGGGAAAAGAGTTGAAGGTGCATCTTATTCGTGCATGCTCAGCACGGACGAAGCAGAGCATATGATCGCTCGAAGCGCTGAAGCAGGGAAAGCTGTGACGACTTGCACGACTGTGGTTCTGACCTGCGCGCGCGCATCGCTGTGCTTCTCGCTGTCCACCACCTGCTGCAGCCCCTCCTTGGCTATCTGCCTCTGGTACACCTGCCCCCCCCACACACATGCAACACACCCTCACGCAAACAGGCACGCTCGTGACACACAGATACACATGGACTTTAGCAGAAGCACACACACGGTGTGAAATCACAAGCGTGGAACAGCAGCATCAGAGCAGGAGGGTGGAATGGCAAAGGAGTTGCTCGAACTGCAGCAGCCCCACCACGCGTGCAACGCGTGCAACAAGTGGAAAGAGCAACCAGCTCTCACCACGTGCCTGCTGCCGCCTCTCACCTTCTCCTCCATGCCGCCTCTCACCTTCTCCTCGATGGTGCCGGTTGCCAGGAAGCGGTACACAAAGACCCTCTTCTTCTGCCCATCTCGCCACACTCGCGCCGCAGCCTGCCCGTAAAGGGAGGGCAGAGAGAGAGAGAGAGAGCAATTTTCCCAAACATCCTCCCCCTTGACCGAGTCCCTTGACTGGCCCGCTCTCGACGAATCCGAGCCTCCCCCCTCCATCTCGCTAGCCGATTTCGTGCGGTTACTTAGCCGCAGCGAAAGCGGCGTTGGCGCGGGGCCCTCTGGAATGTGCTTCGAGCATCTTCGCGAAGCAGCCCTCGCGAACGCCTCAGTCGCCAACAAACTGCACGAGAGAGTGTTGAGGCGTTGAGTCTCCTCAAAGGAAACTCCACTCCAGAAGTAGCTGGGCTCCTCACGGCTAGCCGCTTGCTAGCATTTCCGAAGCCTGAGGGAGGCAGGCGCCCAATTGCAGTGGGCGAATGCCTCCATCGCCTGGTGGCAAAGGCAGGCCTCGCTGCCATGTCCGAGCCCGCGCAGGGCCATTTTCTCCTGCTGCAGTTTGGCGTGGCGGTGAGGGCTGGCGGCGAGGCGATAACCCATGGCGCGAGAACCTTCGCCACGGAATCACCGTCCGCCCTCCTCCTCCAAGTCGACCTACCTAACGCCTTTAACAGCGTCGACTGCGGCGCCATCATCACGAGGCTCTACAACTCCCCCCCCCACCCCCTCCTCCTCTTCGTGCGCCTGTCCTACGGCGCCCCCTCGACCCTCTTCCTGGACGCTGACTTCGACAGCCAGCCCCTACTCAGTGCCCGTGGCGTCCGGCAAGGGGACCCCATGGGACCCCTGCTCTTCGCCGCCGCCATGCACCCCCCTCACCGAGAGACCACCAAGGCGCTTCCTGGCGTCCTCTGCCTGGCATACGCCGATGACATAACGCTGATGGGCGAGCCAGCGGCATGCACCGCCGCATTCACTCACCTCACCCACGCGTTGCACCCCCTGCGCCTGACCCACAATCCGGCTAAGTGCGCGGCGTGGTCCGCGGCCCAACCCTCCCCCAACCTCCTTCCCCCCGGCATCCCTTTCTGCGCCTCCGGACTACGGGTCCTTGGCAGCCATATCGGCCCACCCGAGGCAGCAGCAAGTTTCCTGCGCGAGCAGCTGGCCAGCATGGCCAAGCCACTACTCACCCTGCCAGCCATGGACCCCCAGTCTGCCAGCCTCCTCCTCCACCGCTGCATCTCACGACGAGTCTCCTACCTGACCCGCACGACGAGTCTCCTACCTGACCCGCACGACGAGTCTCCTACCTGACCCGCACGACGAGTCTCCTACCTGACCCTCACGACGCCACTGAACCTGCTGCCGGCAGCACAGTGGTCCCTGTGGGGACAGCAGCTCTACCACACCCTTCTGAGGGCCTGCAACCTCCAGCTGCCACGGGGGGAACAGGAGATGGCGCGCACCTGGCAGCAGGCGTCGCTCCCACCCTCCCTTGGAGGGCTCGGCCTGACGGACCCCGCAGTAGAAGGACCGCACGCCTTCCTTACCAGCGTCGCCCAAGCCCAGCGGCTCCTGGCCTCCCTCCCCTCGGACCCATCCGGCCCCCTCGCGGCAGTGGCCCGCTCCCTCGCACCGCCCTTCACCAGCCCCACCCCCTTACACACCTGGCTGGCTGAGAGCGAAGCGGCGCTGCCAGCCCCAGCCCTGGAGCTCCTGCGGGGCGAGCGCACGGAGCCCTCAGATGCACCGCTCCAGCATTGCCTCGCCCTTGCCGTTTACGCCGCACGGTTCGTCGAACAGCTGGCGGCGACCAGGGAGATGAAGCTCAACCCCCTCAGCGGCCACACGCAGCGACTCCCTCACGGGGTATGGGGCAGGGGACTGGCTCGTAGCAATCCCTCTTTTCCCATCCCTCAGGCTAGCACCCCCGCACTTCGCCATAGCCCTCGCCTTCCGCCTGGGCCTCCCCTTCCCCGCGCCGAAAGTGTGCAACTGCGCCAAGAGGGTCCGGATCCTGGACCCAAGGCTCCCCAACCACCTATTCCGCTACGGGACGGGGCACGGGCGCACCGACACCCACAACGCCCGCCATGACGAATGCATCCGCATGGGCCAGGACGCGCTACTCATCGTCACGAAGGAGACGGCCCTATACAACCCGGTCGATGGCAAAACCGCCGACCTAGCCATCCGGGACTGGGAATCGGGAGCAGTCTGGATCTGCGACGTCACCGTCACGGACCCAGTCAGCTTCAGGGACCCCCTGGCCTGTAAGGGGCGCGGCTACATGGCCAGGGAGCAAGCGGACAAGAAGATCGACGACTACTGCCACAGGGCAGAGTATGTCGGCTTCTTCCCGCTCGCTGTGGAGACATACGGCTGCTCCTGCACGGAAGTGCCGGCCTTCCTCAAACTCCTGGCACACACGGCCGCCCGACATCTCTTCAACGCCGACCCCAGTTCATACCAGGTGGCGAAACTACTCAGCCAGTTTCGCCAGCGCCGGTCCGTCACCCTCCAAAGGGGACAAGCTCTCACCTACCTGGGGAAGGTGAACGAAGCATCGCCGCTCAAGTGGCCCCCCTTGGGGGGCCCCGAGGCGGGCATGTCTCTTGGGGACTGCTTTGCCGTGATAGAGCCATAGGAGGAGCGGCGGTAGGGCAGGTTGGGACACTTACCTGATCCTCGGTGTTTGCTGGTGCCGGGTCTACTTGCCTGGCTTGTACCCACGATTCCCCAGCAACAAAGGACCATTCGAGAGAGAGCAATTGAGTGCCGGCAGGTGCGATGAAGAGATGGCGGAATCCAAAGCAGGCGGAAGGAATCAAGAATAGGAGGGAGAAGAGCAGTGAGCTTCTGCCTTGAGAAGCGGTGCAACAGCCGTGTCACAGCCACTTAAGGGTGACAGGCTGACAGCCTGCATTTGCCGGTGCACCAGCGCACCCCTGCCCCTCCGTGCCCAACCCTCCTAAGTACAGCCCAGCCCTGCAGCAGCTACGCGTTTGGGCCACCGGCCCACCTGCCTATCCCCACCAGCCTCTCCCCACCAGCCTCTCCCCACCTGCCTCTCCCCACCTGCCTATCCCACCTGCCTATCCCCACCTGCCTCTCCCCACCTGCCTCTCCCCACCTGCCTATCCCACCTGCCTCTCCCCACCTGCCTCTCCCCACCTGCCTCTCCCCACCTGCCTCTCCCCACCTGCCTATCCCCACCAGCCTATCCCCACCTGCCTCTCCCCACCTGCCTCTCCCCACCTGCCTCTCCCCACCTGCCTATCCCCACCTGCCTATCTTCCTGCCCATGGCCACCAGCCCACAGGCACCTGCTTGTCGTTGGCGGGGTTCCAGTCGGGGTCGAAGAGCACAAGGCGGTTGCCGCCTATGAGGTTCAGCCCGCACCCCCCCGCCTTGCTGCTCAGCAGAAACACAAACTCGTCCTGCCATCACGTGACGTGCCATGCCATGCCGTCCCACGCCATGATGCACAACATGACGCACACATGCATGCATGCCGAACACAGGAGCAGCACACATGCATGCATGCCAAACACAGGAGCAGCACACATGCATGCATGGCGAACACAGGAGCAGCACACATGCATGCATGCCGAACACAGGAGCAGCACACATGCATGCATGCCGAACACAGGAGCAGCACACATGCATGCATGCCGAACACAGGAGCAGCACACATGCAGGGAGGGAGAACCGTGAGAGCAAGAGAGCAGCACTGCGTTTCGTCACCTGCGTCGCCTCACACCTGAGTATGAGTGAAACGCAACAGAAAGCATGCATCACTTACAGCACAGGGGTCAATTGCACTCACAGCATGGGGGTCGTTGAATCGCTGCACTCACAGCATGGGGGTCGTTGAATCGCTGCACTCACAGCATGGGGGTCGTTGAATCTCTGCACTCACAGCATGGGGGTCGTTGAATCGCTGCACGAGTTTCTGCCTCTTGCCCACAGAGGTGCCTCCATCCAGGCGCACAAACGGGTACCCGTGCTCCCGGCACAGCAGCGCAAACAGGTCCAGCGTCTGCCCAGCCAGGGGGGAGGGGGAAAGGGGGGAGATGAGGTGGCGCTCCCATGGCTGTTGCATGCAGGGACGCCAGAGCAGCATGCCAGAGCAGCATGCCAGAGCAGCATGAGTGGGCGAGCAGGGCACTTGGTTGTAGTTGGGGTGGCATGAGCGCTAGGGCCACCTGGGTGGGTGTAGTTGGAGCACCTGGGTGTAGTTGGAGACGAGCACGATGCGGTCGGTGGTGCGGCAGCGCAGGTGCGCCAGCAGGCGCGCCAGCACCACCATCTTTCCCGACAGCTGCACCCACGCGCCCCCGCCACCCGTCCACCCGCCGCTCCTGCCAAGGAGGGAGAGGGCATGGCGCAGAGAGGGCGAGGGGGCGAGGAGGGAAGGGCAGTGAGGGCCGAGTCATAGGACTGGGGTGACATGCCGGCTGTGGGTGCATGGCATTCTTCTTGGAATGAACATACCACCTGCCATCTCTCATCCCATGTACCTCGCACCTGTCGTTGAACCAGACTCGCACCTGTCGTTGAACCAGACTCGCACCTGTCGTTGAACATGCCTCACCTGTCGTTGAACATGCCTCACCTGTCGTTGAACATGCATCACCTGTCGTTGAACATGGTTGGGGGGAAGAGGTCAAGAGCGTCCTCAAAGCCAGCTGCCTCCGCCCCGCCCGCCCGAATGGAGTCGTAGATTAGCTGTTGCCCCGCATGCCCCGCCGCCGCCGCCCAATGCGCGGACCACCATGGGCGTGCAGGGGAAGAGACATGGTTAGTGGAGAGGGAAGCACGATGCGATGGGCGTGGTGCACTTGAATGCATGGCATGAGCGCAGTACCAGAACACAGTGTGAATGCATGGCATGAGCGCAGTACCAGAACACAGTGTGAATGCATGGCATGAGCGCAGTACCAGAACACAGTGTGAATGCATGGACTGTGCACGCTGCCCAGCGCACTGTTATGCTGGTGCTTGCCATCAGCCGGACAATCCTTCCCACATCAGCTCGTATCAAGCACGTATCTCGCCATCAGCTCGTATCAAGCACGTATCTCGCCATCAGCTCGTATCAAGCACGTATCTCGCCATCAGCTCGTATCAAGCACGCATGTCGCCATCAGCTGGTTGTGAACAGAAGGGGACGCAAATCCTGTTTCCACGGCTTGCCCTCTACTCGCCTTGGGGTGCTTGCCCTCTACTCGCCTTGGGGTGCTTGCCTTACCTCACCTTGGGGTGCTTGCCCCTTATCCCCCCCTTGTTCACCTGGGGGTGGTTCCCCCCCTCCCCCCTGTTCACCTTGAGCTGCTCCCCTCCCCCCCCCTTCCCTCACCTTAGGGTGATTGCCCCCCCACCTCCCTCACCTTGGGGTGGTTGCAGAGCTTCTTGAGCGCGGTGATGGACGCCAGCACTCTCGCCTTCCTCCCGTCCTCCAGCGCCATGCGCACCTGCACGCTCGCACGCACGCATGCCATGCCATGCCGTGCCGTGCCGTGCCGTGACATGCCGTGGTGCCATGCCGTGCCATGCCATTCATGCAAACAACACCGAGGCGTATGAATGGCCCCACATTCTGGAGTGTACAAATGGCCTTACATTCTTGGAGTGGATGCATGGCCTTACATTCTTGGAGTGGATGAATCGTTGGTACAGCTGTCGCTGCAGCTCTGTCATGCGGCAGCACACAATCTCCACTATCTGCCACGCCACGCACACATGCATACGCACATGCATGAGGACGATGAGCGCGCATATGCACGAGCATGGTCTGCGAGCGCGCACATGCACGGGATGGTGGAGCACGTGCACGGGGGGGGTGGCACACATGCATGGGAGGGTGGCACGTGCGCATGCCAACGCACGCACGCGAGGACGTCCACAGACGCCATGCAAGTCACAGATAAGGAGGCAGGGGGTAGGAGCACACCTTGGGAGGCAGGTGGTTGGAGAGAAGAGCGTTGGTGCGCCGAAGAATGAACTGCGAGGGTGGATGGGCGCTCGGGCACACGGGCACACGGGCACAAGGGAAAGCGCACGGGCACACGGGCACAAGGGAAAGCGCACGGGCACACGGGCACAAGGGAAAGCGCACGGGCACACGGGCACAAGGGAAAGCGCACGGGCACAGGGGCACAAGGGAAAGCGCACGGGCACACGGGCACAAGGGAAAGCGCACGGGCACACGGGCACAAGGGAAAGCGCACGGGCACACGGGCACAAGGGAAAGCGCACGGGCACACGGGCACAAGGGAAAGCGCACGGGCACAAGGGTGAGGAAATGCCGGAAGAGAAGCAAGACAGTGACCTCACAATCGCACAGCCACTCAGAACGCCTCTCTGGATGGTCCGGTAGCTAACACAGGCCCATCCCTCCATCCAAATCACCCACTTCTCACAAGCCTGCACAGCAATTCCTTTTCCCCCGCCTGCTAGACCCCCGCCCGCTTGTACCTCTCCCCCCCCCTCCACCCCACCTGGTTGACTTTCTCGCTGAGCTCTGCGGACCGCTCATTCCCCAGCGCCCTCTCCTCCTCCGACGCCTGCGGCTCCCGCCCCGCCAGAATAGGTGCCTGGTGGGGGGGAAAGGGGGGGAGGTGGTTGCAGTGGTGGGCAGGTGCAAGGGGTGGGAAGGAGGGAGAAGGACGGGTAGGAGGTGTCATTCTGATGACGTCAACAAAGATGGTACGAGGGAGGAGCGAGGGGCGGAGGGGCGGAGGGGCGGAGGGGCGGAGGGGCGAGGGGCGGAGGGGCGAGGGGCGGAGGGGCGAGGGGCGGAGGGGCGAGGGGCGGAGGGGCGAGGGGCGGAGGGGCGAGGGGCTGAGGGGCGAGGGGCTGAGGGGCGAGGCGGAAGGCGCGAGCATCAAGGAGAGAAGGAAGTGAACGGGAATTGGTGGTAGCCACATGACCTAGGTGGAGCAGCGCATGGGTGGAGCAGCGCATGGGTGGAGCAGGGCGTGGGTGGAGCAGGGCATGGGTGGGGCAGGGCATGGGTGGGGCAGTGCATGGGTGGCGGAAAGGGCATGGGTGGCGGAAAGGGCACGGGTAGCGGAAAGGGCATGGGTGGCGGAAAGGGCACGGGTGGCGGAAAGGGCACGGGTGGCGGAAAGGGCATGGGCGGCGGAAAGGGCATGGGTGGCGGAAAGGGCATGGGTGGTGGAAAGGGCATGGGTGGCGGAAAGGGCATGGGTGGCAGAAAGGGCATGGGTGGCGGAAAGGGCACGGGTGGGGTATGGGACCTGGAAGTGGCGTCGGAAGTGGGTGGCGTCGCTGAGCACGCCCGGGTTGGTGAACGACACCATGGCGTAGAACTCCTCCAGGTCGTTCTGCCCCGCGCACCACACACACACACACACACACACACACACACGGGGGGGGGGGGGAGGGGGGGGGAAGGAGGTGGCAACACATTCAGTTGGGTTGTTGCAGAGTGCGAGTGTGTGGAAGTAGCTCGCGCCACATCTGATGGGGCTCCAGCCAGCATGGTTGGCTCCTCATGCCTGTTGCCCCCACGGCCTGCCCAATCGTTATGCACCAGTAAAGAAAGAGTCAGCGACATGGGTATGCATGGCATGGCAGGGCAGGGCAGGGCGGGGCAGGGCAGGGCAGGGCAGGGCAGGGCAGGGCGGGGCAGGGCAGGGCAGGGCGGGGCACGCACCTGCATGGGAGTGCCGGAGAGCAGCACTCGCCGCCTGCAGGGGAGCCCGGCTAGAGCCTGGTCAGGGGAGAAGGGTGGCAGGTGGAGGGTAAGGGGCGATGGGAGCGAGGAAGGGGAAAAGGCGGTGTGGCGAGTGAGGGGCGAAGGACTTGAAGCGAGGGGCAAGTGGTCGGAATGTTGCAAGCCTGGGTGGCGAGAGGGGCTACTTGGTTGGTGAGGGTGCGCGTAGCACGTGGTTGGTGAGGGTGCGCGAAGCACGTGGTTGGTGAGGGTGCGCGTAGCACGTGGTTGGTGAGGGTGCGCATAGCACCTGGTTGGTGAGGGTGCGGTCGTTCTTGAGGCGGTGTGCCTCGTCGCAGATCACCAGGTCGCACGCGCCCTCGCTGTGGAACGCCGTGGCGTGCAGCCGAAAGGTCTCGTATGACACGATCAGCACCTGTGGGGGGGAGGGGGGGGGGGCAGCAGGGGCCACAGTAGGGAGGTTGATGGTGAAGCGCACGCAGGCATGGCGCAGGTGCATGGAATGAGAGGCGTGAGGGCGGCGGCACGGCACGGCACGGCAGGGCACGGCACGGCAGGGGGAAACTCACATGGTGCGCGGCTCTGGGCGCCAGGAACTGCTTGATGCCCGCCATGGCCTCCGCACGGCTCGCCTCGCACAGCGCCACGCACCGCACGCGCCCACCCAGCCACTTGTCGAGCTCAGCTGCCCAGTTGCTGACGAGGCTGGTGGGCGTCACTATGAGCGCACGCCGCACCAGCGGCGGCCCTGCCGGCCCGTCAAAGCCCTGCTTGAGCAGCGTCCACAGCAGTGCGATGGACTGCAGGGTCTTGCCCAGCCTTTGGGTGGGTGGTGGGGGGGGGGGGGGCAGAGAAAGGTCAACAGACAATGGGAGAGATGAGATGATGTGGCAGTGAGCGGAAGGGCGCAGACAGAATGTGCCTGTTTGGGACGTCCACATGAATACTGCTGCACACATTTGACACCATGAACACGCAATGACAAACAAGCACAGAAATCACACACACCATGTGCCACCAAAGACATGGCCCATGGTGGCACACGCATGGCCCATGGCACGCACCCCATGTCATCTGCGAGGATGCAGCCGTAGCAGCCGCGGTCGTCATCGCCCGCCTCGTGGTAGTCCTTGAGCCCCGCCACGCACTCAAACATGAACTGCACGCCCTCCCTGCCACCACAGCGCACGCATGCACGCATGGACGCATGGACGCATGGACGCATGCACGCATGCACGCATGGACGCATGGACGCATGCACGCATGAACGCATGGACGCATGCACGCGTGGACGCATGGACGCATGGACGCATGCACGCATGGACGCATGCACGCATGGACGGACACATCGGATAGGTGAGGAGCGGACACACCCACTGGATGGGCTGGCAAAGGGCTGGGTGCTGTACCTGAAAGCCAAAGACAGTTTTCGACAATGCGAAATCCCCCAAGCTGACCCCTTCCTCCCTATCCACCATGCGTGCTGATATCCGGAATCCCAGTCGTGCCCTTGTGTGTGGTGTGCCACGGCACCTGTGCCACTGGTCCCTCCCCATCAGCGGCGCTCACCGCTGGTGGGCGCGCAGGCACTTGGCGAGGATGGGGTCAACCTGGATGGGCTCCGACGCCTCGCTCGCGTGGAACGGGTCCTCCTCCGGCACCCACAGCACCAGCGCCTCAAACCCCGCCTCTGCTGCCGCTGCTGCCTCCGACCCCCCGTCGTCGCCCTGGCCTGCCTTGCCCTCGTCCGCGTCGTCCTCCGCCGCGCCCTCCTCGTCGCCCGCAGGCACCACTCTCAGCGGCGGCCGGTGCACGCCCCCTCCCCACGCCACAAAGCGCCTGCTTGCCGCCAGGCGCCTGAGCAGCTCGGGGGTGGTGCTGGTGGTGGCGCCGGGGCATGGCGACTTGAAGGCGCGGCGCACCACCGCCGCGTCCTGCGACACCGACAGCACCCGCGGCAGCAGCGCCTTGCGACACACCTCCACGTCGCCCCTGGCGGACGGGGGAGCGCGGGGGGGGGCGGGGGGGAGAGGGGGGAAGGAAGAAGCAAGAATTGGTCGGGAAGGAGGGCGCAAAGAGCGCCTCTGGCTGGCAGCTGCAGTGAATGCTCGCCGCCTCTGGTGGCGTCTACAGTTGACGCCTTCCCTCGTGATTGTGCCTCAAGTGAGTAATGGTGCCTTGCCTAAAGTGAGTGCGGATCGATGCAGCGGTGGGCAGCCGCTAACGGAGGGCAGCCGCTCACCGGACGACGGCCGCCACGTTGGCGGCCTTCATGGCGGCCACGGACCGCCGCGCTCCATCGCCTCCCGCTCCACCTGCCGCCTTCGCGCCACCCGTCGCTCGTCCACCAGCGGTCCTCACGGCGCTTGCTCCTCGCCCGACGCGTTTGTCCAACGACGCGTTGCTCGCCGCCTTGCCGCTGCGCTGCTTCCCTCGGCCCTTCACTCCTTCCTCCTGGCTCGACCTGCCCTCAGGCTCGTCCCAGTCGTCGTCGTCGTCGTCGTCGTCGTCGTCGTCGCCGCCGCCGTCATTGTCGTCCCCCTCGTCGTAACTGTCGTCGCCGCCGTACTCGTCGTCGCTCGACTCACTCGCGCGCACTAACTCCTCGCACTCCGACCCTGGCATTGCGCGGCGTTCGACGCGATCGGAAGCACGAGGCGAAGCAGGAGGCGAAGCACGAGGCGAAGCCGACACACCAGTGCGGTTCGATACTAGCGTGGGAACATGAAATGAAGGAGGCCCGTTCGCACGAGACGCCGTTATCCCACACGCAGTCCACCTCGATGAAGGAGAGCGCTGGCGCCCGGCAATGCGTGCACGCGCTTACTGATCACCGCAACTGCTGCCCTTTGTAGAAGCATTGCAGATTCGTGGAGATCGGAGGAGGAAGGACTAGGTCATGGCTGGCGATGATCTAGTGCTTGCGGTGATGAGATGATGAGAGAGGTTGTATGAATGGCGGACCGGCTGGCTGGAGGCAGTGACGAAGGGGGGAGAATCCGAGGAAGCGTCACGATCACGTCGAGGCCCTGAGCAGCCTGATGAAATGAAATAATGCTGATAACTACAGTTGCATTGCCAACAATCTCCAAAACGGGACGTATCTCAAATCAAAGTGGAATATATCAGAATATGACGAAGATAGGCGGCATTTTTTGTTGAACTCTTGAAGTCCACAAGGATTTTTTTTACGAACCACCATGCAGGCTGGAGAATAATGCAATGCACGTGTTCTTATGCTAATGGCATCACAGGAAGGTGAGCTTTCGGATTATCACCCCGTCACTGGGCCTGACCTTACCTGTTGAGGTCACTTCTTATCATCATGCCACCTAGCGTCTGCTGGGCGTCGTGAGGCTTTCCTGAGCCCCCCAAGCCATGGGCATTCGCTCCGTGTTGCGCCAGGCGCGCGCGCAGGGGTGGCGCGACGACACGGTGGAGTACGCCATCTTCCCGGACCCGGACTCCTTCGAGCTGCCGCCCCCCGCGCCTGGTCAAGAAGCGGCGGGCGAAGAGGCGGTGCGGCGCGGGTTGGAGGCGCTGCGCGTGGCGTGCCTCGACGTCGCGGCAACGCTCGCGGGCGACGCGCGGTGGCACCTCGACCCCTTCCAGCTCTGGCCCGCGCTGCCCCTCGCACGACAGGCGGGGGAGCAGGCGGTGCGCGGCGATGAGGGGGAGGGCGCGGACGAGGAGGAGGGCGGGGAGGAGGGCGCGGAGGATCGGTTGCCGATGCGATGGCGGGACACGGGGGATGGCGTGCCGTGGGGGCTGGCGGACGACGACGAGGAGGGGGAGGGGGACGAGGGGGAAGGGGCGGAGGGCGAAGGAGGAGCAGATGGGCGTAGAGGGGAGCGCGGGCGGGAGGGCGCGCCGCCGCATCTGTACGGGCGTACGCGGTACGGCGCGTGTGTGGACGACGAGTGGCTCGTGGCGTGGCTGCTGCTCGCCATCTCCGCCCGCCTCCCCTTCCTCTCCATCCGTGCGCGCCCGCCTGCCTGCCTTCCTCTCCTGTACTCACGCACGCGCGTGAGACCACCACCGCACGCACGTGCGCATGCACGCCTGCCTGCCAGCGCACGTCCCACTGCCGACTCCACTCTTTGCCCCTCCCTGCGGTTTCTCACACCTTCCGCCCCCCCTCACATGTTCGCCAGGCTGTTCCCCCCCTCTCCCACCCCCCCTCTCCCACCCCCCCTCTCCCACCCCCCCTCCCCCAGCCCCCCTCTCCCACCCCCCCTCTCCCACCCCCCCTCTCCCACCCCCCCTCTCCCACCCCCCCTCTCCCACCCCCCCTCTCCCACCCACCCTCTCCCACCCCCCCTCTACCACCCCCCTCTACCACCCCCCCTCCCCCACCCCCCCTCTCCCACCCCCCCTCTCCCACCCCCCCTCCCCCACCCCCCCTCCCCCCTGCCCCCAGGCCTGCGCGACGCCGACGGCGACTTTGTGCTGATAGAGGCGGCGGACGCCCTGCCACGCTGGCTCTCGCCCTCCTGCTCGCGCAACCGCCTGCTGCTCCGGCAGGTGCCCACCCGCCCTGCATCCACGCTCTTGCTCTCCATCCCCCTGCTCCTCCCTCCCATCCCTCCGTGTGTATCCCGTCCGGCCCCTGGCCTCGCATCCCCCTCCAAGTCTGTCCCACCCTGAACCCTAAACGGCGTCTCCTCTCCCTCTTCCCTCCCCTCTCTGCTCCTCCCATCCGCCTCTCCCCGCACACGCCTCCCTTTCTCCTCCCCCCCCCCGGCTCCGGCTCTCAACCATCCTTCCCCCCCCAGGGTCGGCTGCATCTCGTACATCCGCGCCTGCGCCGCCCGCCCTACCGCCACGCCTCGCTGCACGCCGCCCTGGCTGCCGTGCGCAGCGCCCACGAGCCTACTGAAGCTTCTGAGAAGATTCACCGCGCCGTGATGAGGCGGCTCGAAGGGCTGCCAGGCACGGCGCTGGCAGCTGTGCACACCGCCAGGTGCCGCCTCCCCATCCGCGCTGCGCAGGTGAGTGCTCGTGGCTGCCCCAGTGAGTGGTGTGTGTACCAGCCGCCCGTCCTCCTCTCTGCTTCCGAGCAGCTCGCCTCATCTCCCCCTTCCTTCCCTGAGTCCGCCACCCCTGCTCGTCTTCCCTCCGCCCCTGCGCGCCCGTGCCCCCCTACCCCCACCAGGTGCTCCACCTGGACCCCTCCCTCGTGCCACTCGCCGCCCACGCCTTCCTGCAGTCGGACCACGGCTCCTCCACCTCCCCCGCACCGTCCTTCTCCCGCCACTCCTCCTCCCTCCCCCTCTTCCTCCCTCACTCCTCCTGCCCCTGCGCCCTCGCGTCCTCCCGTCCCGGCGCCCCACCCTGCACCACATCCCCCACGCCACCGCCCACTGCGCCCTCCCGCGCCCCCCCCTGCACGGCGCTGGTGGACGTGATGGTGTCGTTCCCCCGCGCCTGCTTTGCCCAGCTCTCCCTGCGCCCCTTCTCCCCCCCGCGCGCCTTCCCCCTGCCCTTCCCCTCCGACCCCCTCTACCCCTCCGCCCTCCTGGGCAGCAAGCTCGCGCTGGGGCTGGAACTGCTGGTGCAAGGGGATGGGGGGGTGGGCGGGGGAAAGGGTAAGGGCCAGCGGGGGGGGGGGGGGAGGGGAGAGGAAGAGCGCGGGAGGGGCGGATGGGGAAGAGCGTGTGGAGAGAGCAGCAGGGAGCGGGGAGGCGTGTGTGTGCGAGTGTGACGAAGTGGTGGCGCCTGCGTGGCTGGGGGGAGAGGGGGGCGAGGGTGGGAGTGTGCCGCCAGCGCTGTGGGCGTGGGGCGACCTGCTGGGCGCGCTCACAGAGGGAGGGCTCTTCCAGGCGCGCCCACCGCCCACCGCTCACTCATCCTCTGCTGCTGCTGGCCCTGCTGCTGCTGCCTGTGTGGGGGCAGGGGGGACCGAGGAGCAACGGGGCAGTGGGACAGTGGGGGGGGAGCGGCGGACGGCCATAGAGAAGGAGATGAGCAAGCGGTTCAAAGCAGTGCAGCAGTTTGCACAGCTGAGGTGAGAGTGGTGTGGGGGAGGGGAGGGAGGGGTGGATGGGGATGGCATGGCAGTGCGCCAAGCAATGTCAACGCGCATCGCTGCCACGCCACTGCCCAACTCACAATCCTCTCAACACTCCCCACGCCCCTGCCTTTGCCTCCTCGTACCCTCCCCATCCCCCACCCCCCCTCCAGCGCCACAGCCGCCTCCCCCGCGGCGCGCATCTTCTCCCTGCTGGCGGGCGCGCCTGCTCCTCGCCCCAGGGACTTCCCGCGCGGCTGGCTGCGCGGCGACGACAGCGAGCGGTGGATGCGCGACGCCGTGGACGCCATGGAGCGCAGCATGGCCGCGCGGCAGCGCCACATGCAGGGGGAAGACGCGCGCAGGGGGGGCAGGGGGAAGAAAGGCGGAGGGGGCGGAGACGGGATGGGGGAGAAGGGGAGGGAAGGGAAGAGCGGCAAGGGGGGGAAGCAAGGGAAGGAGGGGGCGGAGGGCGAGGAGGAGGCGGGCGAGCTGGTTGAGCGGCTGAAGCAGTTTCTGGAGCGCGCGTCTGGCTTCGAGGGGGTGGAGGCGGGGAGGGATGGCGACGGCAGTGAGAGCGGGGAGAGTGAAGAGGGGGAGAGAGGGGCGAGTGAGGAGGAGGAGAGGCGGGATGGGCGGGAGGAAGTAGAGCGGGTGAGTGTGGAGGGAGGCGGAGGGGAGGGTGCATGGGGGGTGCAGGAAGAGGGGGAGGAGGAGGGGGGGGAGGAGGGGCAGGGCGGGGAGGTGGTGATGGGGCGGGAGAAGCTGCGGGAGTTTGAGCTGTTCATGGAGGACCTGGAGGGCGTCATGGCGCAGTACAGCCACGACGAGGTCAAGGGCTTCCGCGGTTTCCGGGGGGACGGCAGCTCGGAGGACGAGGAGGACGAGGGCAGCGAATCCGCCTTCTTCTCAGGTGCCCCTCTCACCATCTGCATTGCTCTGAGTTCTGATTCGCTTGTTCCTCCGTTGGTTTCGTACCGTCCACACTCCACTCACTTCCCACGTCTCCCCACTCCCCCTCTTCACCTGCCCATGCATGCGTGTGTGTGTGTGTTGGCACCAGAGCCGGGCAGTGACAGCGAGTGGGAGGACGCCAGCCACACGGGCAGCCTTGAGGGGGAGGGGGAGGAGAGTGGGGAGGAGGAGGAGAGGGGGGTGGGGCTGCCGCATGAGGCAGTGGCGGGCAGTGGTGGTGCGGCGGATGCTGTGGGCGGAGGCAGAGCGGCGCAGAGGGCAGGCAGAGGAGCAGCAGCGGGGGGGCTGCGACGGGGCTTCCTGGGTGCGGGCGGGGCGCCGGGAGGCATGCAGGTTGTGGAGGAGAGGAGGGAGGAAGGGGAGATGAGGAGAAGAGATAAGGGCAAGGGGAAAGTAGTAGAAGAGGCGGTTAAGGAAGGCAGGGCGGGTGGTGCGAGCAGTGGCGGGGTGGCGGGCGGGGACGACTTCTACGCGCTCTACTCCGCCGCCATGGCCGCCCAGCTCGCAAAGACCAATGTGCCCAAGACGTCGCTGGCGCTGCCGCCCACCCACGAGCAGGTATGACTGCTCCGATGCAGCGGCAGGTGGCTCGCTGCGCTGTGAGCGAAAGGGGGTTCTGCTGCAAGGTGTGCGCCCCTCAAGGTGTGGCCGACATGCAACTCACATTCACAGGCCTCTCACCCCCCTTCCCGTTTCTTGCCCCCTGTTCCTCTCCCCGTCTCAGCGCTCGAAGCTCAGCAGCGCGGCCAGCAGCAGCAGGGCGGGGCGCGCAGCACCAGGCAGAGCAGGGGAGAGAGAAGCGGAGGCGGAGGCGGAGGCGGAGCGGGTGGTGGGTCATCTGCGCATGGCGCAGCAGCTGCAGGGGGGGCTGCCGGGGCCCGCTGATGTGCTGCTGGACGCTGTGGGGGCGGGGAAGAGGGGGAGGGGGGGAAGGGGAAAGAGAGGGGGAAGGAAGGGGAGGAGATGAGGGAGGAGGGGCGCTGCATCGCTGTCATCATGTGGTGTGGCAGCAAACTTGCTGGTGCACATGTGCTGCTGCCTGGCTGGCACCATCACCATAGGGGACTGGGCTCATTAGTGTTGCAGCATGTGTTTGCTGGCTCAATGTATCCTCCAATATTATAAATGTTCTAAGGCACAAGCATTCAGATGGAAGTCTCTGCAATGGGACTAGGCTGCACGTGTATCCGAGCCCCATACAAGTCCACGGGGCATGTGGCATGAGCTACTGTAGGGATGCATGCGCTGATCTCATGTGCGCCATGGAGTAGCGTCGCATGCACCCAGGTGCTCAACGGTGCCCCTCACTGGCCCTCCAGCAGGCAGTCCGCTATCATGCTCCTGCAGGGGGGTGAGCAATGGAACACACGCATGTGTCAGACATGCAAGAGACACGCACATGCAGCAAGGGGCACATGTCGTGGCACTGGGATAACCCTGTCGATCTCTCTCTCTCTCTCTCTCTAGGGAGGGTATTGGGGAGGCTTTCCCTGGGGAAGGTGGATATATGGAGCCTAACCGTCCTGATGACATCCCTGCTTGTCCCAGGGGTTAGGACTGGTGACTTGATGACAGCACAAGCCACAGACTGTGCGCATCCAGCGTGCGAGGTGAGGTGCCGGCCATGGTGGCTCCAAGCGGCCTCTCTCTCTCTCCTGCACCGCTTTCACCCCCACGCCACTATCCCTGGGCCCCCCACGCTCCCACCTTCATCACTCCTGCTTCATCACCCCTCACCTCTCGGCTTGCCTCAGCCATTCAGTGTAGCTCGCACTGCCGCCCCTTCCCCGTGCCAGGAAGGCTGCTGGCAACCCAACAAGCTGCTCAACTGCGCGCTCACTCCTTAACTCCCTGCACCCCTTCCCTTCTCCCGCCCTCCCTTCCTCTGCTCTCCCTCCCCCTCCCTCCGCCTCTTCCTGCCCATCCTCCTTTCTCTCCTCCCCCCTCGCCCGTCCCCCCTCCCTGCCATCCCCTACTTCCCCCATCACGCCGCAGCGGCAGCTGCAGCAGAGGGGGGCGGAGGGAGCAGAAGAGAGGGGCTGGGAGGGGGTTGGGGGAGTGTGGGCAGGTGGGGGGAGGGGGGAGAGGCAGATGGCGCAGAGAGGCAGGGGGGGAGAGTCAGCAGTGGATGGGGAGGGAGGGGCGAGGGAGGGCGCTCGGTTGAAGGGGAAGGGCTGCAGCTTGAGGGCGGTGCGTGTGACGGTGAACTGCCGCCCGCTGTTGGCGCTGTTTAGACCCGCCATGAACGATGCCGCCAGCGCATTGATGCTCCCCGCCCCAGCCGCTGCCCCGCCCCCTCCGCCCCCTCTGCGCCTGCCGGGCGGGCAGGAGGAGCGCAGGGAGGCTTGGGTGGCGAGGGAGGGGAGGAAGACGGTTTGGAGGCGCAGCAGGTGCGCGAGCAGGGCGAGGTCGCGCTGGCAGCAGTCCCTGAGGGGCCGCAGCACGGGCACGGGGCGGCGGCAGTCAAACACCGCCAGGTCAGTGGGCAGGGAGAAGCCCTGCGCCTGTGCGGGTGGTGGGGGGGGCAGTGATGCAGTTGGGGAAGAGAAGAGCGAGATGGCTTCATGCAGGATGGGCGGCGACTGGTGTAATGAGCAACAACGGTCCGTGTGAGCAGGCATGTCTACCATCGCCCACGTTTGAGCATCCCCCCACCCTGTGTCGTTTGCCCTTCCACCCCTGGCCCCCTCACCTTGGCCGTGGCGGCAATGACGCGCGCCGCCATGCGGGTCACCGTGGTGCCCACCACTATCTTGCTGCACCCCACTCTGTACGCCAGCTGGGGGGGGAGGGGAGGGAGGCGGATGGGGAGGGAGTGGAGTGAAAGGCTGGTGGGTGAGGCAGCCACTCAGCCGCATGCATGCATGCGGGAGCCGCCTTTCAACAGCGTGCATGTGCGCCTTTCAACAGCGTGCATGTGCGCCTTTCAACAGCGTGCATGTGCGCCTTTCAACAGCGTGCATGTGCGCCTTTCAGCAGCGTGCATGTGCGCCTTTCAGCAGCGTGCATGTGCGCCTTTCAGCAGCGTGCATGTGCGCCTTTCAACAGCGTGCATGTGCGCCTTTCAGCAGCGTGCATGTGCGCCTTTCAGCAGCGTGCATGTGCGCCTTTCAGCAGCGTGCATGTGCGCCTTTCAGCAGCGTGCATGTGCGCCTTTCAACAGCGTGCATGTGCGCCTTTCAACAGCGTGCATGTGCGCCTTTCAGCAGCGTGCATGTGCGCCTTTCAACAGCGTGCATGTGCGCCTTTCAGCAGCGTGCATGTGCGCCTTTCAACAGCGTGCATGTGCGCCTTTCAGCAGCGTGCATGTGCGCCTTTCAGCAGCGTGCATGTGCGCCTTTCAGCAGCGTGCATGTGCGCCTTTCAGCAGCGTGCATGTGCGCCTTTCAACAGCGTGCATGTGCGCCTTTCAACAGCGTGCATGTGCGCCTTTCAGCAGCGTGCATGTGCGCCTTTCAACAGCGTGCATGTGCGCCTTTCAGCAGCGTGCATGTGCGCCTTTCAACAGCGTGCATGTGCGCCTTTCAGCAGCGTGCATGTGCGCCTTTCAGCAGCGTGCATGTGCGCCTTTCAGCAGCGTGCATGTGCGCCTTTCAACAGCGTGCATGTGCGCCTTTCAGCAGCGTGCATGTGCGCCTTTCAACAGCGTGCATGTGCGCCTTTCAGCAGCGTGCATGTGCGCCTTTCAACAGCGTGCATGTGCGCCTTTCAGCAGCGTGCATGTGCGCCTTTCAGCAGCGTGCATGTGCGCCTTTCAGCAGCGTGCATGTGCGCCTTTCAGCAGCGTGCATGTGCGCCTTTGAACAGCGTGCATGTGCGCCTTTCAGCAGCGTGCATGTGCGCCTTTCAGCAGCGTGCATGTGCGCCTTTCAGCAGCGTGCATGTGCGCCTTTCAGCAGCGTGCATGTGCGCCTTTCAGCAGCGTGCATGTGCGCCTTTCAGCAGCGTGCATGTGCGCCTTTCAACAGCGTGCATGTGCGCCTTTCAACAGCGTGCATGTGCGCCTTTCAACAGCGTGCATGTGCGCCTTTCAACAGCGTGCATGTGCGCCTTTCAGCAGCGTGCATGTGCGCCTTTCAGCAGCGTGCATGTGCGCCTTTCAGCAGCGTGCATGTGCGCCTTTCAGCAGCGTGCATGTGCGCCTTTCAGCAGCGTGCATGTGCGCCTTTCAACAGCGTGCATGTGCGCCTTTCAACAGCGTGCATGTGCGCCTTTCAGCAGCGTGCATGTGCGCCTTTCAGCAGCGTGCATGTGCGCCTTTCAGCAGCGTGCATGTGCGCCTTTCAGCAGCGTGCATGTGCGCCTTTCAGCAGCGTGCATGTGCGCCTTTCAGCAGCGTGCATGTGCGCATGCTGAGCCCAGACATCCCCCCCCTCCCCCACCAGGTGCAGAGCGTCCATCCGCATTGCCTCCACCAGGTCCTCCCTGCCCGTGCCGTCCGCCGCCCCCGCCACTGCCGCCGCCAGCTGCGCTGCCAGGCGCTCTGCCCCGCTGCCACCCCCGCCACCCCCGCTGCCACCCCCGCCACCCCCGCTGCCACCCCCGCCATCCCCGCTGCCACCCCCCCCATCCCCGCTTGGGTCACTCCCCACCGGCCCACTCTCGCCGGGCGCCAGCGCACTCTCCAGCGGAACCACGTGGACCGCCACTCCCTGCTGCTCGCCCTCCTCTCCACCCCGCCCTCCCCCCCTCGCCGCCCCTTGCCCTCTCCCCTCCGCACAGCCACCGCCACCACCACTGTCACCGCCACCGCCACCGCCAGCGCCAACGCCAGCGCCAGCAGCGCGCGCCTCTCTGTGCGTCGCCACAGCGTCCCTCACCACCTCGCGCATCTCGCCTGCCAGCCTGTCAGCTGTGCCACGTGGCAGCAGATCATTGCCCACAGCTACGCTCTCGTCCACGTGGCCCACAGAGAGGCGGAACGGAATGCGCCCCCTCGCTGCCGCGCCTTGCGCGCCGAGCGGCGCTGCTCCTTGTGAGTCAAGGAAAGGTGACTGTATGGCGAGGAGAAAGTCGAGCGCGCACCTGCAGGGCATGAGCGTGAATGAGATTAGATGAGATGGGACCACGGCGAGCACGCACGGCGCTGCATGACCAGCTCCCCTGGACGCCCACCCCGCTGCCTCACCTTGCTGCCACCCGGCTCTCACCTGGAGGCGGCTCACCTGGAGGCGGCGCCGCCCGAGAAGGCGAGGAGCACGTGGTCGTCTTTGGCGATGAGCTTGCCGCCATTCACGGCGGACTTGAACTTGCCCAGCAGCGCGCCCCGCAGGCACAGCGCGCACAAGGCCTCGGTCTGGTTCACGAGCGCCGCCGCGTCCCGCTCGCGGCACTTGATGCACCGCGGAACCAGCCTCGCCCTCAGCCCCTCGCCTGCCGCCGCCATGCCTGGCGCTCCGCTCGACTAGATTCTCTTCTGGTCGAAGCCGCGGGCGGCGCTGGTGACGTGGCGAGGGGTGTGCGCGGGTGCGGGTAGGTAGGCGCACGTGCGGAGGGGTGTGCGCGGGTGCGGGCAGGTAGGCGCACGTGCGGAGGGGTGTGCGGAGGGGTGTGCGGGACACAAGCAGCGAGCAGGAGGGGGCGCGCAGCAGCGATGCGGGAGCAGCGGGTGTGTGCGAGCGGCGAGCGGCGAGTGTGGGAGGGGTGGGGCCACATTCAATTCGGAGCTCCGCCGCCCAACACCAGCGAATGCAAATCGTCTTCCGCACGCCATTTCTTCAAACTCCCTCCCCCAAAACCCCCCATGCACCTCTCCCCCACTCCATCCCCCAAATCGTCTCCCGCTGCACCTCTCCGCCACCCCAATGCCCCCCATGCCCATCGCCGCGCGGAGGGTGCTCGCCTCGTCCGCCCGCCGCCTCGTCTCCGCTCGCCCGGTTTCCCCCCTCGACGTGCGCTCTCCAACTTCCGCGCTTGCCGTCGCCGCTATCTCGCCGCGCCACCCCCCTCTCCCCGCTCCCCCGACGTGCGCCGATGGCGCTGGAGGCGTGTCGGGATGCCGCTCTTTCTCCGCGTGGGGGGGAGCGGACGGGGCGGCAGGCAGCGGGGCATGGGCGCAAGCAGGGGGGGTGGAGGGGAACGCAGCGGGAGAGAGCGGCGCGCAGAGCGGCGCGCAGAGCGGGTCCAAGACGACCCACTTCGGTAGGGGGATGTGCCGCTGGTCGCGCCTTGCTCCGCCACGCCTAGTCCGCCCCTTGTTCCCCCCGCCTAGTCCGCCCCTTGCTCCACCACGCCTAGTCCGCCCCTTGCTCCGCCACGCCTAGTCCGCCCCTTGTTCCCCCCGCCTAGTCCGCCCCTTGCTCCGCCACACCTAGTCCGCCCCTTGTTCCCCCCGCACCCATGCCCGGCTCTTTGCTGCGATGGCGCGTGCGTGCATGGCATGGCATGGCATGGCATGGCATGGCATGGCATGGCATGGCATGAACGTCATGCGCGCGTGCGTGCATGGCCCCGCGTGTGCGCGCGCAGGGAACCGCGCGGTGAGCGAGGACGAGAAGGCGGGGCTCGTGGGGGGGGTCTTCTCGTCCGTGGCCAACAAGTATGATGTCATGAATGACGTCATGAGCGGGGGGCTGCACCGACTGTGGAAGGACAGGTGTGCGCCACATGCCATGCCATGCCATGCCATGCCATGCCATGCCATGTCACACCATGCCATCCCATGCCATACCGTGCCATGCCATGCCATGCCATGCCATGCCATGCCATGCCATGCCACACCATGTCACGCCATGCCATGCCATACCATTCCATACCATGCCATACCATACCATACCATGCCATACCATACCATACCATACCATGCCATGCCATACCATGCCATGCCATGCCATACCTTGCCATGCCATGCCACTGATGCGCACCATGGCGTGCACGGCACTTGATGCTGTTCCGCGCTCTCTTTTCCTCCCACCACCCTCGCCTCGCCCCCCTTCGGGCCCTCTTCCCCGTGCCCTTCCCCCCACTCCACGCACGCCCGTGGGAGCGAGGGTCAGGATGGTGCAGGCGCTGCACCCCTTCCCGCGCATGCAGCACCTCGACGTGGCAGGCGGCACAGGTATGGCGGCATGATGAGGCCATGCTGGCAGCACTGGATCGGATGTGTTGGTTGCAAGGTTGAGTTCATCTCATACCCGGACGTCTTGAGATGTGATGCTGCCCACTGCCCACATCCTTATTTCCTCATGCCTACTTCCCAAGCCTCCCCTCCCAATCCCCTACCAAATGCACATCCTTTTCATCCCAATCCCGTACCAAATGCACATCCTTTTCATCCCAATCCCCTACCACATGCACATCCTTCTCATCCCAATCCCCTACCACATGCACATCCTTCTCATCCCAATCCCCTCATGCTTGTCCCCCATCTCCCCCTCTCCCCCCCCCCAAGGCGACATCGCCTTCCGGGTGCTGAGGGCCATTCGCCAGGCGGAGGCGGATCCGCGCCGCATGGCGGCTGCTGCACGCGCAGGGGGGGGCGCAGGAGAGGGCGAGGGCGAGGGGGTGGCGAGGGTGGCGCGGGTGATAGTGTGCGACATCAACGAGGACATGCTGCGCGTGGGGCAGCAGCGCGCGCAGCAGCAAGGTGGGGCGCAGAGAGGCAGTGAGGGTTGACTCTGCCAAGAGCCAATGCCCCCCTGGCAGCCCAGATCACCTCCCATGTGCTCGCTCTGACCTTCAACGCTACCTTTCTGATCTCGTGTCTCTCCTTCCCCGCCGTCCTCCTCCCCCCCTCCCCCCCTCCCCCCCAGGCCTGGCGTCGGACGCGGCGCTGGAGTGGGTGCAGGGCGATGCGGAGGACATGAGTGCGTGGCTGCCGGACGGCAGTGTGGACGCCTACTCCATCGCCTTCGGCATCCGCAACGTCACGCGCATCGATGCTGCGCTCAGGGAGGCGCACAGGTGAGGTCGCCACCCCTCCTGCATGCGCTTCCCCCCCTTTTCTTCTCCCATGCTGTCCGCATGCACCTTGCCCTGGCCTCTGCGCTCCCAAACCCTCACCCTGTGCGCCTGCATCGTCTCCCACGCATGGCATGTGCACTTGCAGGGTGCTGCGCAGGGGGGGGCAGTTCGCATGCTTGGAGCTCAGCCACGTGGAGGACCCTCTGCTCAAGGCCATGTGAGCTGTGCCATGTGCTGCTGGCAATTGCCCTAAAATCTGTTGCCAATAACTGAAATGTTTGGTGCATAACTCTACAGCAGCATCAATCTGTCGCTTCGAGATGCCAAACTCTCATACCCCCCACCCCCCCTGCCCACAACTCTTTTTTTCCCAGCTACGACGCCTACTCCTTCTCAGTCATTCCAGCCATTGGCCAGGTGATCACCGGCGACAGGGCGTCGTACCAGTACCTCGTGGAGAGCATCCGCAAGTTCCCACGCCAGGTACTGTCGTCTCTCACTCCTGTCTGGCTAGTCATTGCTCCATCATGCATGCATCTTACACCAGTACTTGTTCACTCTCTCTTTCCCATCTCCGTGTTCTTTGTCCCCTTCAGAGAACATTCTCCCACATGATGGAGCAGGCAGGATTCAGGAACGTGTCATATGAGAACATGATAGGTGGCGTAGTCACGCTTTTTACAGGCTTCAAGCTCTAATTACATGTCTGCAAACAATGAGAACGTACTGGTACTTAAACCTAGGCGTGTGGGTTAGGAATGTGTTCTTGGCTGGGCACAAGCTTCGTTTCATATCCCTGAGCAGTCAGCTAGTTTGACACAGGCAGAGAACTCCACTCCCCATGTCAAGCCTCCTTTCCCAACGATTGACAAGGGTCAAGAACACACCCTTCAGAACCACGTGTGTCCTGGAGGTTTAGATAGCAATCAGGTTTATTTTATGTGGAAAGTCAGACTCGGCTTCTAGTTTTGAACATATCTTAAAGTGAATGACAGCATGTCAGGCAACAAAAATGCCCTGGGCTAGTGGCAGGGCGGCTTAGGCCTTGGCAACCTGCTCCTCGATGAGATCGGCGGCCTCCTGGACGGTGGAGATCTTCTCGGCGCCCTCCTCGTCCAGGGTGATGTCGAACTGCTCCTCCAGAGCCATCATGATCTCCACCTGCCAGGGGACACGCCCGCACGGACATCCACGCTCTCAACCCACGACACACGGGACAGCTCAACTCAACCCAGGATGTTATCGCTCGAATATCGAGAAGCAGTGTCGGGTACTCACGGTGTCGAGGGAGTCGGCGCCGAGGTCGACGAACTTGGCCTCGGCGGTGATCTTCTCGACCTCAACGGCCAGCTGCTGCGCGATGATGCCGCGCACCTTCGTCAGGGTGTCGGCGGACGCCTGTAACGCCACACCATCACCGGTCAACACGCGGGTCGCACGGGAAGTGACAATGGCTAATATGCACAACCCAAACGGTACATCCACAAGACCAGGAAGAGGGTTGTCAGGTAGATAGGGAATGAAAGCGGGGAAGACGTACAGCGCAGGAGATGGAGAGCCTCTGCGCCCGGGGGGCGAAGGACACCACGGACTTGGCGACGGCGACCTTAGCGGGGGCGGCTCTCAAGCCATTGAAGCTGGCGATAGCCTGCACGACGAGGCCAAGAGGAGTCAGTACGTACACAAACTAAAACTCCTAGCTAATGCCTACCTTCTAGCAAAGGCGGCACGCCGTACCTTCTGGCTGCTGACAGCGAAAGCCATGGTTGATGTGGGTAGCTTTCGGGCTAGAGGAGCAGCTAGGGTTGAGGTTTGGAAGCGGAGCTAGCAGATGGAGCGAGAATGGGCAGCACGGATGGTTTACTTTGAGCTCAACGGGGCGAGCCCAGATGGGATAAATCCGTCCACGGCTGATGGCCAATCGCACGGCGATCCAGGTCACGTCGGTGACGCGTGGCAGGAAAAGTGACGGCTGCGGTTAGAAGCTGCACGAAAGGGGCTGTCAACGAAAGGTCACAACAACGGAGCCATCGAAAGCAGATCACCAATAGTTAGCTGACCTGCGGTGTATCAAAATAGGAGGATGAGAGTTATTCGCTATTCCTTAGCATGCAGCCATTCTCCATTCCCTAGTGCATGGATGCACCTCTTCCCCATATTAATAAAAGAGTCTACCTTGGCCCAGCTTTCTTACGAGCAGAATCACTTCCATGTCGTGGTCTCCTTACCTTTATATTAGGTTTTTTTTGTCTAACTAGTATGGGCTATTGACCAAGTGTACTACTCCAAAATTCTGTTTTCAAGTGCCAATAGAAGTCTATGCAGGAGAAGAATACTTTCCTTAAAAAACATAGGTAGCATAAAGGTTGCAAATTTTCACATATGCATCAGCACAATCAGAGTTGTGAGCACAGATTTTTATTTGAAGGTTTTTAAAATAGCACTCATATGATGGCTAGTGGTGGTCATGTTCATTGGTAAGTTTGACCGTGTTGACATTATACACATATTCTGTACGTCGTTTTACGCCACTCGTTGTTGGTCCCAGCGCGTCTGGAGATGCCAGCGCCCAATTTGTTGCGACCATCCGCGAAAGCATCCTTTCCGTCGATCTTTCCCGCGATGCACTGGCCAATGGCCATCCTGCTCCAAAGCCCACACGGCCAGGAGCAAGGCATTGGAAGGCGCCACCTGATAGAGCTTCCGATTCTTGGGTTCTTCCTTGGTGTTGTCGCTGGGAGAGTGACGGTCACGCACGCACAACGCCATACCTTACTCTTTCGTGCTGTGTGACTACTAAATACCTTCCAGAGCGAGTCAGTCACAGAACAATAGTGACCTCTAATTCTTGCCTCATGGCTTGTTTTGCTGAAAAGGTCACAGCCATTTACCCTGCACACAGCTCTATTCCCCTCAAACATCTTAACAGAGTTCAACTGTGCAGACACGGTTTACGCGTTTCAGCTACGACACGCAGAGCGCTGTCCGTGTCATTCATGCAGAAGGAGCAACAGCACGACCCCAATGTCCTCAATCCCGTGAAAATCCCATCAGGCGGAGGGAGTAGACCATCCGTCGGCGTCGATCACGAGATTCTAGGAATAGACATCGGAGGGACAAGCATAAAGGCAGCGCCAGTTGACACCAGGACTGGCAAGCTGCTAGCTGAACGGTTTGTCGTGCTGACACCCAACCCAGCCACACCGGGAGCATGTGCAGACGCCGTCAATCAGTGTGCCGAGCATTTTCAGGTCAAGCCATGTTGCTCGCTTTGCGCTTATTGGACGACGGAGTTGTTTTATTTACATTATCAGCCTGATCGATGCTGCTCACCCTCACTTCTCCGTAGCTTTTCTCGTCCGATCTTTCCATGAGCAGTGGAAAGGAGCTGTAGGGATTGGCGTGCCGGCAGTGGTGAAGGATGGAACCACGTGGACAGCTGCAAACAGTACGTTCCGAAATCTGATACTCTATTAATTTCCCTAGATTGACAGTGCTCCTATTCATCCGTTGTTCCGCAACCATCTTCCTGTTCCGTTTGCGTGCGTGCGTGTGTGCGTCAGTCGACAGCAGCTGGGTGGGAGCGGACGTGGAGGGCCTGTTCAGCCGGGTGACAGGGCTGCCAGTCACAGTGGTCAACGACGCCGATGCTGCCGGCTATGCTGAGCTGGGCTTCGGTGCAGGGTCGGGGGAAAACGAGCGCGGCGTGGTGTTCATTGTCACCTTCGGCACCGGCATTGGCACCGCCATGTTTGTCGATGGCATTCTGGTGCGACCAACTCACTCTCGCATGCGTGCTCCCTGCGTCATGCCCTGCCTGCCACCTGCTGTCCTGCCTGCCACCTGCTGTCCTGCCCGCCATGCTCGTTTCATCATGTGGCCCCTGGCTGGCGGCATGCAGGTGCCCAACCTGGAGCTGGGGCACATGGAGGTGGACGGCGTGGAGGCGGAGGCGGCAGCAGCGGGCGTGCTGGTGGAGCGCAACAACTGGACGTGGCAGCAGTGGGCGGACAAGGTCACCTGGTACCTCGCCCACATCGAGAAGCTCTTCTGGCCCTCCAGATTCGTAAGCGCCACACCACACTCGCTGGTGGGCTGCTCTTCATCTTGATGCCCGCTCCCCATGCCTCAAATGTGCACTCACCTGCTCATGTCTTGTTTCTGTCCATGTGTGTGCTTGCTCGTCCATGTGTGTGCTTGCTCGTCCATGTGTGTGCTTGCTCGTCCATGTGTGTGCTTGCTCGTCCATGTGTGTGCTTGCTCGTCCATGTGTGTGCTTGCTCGTCCATGTGTGTGCTTGCTCGTCCATGTGTGTGCTTGCTCGTCCATGTGTGTGCTTGCTCGTCCATGTGTGTGCTTGCTCGTCCATGTGTGTGCTTGCTCGTCCATGTGTGTGCTTGCTCGTCCATGTGTGTGCTTGCTCGTCCATGTGTGTGCTTGCTCGTCCATGTGTGTGCTTGCTCGTCCATGTGTGTGCTTGCTCGTCCATGTGTGTGCTTGCTCGTCCATGTGTGTGCTTGCTCGTCCATGTGTGTGCTTGCTCGTCCATGTGTGTGCTTGCTCGTCCATGTGTGTGCTTGCTCGTCCATGTGTGTGCTTGCTCGTCCATGTGTGTGCTTGCTCGTCCATGTGTGTGCTTGCTCGTCCATGTGTGTGCTTGCTCGTCCATGTGTGTGCTTGCTCGTCCATGTGTGTGCTTGCTCGTCCATGTGTGTGCTTGCTCGTCCATGTGTGTGCTTGCTCGTCCATGTGTGTGCTTGCTCGTCCATGTGTGTGCTTGCTCGTCCATGTGTGTGCTTGCTCGTCCATGTGTGTGCTTGCTCGTCCATGTGTGTGCTTGCTCGTCCATGTGTGTGCTTGCTCGTCCATGTGTGTGCTTGCTCGTCCATGTGTGTGCTTGCTCGTCCATGTGTGTGCTTGCTCGTCCATGTGTGTGCTTGCTCGTCCATGTGTGTGCTTGCTCGTCCATGTGTGTGCTTGCTCGTCCATGTGTGTGCTTGCTCGTCCATGTGTGTTGCTGTATTTGTGCTTGCTCGTCCATGTGTGTGCTTGCTCGTCCATGTGTGTGCTTGCTCGTCCATGTGTGTGCTTGCTCGTCCATGTGTGTGCTTGCTCGTCCATGTGTGTGCTTGCTCGTCCATGGGTGTGCTTGCTCGTCCATGTGTGTGCTTGCTCGTCCATGTGTGTGCTTGCTCGTCCATGTGCGGCATCAGATTGTGGGAGGGGGCGTGAGCAACGCGCACGAGCAGTGGCTGCACCTGGTGCGGCTGCCCAAGGGCACGCCCATCCTGCCCGCCTGCATGAAGAACGATGCCGGCATCATCGGCGCCGCCATGGCCTCCCTCGCTCGCTCCGTCTTTGCCATCCGCCACAAGCCTCAGCAGGTGGAGGAGTACATCCAGGCCTGACTGCACCCGGGCTTCCATCAGCCCACACCAGCTGCTGTTGCTCTGTTTCAATGTGCCGGGATAGGTGATTCCCTTGTGTTCTTGGTTTGCATCCCATCACCAGTGACTAATTCCATGAGATTTCTACAGCAGGACTGTGTAACCCTGCAGTTCCATCAACAGGCGCATGGAGGTGAAGGAATTTCACGGAAAGCAATGATAGGTGACCACCTTCACATCAGCTTGACCATCATGCACGACGCTTTCACGTGATAGTCCTGGTACCAAGTGCGTAAGACATGCATGAGGTGGAGCCATCACCACTACCACCTACTGCGAGTGCTGCCACAGCTTCCCTCCCCCCCACTGCCTTGTGGTGCCCCCACACCCCGCCCCTGTGCGTCACTCTCCTGCACGCCTGCTCCTGCTGCCCCTCCGCGCATGGCAGCAAGCGACGGGGCCAAGGCAGGTGGCGAGGGAGCGGCAGCGAGAGGCACAGTGGGCAGGATGGCCTTGAGGTTGCGCAGATAGTGGGTCATCTCCTGGCGGGGATGCGGGGGCAAGGGGTGACGACAGTGAGAGCCAAGAGAGGAGTGCAATGGCGCCATGAGCTGGGAGTTCGTCCTGCATGCTCAGTCCTCCAACCACTAGCCTCGTCCTCCTTCCTCTCTCCACCGCACCTCAAGGCTCCTCCCTGGCTCACCTCGAGGCTTCTCTCCAGCTCTGACACCCTGGCAGTCTTCTCCTGCAGCTGCCTCTCCGTCTCCTGCAGCTTCGCCCTCAGCTCGCACGGCCCCCCCTCCACCACCATCGCCTCACTCTGACAGGATCCACGCACCAAGGGGAGCACAAAGGGCGGAACACATGGAGGAGAGGACGGGAAAGAGACACGGAACATGATTGCCGCACACACATCACGCGTGCTTTCCACTCTCTTCACTCTGCGCTCCCACCAAACGTTTGTCTCACCTCATCTCTTCCCTCCGCAGTATGCTGCCTGTCCTGAGCCTGCGCTTGCCCCATGACCTCCTGTGCTGCTCGCCTGGCGGCCTGTGCCTCTGTGCGGGCCTCCTCCGCTATGCGCATTGCCGCCACTGCCTGCACTGCTGCCATCCCCTCTGCCACCTCCCTCTCCCCCGCCCTCAAGTCAAGCGCCCTCATTTCACTCCCCCTGTTCGCCTCCACCCACCTTCCAGCATTCCTAAAGCTCAAACAGCCCCCGCCTGCTCCCTGTCCCCGTTCCCCCCCACCACTTGGCCATATCCTACTCGCACTCTGCTCCTGCTCGCCCTTCTCCCTGCTGCCTCCTGCCGCCAGCCTGTCCCGATCGAGCAGCCCAGAGGCCATCCCCAAGCCGCCCGCCATGCGCCCCCCTTCAGGCCCTGCACCAGCCCTTCCGGGCGCCTCCCACACGCTCTCACCCACCCTTGCTCCTTGGCACGACCCGTCCCCTTGGGACGATCGGTCGCTGAGACTCCACCCCCCAATTCCTGCAGCTAAGCACGCTGGAGAGCCTGCTGCCGGGCCTGCAGGCTCGGCGGAGATGCTGTTGACAGCCGCATGCAACTCCGACAGCTGCAAGCCCCTGAAGAAAGTGAATGGTGGAGGAGCGGGCGCAGTAGGAGGGGGGTGGCTGTGCGTGGTGGGGAGAGAAGGCGGGCAGTGGGGAGAGGGGGAGGGGGTGGGATGGTGGAGGAGGAGGCGGCTGATGAGAGCATCGGCCGCATCGCCATGGCTTGACTCATGCGCTCCCCCACCACCCACTGCTGCCTCCTCTGACCGCACTGCACCACCTCCACACCCCTTGCTGCTCTCCTCCCCTTCTTGCTCCTCCTCTGCTCTTGGCGCCGCTAATCCCACTAATTTTGCTGAAGTTGCTGTCCCTGCTGTCCCCACTGACCCTACTGTGCCTGCTGCTGACTTGTTGGACTTGCCTGACTTGCCTGACTTGCCTGACTTGCCTGACCCCACAACCCCTCCACTCCCTCCCCACCTCCCCGCCCTCACATCAGCCGCTGCTGCTGGTGATGCTGCTGCTGGTGATGCTGCTGCTTCCCCAGTGCCCACTGCAGTGGAGGCTTCAGCAGACCTGACAGCAAGTGAGTGGGAGCCGCTCACAGGGGACTCGTCCAAGCACAGAGCGCCCCTCAGCCTCCCCTCCACCTCCTCCTCTTCAACCCTCCTACTCTCCCTCCCTCCCCCCCCCTCCCTCCACTTCGCATCCCCCTTTTTACCAGTCGCACTGCCCGCGCCCACAGGAGCAGCAGCGTGAGACAACCCCCTGTCCGCCGCCCTCTGCGCCCTGTTTCCCCTCTGCGCCTTGTCACCCACATGCTGTGTGCTGCCCCCCGCCCACTGCGCCCTACCCTGCCCCCAGCACGCCTGCCCGCCCCTCTGCCAGTGCACAGAGTTGCGAGACGACTCCGACGCCTCCCCCTCTCCACCTCCCGCTCCTCCCCTCTCGCTCTCCACCGCCCCCTTGTGATGCGCCCGTCCCTCGCGCAGGCACATGCTGCCCCACGCCAGTGGCGCACAGCCATCGCCCGCATCCCTCCTTCTGCTTCCCACGCCTCTTGCTCGCCCTCCGCGCCCCTGCACGCTCACACTGCTATTGTCCCCCCCCTCCTCCTCTTCCTCCTCTGCCCTCCCACCGCCGCCCCCGCCTGATGCTGCTGATGCTACCACACTGCCCACACCCCCCTCACTAGCGCCCGCACTCCCTCCTGCTTCCCTCCTTCTCCCGCCTCCCCCGCCACTGCTGCTGCCACTCGCACTGCTGCTTCTCTCTGATTCCTCCTCGCCCTCCCCTTCCCCCACCTCCTCCTCCTCCTCTTCCTCCTCCCCCTCCACCGCCCCCTCTTTTCCCGTCTTCTCCTCCTCCTCTCCCCGTTCCCCCCCATCCTTCCCCTCCTCCTCCCCCTCCTCCTCCCCCTCCTCGCCCTCCTCCACCAGCACACGCAACGCCACTGCCTCAGCCAGCGCCTGCCCCGCGCGGTCGAGCCACTGCTCCTGCTCGCGGCGGCGCTGCTTGCGCTTCTCCAGCAGCTCGCTCCTCAGCGCCACGGCGGTGGCCAGTGCCTTCTCCAGGCGCCGCTTCTTCTTCTCCGCCTGCCGCTGCCGCTGCTCCTCCTCACTGCCCGCCTTCTTGCGCCCCCCCGCCCTCTCCCTCTGCCGCGCCCCCGACGACCCACTCCCCGGCGTGCCCCCGCTGCTGCACGCACTGCTCGTGCTGCCGCTGCCGCCCGCCCCCCTGCCCCCATACACGCACTCCCGCTTCCTCTGCCCTCTTTCTCCCTGCACCCCCGCTTGCTCCCCTCCCCCCTGCTGCCCTCCTGAAACGTCCCCTGCCCCGCCCTGCCCCCCATCTATTCTCCCCCACCGCCTCCCCTCCCTCCCCCTCTGCCTCCGCCCCTGCAGGTGCTGACCCCTGGAAGCGCTTCCCGCACCATCCACAGCACCACTGACACCAGCAGCAGCACCACTGACACCAGCAGCAGCACCACTGACACCAGCAGCAGCACCGGCGCATGGCTCCTGGTTATTCGTAGCAACAGCCGAGGCAGCCGCGGCATCGCCACGCCCCTCCGGAGACACGTGGGGTGAGCAGTGGCGGCCGTCATTAGGCACTGCTGCTGCTGCTGCTGCTGTCTTCCTCGCTGCTCGCACACCAGCCACCCCCTTTGCTGCTGGCCCCGTGCCTGCACACGCTGCTGCTGCCGCGCCTGGCGGAGGGGAAGACGGGCGCGCATAGGGGGGGCTGGCCGCGGGAGAGGCGGAGGTCGCGGGGAGGAAGGGGGAGGACATGAGGGTAGGGGCGGGGCCAACAGTGGGGGGGCGGAAGCCCATGAGGCCGCAAGGAGAGCGGACGGCGTGCTGCAGCGCGTAGGGGGAAGGGGAGCAGGGGCCTCGGGGGACCAAGGGGAAGCGCATGTCTGGGGGGACAAGGGGAACGGGCGCGGGGTAGGGAACGGGGTGCGCGGTGGTGGCGCGGAAAGTGAGGGGCGGCTGGAAGGCCAGCAGCGGCGGCGAGGGTTGGCTGTGGCGAGCTATCTCCGCCTCGCTGCCCCCCCCGCTCGGCGCGCCTTGGTTGGCATGTGGTTGGCGCTCCTGGCTAGGACCTATCTGCGCGCGCGCATGGCCGCTGAACAGCGCCTGCTGCGGCGACGGCGCGTATAGCGGCGCATGCGAGGGCGGGTGTGACGGCAGCGGTGACGGCCATGCAACAACGTGCGCGGGCCACGCGGTGCCGAGCGCGCAGACGCCCGTCAACTCCGACCGCACCTGCGCATCATCCCGCGCGCAGTCGTCCCCCTCGCTGCTATCGCGCGTGTGCCCGCGAAGATAACCGCGCTCGCCGCTCATATTGCGAATGCTAGACCGTGATGCGCGGCGAGCGGACCCAGCTGGTGGTCGCGAGGACGGCAAGACGCTAACACGGGGTGGGAAAACACGGGGTGGTGTCCAAGAGTAACACAGGCTGATAGCTGCCGCTATCCGTGGAGACTCGGCGACATGCACCGGAATTCAGCGCTTTGGACCCTTGCGTCGTCCCTCGCGTGAAGTGGCTTCTAATTTACCCCTGCTCGTGAAGCTGGATGGCAAGGGCTGCTCGTGCTTCGAGCGGGAAACGAAGCTCGGGTATGACCTGCAAATGTCGCCTGTGGGTCAGTATTGTTGCGCCTGAAACAGACTCGGGTCCCATTTTGAGCATTGTTACCCGTGTCCCCCGACAGCGCCCCAGCCAGAGCGCACCACATTGTGCAGTACCCACACGCAGCCAAGAGCGTGAAGCGCGTTTGGCGACGGCGACAACCCCCTGACTTGGTGGACCGATCGCTGCCACCGTCGCCCCCACGTCGTATTCGCGCCTAGCAGCCGACACTTGACCCAAGTGTTATTCCTCGCGCTCCCCCTTCTCTGCGCCCACTGCTCTCCGCCTCCCCGCCATGGACCGCGCGCCAATCGACCCTGACGGCCCCTCCCCTCATGGCGAACCTTCCGCGCCCCTCGTCGCGGACGGCGCAGGGGCGGCGCGCGCGAGCGCGAGCGGCGGAGTGGTGTTCACTCCGCTGTACGGCGCGCACTCCGACGACCCGCTGTGCTACCACCTGCGCGTGGGGCGGCTGCACCTGCTGCTCGACTGCGGGTGGACCGACCTCCTCGATCCCGACCTCCTCCAGCCGCTGCGCGCCGTCGCCCCCGCCATCCACGGCGTGCTGCTCTCGCACCCCGACATGGCGCACGCCGGCGCGCTGCCGTACGCGTACGCGCACCTGGGGCTGCGCGCGCCCGTGTTCTGCACGGTGCCGGTGGCGCGCCTGGCGCAGCTGATGCTGTACGACCAGTTCCTGGCGCGGCGCGCCGCTGAGGACTTCGAGCTGTTCACCCTGGACGACATCGACGGCGTGTTCGACGGCGCCGTGTGCCTCAAGTACGCGCAGCCGCACACCGTGGGCGACGAGCATCACGGCGTCAGCGTCACGCCGCTCGCCGCAGGGCACACGCTGGGCGGCACAATCTGGCGGATCTCCAAGGACACGGAGGACATCGTCTACGCCGTTGGATTCAACCACCGGTGAGGTGCTGGTGGGATCAGATTGGGGTCGTTCGACTCCCATGCATGTGCTCCGCTCCCACTCCGCGCTCCCACTCCGCGCTCCCACTCCGCGCTCCCACTCCGCGCCCCCACTCCGCATTCTCATGTGCTCTGCGCGTTGCATGGCGGCTCGTGTGTGCATCCGTGCCCCTGCCCCTGTGTCTCTGTGTGCCTGCGCCACTGCGCGCATCCCTGCCTGCGCCACTGCGCGCATCCCTGCCTGCGCCACTGCGCGCATCCCTGCCTGCGCCACTGCGCGCATCCCTGCCTGCGCCACTGCGCGCATCCCTGCCTGTGCCGCCAGGGAGGAGCGCATTCTGGGCCGCACGGTGCTGGAGACGGCGGTGGTGCGGCCGGCGGTGCTGGTGGCGGACGCGGGCACGGCGGCGGTGGCGGCGGTGAAGCGCAAGCAGCGCGACGCGGCGCTGGTGGACGGCATCAGCAGCGCGCTGGGCGAGGGGGGCTCCGTGCTGCTGCCCGTCGACACGGGGGGGCGCGTGCTGGAGCTGCTGGCGCACCTGGAGCACGTGTGGGGCGCCATGGGGTGGGCGCACCCCGTGCTGGTGGCCACGGGGGAGAGCTACAGCATGGTGGAGTGCGCCAAGGGCATGCTCGAGTGGCTCAACCCCGACACCGCCCGCCAGTTCGACGCCTCGCGCACCTCGCCCTTCAACTTCAAGTGCGCGCCCCCCTCCCCCACACGCAACCCCCTTGGCCCCCCTCACTCGACTGTGCCCTCGTGCGCTGTCTCTTCCCCCCTCTCCACATGCACGCACTTCATTTGCGCTCTCCATATCCATCACCCATTCTTCCCCCCATGTCCCTCTCCCCACCACCAACCCCCCCCTCTCTTCCTGCACGCGCGTAGGTACATCCGGCTGTGCCACAGCGTGGAGGAGGTGGAGGAGACGCCAGGGCCCAAGGTGGTGCTGGCATCGCTGGCCAGCATGGAGGCGGGCTTCGCCCGCGCGCTCTTCGTGCGCTGGGCGCCCGACCTGCGCAACACGCTGCTCTTCACCTCGCGTGCACCGCCCGGCTCCCTCGCCCACACGCTGCAGACACAGGTGCTGCCCGCCCACTGCTGCCCGCCCCACTGCTGCCCGCCCCAGTGCTGCCCGCCCCAATGCTGCTGCCGGCCCTCCTTCATCACCAGCGCCCTCGCCCTTGCCCTCCCTCGCTTGCCTCAACCACTTTGCCCCCCTCCATCCCCCTCGCGTCCACCCCCCTCGCTCCCAACCCCCCCAGGATGTACGGTTCCCGGTGGTGAGTGTGAGCATGAGCGCGCGCGTGCCCCTGGAGGGCGAGGAGCTGCGCGAGTACGAGGAGCAGCAGCGCCAGCAGCAGCAGCTCGCCATGGACGCCGCCAGGGGGGGGCAGGGGGACGCGGAGGCGGAGGCGGAGCAGGGGGGGGGGAGGACGCCGAGGGGGGGGAGGAGGGTGATGCAGGGGAGAAGGAGGAGGAGGGGGAGGAGGCCGAGGGGGAGGTGGTGGATGGCGAGGATGCAGGTGGGTGATGGCTGTGAGGGGCGGTCGTCCCTCCTCGTGTGCTATCAGCTTTCGGTCGGATGCTGTCACGCACAGAGCCACAGAGGCTTATGGACCCCCTCTCCCTCTTTCCCCCCCTACCCCCCCATTCCCCCAGAGCCCTCCCCCACCCCCCGCCTCCCCCCCTCGGACGTGTTCTGCGAGGGCTTCTCCCCCCTGCCCCTGGCGCCCTTTCCCCGCGCCCTCCCTTCCCACGGCGCCGCGCGCTCGCGGGAGCGCGAGGGGTGGGTGGCGGGGCCGGTGTTCCCCTTCAGCGAGGGCGGGGGGGGCGGGGGGCGGTGGGACGAGTACGGCGAGGTGGTGGACGCCGAGGGGCTGGCGGCTGTGGTGGAGCAGATGAGAGGACCCATCCGGGTGAGCAGATGCGAGGACCCATCGGGGTGAGCAGATGAGAGGACCCATCCGGGTGAGCAGATGCGAGGACCCATCCGGGTGAGCAGATGCGAGGACCCATCCGGGTGAGCAGATGAGAGGACCCATCCGGGTGAGCAGATGCGAGGACCCATCCGGGTGATCAGATGCGAGGACCCATCCGGGTGAGCAGATGCGAGGACCCATCCGGGTGAGGGGGGCGGGGGTGAGAGAGAGAGGCTGGGTGGTAAAAGGAGCGAGGGGAGGAGGTCACATGAGAGGGGAGGGGGAAGGGAGGAGCCTGAGAGGCTGGAGAGGGGTGTCTTGGGTGCATTTGCAGTCCTTGTGACACGGGCAGAATGAACAGCACAGGGGTAGTAGTGCTAGGAGGATATACCCAGGGCATGGCAGATGTCAGATCCCACATCAAGCATGCATTTCCTCTGTGCAAAATCCTCCCCCTTCCCCCCCCCCCCCTCTTCCTCTCACCTGTCAGCCAACAGCGAGTGGGTTGGAGGCGGCGGGGGTGGACATGGCGGCGCTGGCGGAGGCGGAGGATGCGCTGGCGCTGATGGAGCGGCCCAGCCGCGTGCGCGTGGAGCACGTCACCGTGCAGGTCAACTGCGCCATCCGCTTCGTCGACTACGAGGGGCTCGCAGACGGCCGCTCCGTGCGCACCATGCTGGCCCATGTGCAGCCCCTCAAACTCGTGCGTTCCTTGCCTGTCGATGGGCTGTCGGCTTCCGATGTCTTTCGTGAGCGGACAGTGGAGATGAGAATTGGAATGAGAATGGGCTGTCGGTTCCAGATGGCTTCCGATGGGTGCCGCTGCTGCACTGGGAGCACGTGGTGCTCGAGCAACACCTGCATCACAAGTCCGGAAAATATGCATGGCAAGCGAAACGGAGAGAGCTTCACATGCGATGACGAGACAGCGCCGAGCACGGGGTTGCTGCGGGGTTGGCCGATCCACTTCGCTTAGCCGGATTGGTGGGGCCGGATTGGTGGAGCCCATCAGATTGGTGGCTCCTCTTCCCCATTCTCGTTCCTCTTCCTCATTCTCATCTCTGCTGCCCACTCATATCTCCATGACTGCCTGCTTCCTTCTGATCCTTGCTGTGTATGTCCCCCACGCCGCCCCGTCTCTTGCCCGTCCGCCACCAGATTCTGGTGCACGGCACGGCGGAGGGCACAGCAGCCATGCAGCAGCAGGCGCTCGCGGGCATCTGCAGCGAGTGCGTGGCGCCACGGGCGGGGGAGAGCGTCGACCTCACGGCAGACCTTGCCACCTTCAAGGTAAGGCTATGGCAGCCTGGGGATGCCTGGATTGGTAGCGATGGTAGGGGTGCCTGGCACGGCTGGGGTGGTAGGGAGTGGAGATAGTGTTGGAGGGTGCTATGTGCATGGTGATAGAGGAGATCCAAGGATGCATGGCCACCTAGTGTGGCACGTGTATGTGCGGTTATCGCCACCTCGTGTCCTCTCATCTGCTTTTCCTCCTCGCCACACTCGTGTTTTTTCTCTGCCCATGGCCTCCCTGCTGTGCTGCCTGCCTGGCAGGTGAAGCTGACAGACGACATCTTCAGGACCCTGCACTTCAACAAGGTCTGCATGTGCCCCGCTGCATGCATGTGCCCCGCTGCATGCATGTGCCCGGCTGCATACACGGATGTGTCGAACCACCGTTGCATGTGCTCTTGCACGCATGCCACATCCCCTTCACCTCCTCTCAATCCTTCCAGCCCCTAACGCCCTCGTGTCCCTCCATGCAATCAACCCCCCTCTCCGCCCCTTTCTGCCCCCCCCCCAGCTACCGGGCGACTATGAGGTGGCATACGTGGAGGGGCGCCTGCACCCCTCCTCCACCCCCCCTCCCCCCGCCTCGCTCTCCCTGCTGCCGCGCATCACAGGGCCCCCTCTGCTGCCCACCCGCTCTGGGTCAGGGGCAGGAGGGCAGGGGGGCGATGGGGGGGAGAAGGTGCAGGGGGGAGATGGTGAGGGGCAAGCTGGGGCGGAAGAGGGTGGGGCGAGTGGGGGGGGTGGGCGGCCGCTGATGGAGCTGGTGCCGGTGGGAGGGGAGGGGGAGGACGCCAGGCGCAGAGCGGTGATGGTGGGGGACGTGAAGCTCAATGAGTTCAGGGTGCTGCTGCAAGCACACGGACTCCAGGTACACTCGCCTTCGCATATAATAACTCTGATGCTGGTTGTCGTGTCAGTACCGTGGTTGTGGTGTGATTGCACTTGCTCCTCTATCCGAGTTCGGCCTCTCCTCCTCATGTTTCGTCTCCATGCTTCGGTTGGTTCAGGCTGGGTTCGTCAACGCGACCCCTGTATCAACGGCTGGGGCTGCCGTGTTGAAGTGTGGTGATTCGCTTGCAATAAGAAAGGTAAACCTTCCATGGTTGCTGCTGATTTATGGTTATCCACATACTCACAAGTTTCTTTGGCGCTGTTCCTGCAGGTTCCAGACCATAGGGTTGTACTTGAAGGTTCGATTTCTGATGACTACTACAGGGTTCGACAAATGCTCTACTCACAATATTCGACATTGTAATTGAACCTATTTTCTCGTGAATGTAGCTTCGTGGTACGGCCCTTTATGTATAACGCGTCCGCTTTGGCAGGGTCTCGTTGGAAGGCATGATGGCTGGTACGCCAGGCGCGAATGTGAGGCGAGAGTCACGATGGTCAATCCATCACGAGCCATCTGTCAGCAACGGCCGACAGCCATCGTGTTGGACCGACCGTCACAATCTCGCTCCCACGTTCGCTCAACCACCAAAAACAGCGGACGCGCAATTCGCGACTGTTGGTAACGAATCTCGTACTCTCGCACTTCGTTATTTTCAGCCCTTCAGTTTCGCCCACAACATAACCTGGGTCGCAGCATGTCGGTGGCGACGATGCGGCACGGCGGAGGAGGGGCGATTTTGGCCTGGATGATGTCGAGGAGGTGATGGGTGGGTGCGGCAATGCGTGTTGCCCACTAGATGCGATGCTACTCACGGTGCACGCGCGTGGCGTGGTGGTGCAAACCTCATTGTCCAGAAACACAAGTTGTCGGATGGCTCTCAACCATGGCTGCGGTGCTGCCGCATCAATATGGAGAGGTCGATGACAGCCACGCAAGCCATCCCAGTGACGCACCCGCATCTAGCTTTGAGACGGAAAACGATTAGCGTCCCAGTGATTACTGGTAGAGCCATCCGTTTGAGGGCGCACTCGACTGTCGAGTAGCAGTGTAGCGGACTGAAATAAGCATGTCTGACCATTTTCGCGTGTCGCGGACCCCACGGCCCGTTGAGGGCAAGTAGCGCCTGCACCACGGGTCGGTCCGCACCCGCCATCGTAGGAGGTCGCATCACAGCTGCCAGCGCGCACGCCGTGCAGCCATCCACGCGTGCTATATAAGTCGGTCGGTCTCTCAGTCCTCGTAGTATTGCTTCCACCACCGAAGCAGCCATTTCCTTTCGCCCGCACTAGCCGCGTTGAGTCGCAGGGCCCCTGGGTCGCAACTGGAGCCTTCGCCGTAGAAGTTTCGCCGCAGCCAGGCGCGCGCAGTGCCGCCTGGCCTCGCTCCCCCGCGCGCATCCTCCCGCCGCTCGTCCCCGCCGCCATGGCATCCACGGCCTTCCCCTCGATCTCCTCCACCGTCGCCCCCCCGCCCTCCGCCCTCTGGTCCGCCAACTTTTCCGTGAGTCATCCCCGCCTTCCCCCGTCAGCGCGTTCGCTCCTCCTCCCCCATCTGCGCGTTCGTTCCGCCTCCAATGTCCGCTCCGCCCGTCGCTCGTCCCACACCGCTGTCCCTCGTTGCTGTGGCCGTGTCTCCTTCCCCCTTCCCTCTATTTTCTCTCTTCCCCGCGAACCCCTTCCCACTACCTGCCACTCGCCAACCCCTTCGCGCTTCCCCCCTCCCCCCAGGCGCCGTACCCGACGTGCGCGCCGTGGCAGAATTTCGTGCTGGGGGAGGGCGGCGTGCCCGAGCTCGTCAGTCCGTACGTCGTGCAGAGCAAGGGCGGCCGCGTCGCGTGGGGGCTGCCGGCGCGCAGCGCGCAGGCGGCGTACATCATCCAGGCGTTCGTGACCAACGTCATGCTCTCCACGCTGCAGGGCCTCCCCGCGCACCACGTCTCCGCCTTCGACGACCTCTCCGTCACCCTCTCCTTCCGCCAACCCTCCGCCTCCGCCTCCACTCCCCCCGTGCTCGTGGTCCCACTGGTCCGCGGGTCCCCCTTCCTCACCTTTATATTCCCCCAGGGTGGCCCCCCCGCGACGCCCGTGCTGACGACGATCCACGCCATCCTCAGCGTGCAGGCCATCGGCGACACCAAGTACCGCGTCGCGCTCAACAACGGCCAGGTCAGCCCGCCGGCCCGCTCTGCAGCTGCGCATGGCTGTCCCCCTACCCCCGTCCTACTTCCCTCGTATCTGCCATTGCCACGATCCTCCTCCTCCCTCACTTGCACGCGAGAGCTTTCGGAAGCGCAGTACAGCCGATCGTGCATTCACCCCGTGCCCCTCCACACTCCCCCGCCCCTCTACCCCCCAGACGTGGCTGGTGTACCTGTCGTCGCCCCTGTCGCTGCGCCAAGACGGGGCGACGCTGGTGGCGGCGGCGCCCTTCACGGGGACCATTCGCGTGGCGCTGCTGCCCGGCAACTCCCCGCAGCAGGAGGAGGCGCTGCTCGACGCGCGCGTGGCGACCGTGCCGGTGGGCGGGCGCGCGCGGGTGGGCGCGTTCCGCATCAATTACCGGTGGCGCACGCAGCAGTGGCGCAAGGTGCCTGCTGGCGGGTCCAAGGCGCCGCTGCTCATGCTGTCGCTGCCCAGTGAGTTGCATTGATGCGTGCCGCTGCCATGTGGCCTGGCACCACAAGCAGCACAAGCATGCTGTCTTCCTCACACACCACCTACCAGCCTATGTTGGTCTGTAATCCAATGCACAACTTTTGTAATCCAATCACCCTTCCCTTCGCTTTCACCCTAACCCCCCTTCCCCCATCCTTAACTCCTCCCTCACCTTCCTCCCCTGAGCAGCGCACCGCCGCTTGAGAGTGCGCGCGGACAGCCCCTCCCCGGCCTCTTCCCTGCGCCGCCACCGCAGCGTCTCCTCGTCCTCGTCCCTGGGCATGGGCATGGGCGCCATCCAAGTCGCTGCTGGCTCCCCCGCTCTGAGGGGCGATGGCGGGAGGAGGGAGGCGGGCTGGGACTACGACAGCAGCGACAGCAGCGGTGGGGAGGTGGGCTCGATCCTGGCTGCACAGGACGACGCCTCGTCATCACCCGCCACCGACGCAGCGGGCACATGGAACCAAGCACCCATGGCGTCCACATCGGCGTCAGCATCAGCAGCATCTGCGCCCGCCGACTCAGTGCTGGTGTACCCCACAATCGACGGCCATGCCGTGGGCATGAGTGGATCGGCGTGGGAGCTCAAGGTGCCCAAGACGCCCACGCAGTGGCACTCCAACGCCTTCACGTCCGACCAGCAGCTGCTGAGCGACCTGCGGGCGTCCCTCAAGCAGGACGTGGCGGCGCTGCCTCCCCTCACCAACCCCTCCACCTACTTCTTTGGCAAGGCAGCGGCGCGCGCCGCCCGCCTGGCGCTCATAGCGGAGCAGGTGCACGACGACGGCAGCCTGGCCGTGGTGCTGCCGCCGCTGCGCTCCGCCCTCTCCGCCTGGCTGGACGGCACCTTCCCCGGTAACCGCCTGCTGTACGACCCCACGTGGGGGGGCGTGGTAAGCGAGGCGGGATCGCGCGACAAGGGAGCGGACTTTGGGCTGGGCATGTACAACGACCACCACTTCCACTACGGCTACTTCGTGTACGCCGCTGCCGCCGTCGCCAAGTTCGACCCCGTGTGGGGCAGTCGCTACCGCAGCAAGCTGTCGGCGCTGGTGGCGGACTACATGTCAGTGAACCGCACCGCGGCATTCCCCCGGCTGCGCAACTTCGACGCGTACGCGCTGCACTCGTGGGCCAGCGGGCTGTTTGACTTCGGCGACGGGCGCAACCAGGAGAGCTTCAGCGAGGCGGCCAACGCCTACTATGCCGGCTCGCTGCTGGCCTACGTCTTTGGCGACCTGCCTCTGGCCACGCTGGGCGCCACGCTCGCAGCAGTGGAGGCGGTGGCGGCGCAGACCCTCATGCAGGTGCCGGCCAGCTCGTCCTCCCCGCCGTCCTCCCTCTCCCCCGCCTACGAGCCTGTCTTTGCTGACACCAACCGCATGGTGGGTGTGCTGTGGTCCACCAAGCGCGACGCAGCGCTGTGGTTTGCCCCCCCGGCAGACCTGGACAAGCGCGTGGGCATCCAGGTGCTGCCCATCACGCCCTTCCTCGCACACCTCTTCCCCGACCGCTCCTTCGCACGGCAGCTTGTGGAGTGGGCGCAACCCGTGCTCAGCGGTGGTGCCGTCACTGACGAGTGGCGTGGCTTCTCTTGGGCCCTGCAGGCCCTCTATGACCCTGAGGGTGCTAGGGCTAAGATTGCTGCTCTGGGTGCATTTGACGATGGCAATTCCAAGACGAACATGCTCTGGTGGTTAGCTACTAATACACCATAGATGTACAAGATGGCTTCTAGATTGTTGCTTGCACATATACAGATAGGAGCATAGCTTATACACAGCTTATCCACATGTATGCACAGCAAATCTATTTATACTCATGGCTCTGCCTTGTGAGCTGTTTCCTGGTGCCTTTCCCAAATGCAGTAGCCATCCCCGAAAGCAGCCACCTGGTATTCAGCCTCCTCTGGAGCCATATCCCCAATGTCATATCGTGGGCCAATCTTCACAATCACTCGGCCATCTATCTCAGCCAAATAAAGATCGTCTTCAGCGGTAATGATGCTGCACTTGCTCTTCGAGTGCACCTTGTTGCGCCTTCTGACTGCCAGCAGTTGGTTGATTGCCTCCTTGTGGCCCCACTCATAGTAGTGGTCATAGAACTGCAGTGCACATAAACTTTGAATGTCAGCTCACGTCTGGCCTGAATGTCTGCTGTAGGAGCTTGGCACGAACAGGACTCACCACACATGGGATGCCTGGATGCGTCAGGATGTACGCGTATCCCTGCATGACTTTGTCTTGGGGGAAGGGCCAGTGGCCTTGTGTGGAGCCAGTGTCGTGGTTGTCAATGAATGTCACGGCTCGGCTGGGCCAGTACCCAATCATCCCTGGGCAGCCAAGGCAATGATTGGAGTCAGCACAATGGCAGATTGGATGCAATGGCGAATAGGACTTTAAATTGCATGAATGATTAGTCTCATTACTAGCTTTAATAGAGAACACTCACCTGCAGGCTTGTTGTTGGGGTCACGGAGGCGCCACAGCTCCCCCTGAACGGCCTCCTGGAGGATGCCTTTGGTGGTGAAGTCGAAGGCGGTGGAGCGGCCGTCAGTGGAGTCCACCCAGTCCACCAGCTGCTGCCGGTGGCTGTCCTGGTTGTAGTCCGGTTTCTCCCCATCGTAGTTCATCGTCGTCCACAGCTCTCCCACAGAGAAAGCAGGCGACGTCGCGTCGCAGTACTTCCCCACAAACTCTCCCGCAAATCCCTTGGCGAAGTCGAACCGCCAGCCGTCAAAGCCGACGTCGTTTTTTAGCCACAGCATCCACTCCGTCAACTCGCGCTGCACGCGCTCGTTCGTGTGGTCGATGTCCGGCGCTGCTGGGAAGTCCTCGCCGGTGTCCGGACGGCCATGGCCGCCGAAGGGCGAATCTCCCTGCGTGATGGCCCACGGTCCCCAGTCCAGGCGCTCGTCAGGCGTGCCTCCCTCGAAGATGGTCCAGCAGCCGTGCTCGTCTTGCTGGTCGCCGCAGCGATGGTTGATCACGATGTCAGCGATGCACCTGACACCGGCTCCGTGAAATCGGCCGATCAGCTCCTTCAATTCCTCCTCGCTTCCATAATGGGATTCGTCGAGGTTGTACAGCTGGCTTGGCATGTACCCTGCGGTAAGTACATCAGGTGTAGAATTAGTTTCAAATGAGCCAATGTTCGTTGCGAAATCCTTTACTTTTGCCGGTGTAGAATGTTCCTTGCGAAATTATTTACTTTTGCCGGTGTAGTACCTTGAGGAGCCACTGATTTGCTGGGAGGCGGCAGCCAGACGTCCGTGATTCCCGCTGCAGAGAGCTCTCCCGGCAGGTCCATGAGTCGTTGATACCATCCCTCGTTGCAGTTGCAGGACTCCCAGTTGAATCCCTGAAAATGGCGAGGAAGTAGCGTTACTAGCAAAACGAACTACCGTACTCCATGAGTTCTGACATGACTCACGATTAGGAACCATCAGACAAGCAATGGCTTCGATTCACTGACCTGAAAAATGACGACTTCTGTTGGCTTAACATTTATGATCTCGTCAGCGCGTTCAGCGGTTTCATTTGGCGATGCGACTTCTTCCTTGCCTGTGCTGATGGCCCTCAGAGCCATGGTCGATCCAGCTTTCTTCAGGCATTCCCGGGAGCTGCGACTTAAGTTCAGTGACGTGGTATCGCGGGCTGTTGCACTAATATACGTGGTTTTTCTTGGAATGGTAGACTTCGCAAGCAATGCGTTTGAGCAAGGAAGGCACTGCGACACAAGCGTTGAAGCCATAGTAGTGAATTTGAGGAAGGGATGAAAACTAGTGGAGAGTGCTGTGTGTGGAACAAGTAATTCTCGCTGCAGATCTGCTGCACATATATGAGGCGAGACTGCGATGTTGGAATCACACGGCAATGGCCAAGTGCCCCTCGGAAATGTCGCGCCTCGGCCAACCCAATGCCTCGGAAAATGAGGAGCCAACCATGCCACTGCAACAGGCGCCCGTTCTGACCAATAGCGTTGCTGTGTTCGGTGTGTTGACGGTCGAGACTAGACGACCTGGCAGCTCCGACATCTGTAAGTGCGCTGGAACTGCCACGTGGGGAAATCCGAGGTGACTGTCGGCACAGTTCGCGATATAAAAACATATCTGTAACTGTTCGCCAGAATTCATTTCGCACAATCCCCCTGGACCCCCTGTTCCGCGCGCAACATATTTCTCCCCCAACCAGCGTCGTCCATCTCTCCCCTCTCCGCAACGATTTGCGCGCCCCTCCCACCGCACGAGACGCCACTCTCACCACCTCAACTCCACTCCGCCCTCATTCCGCGCCAAGCGCTTGCTCACAATGGCAGGCGCCGGGTTGCCGCTGCATCCGGCGCTGGAGCCGATCGCGTTCATGCTGGGTCAATGGCGTGGCGAGGGCGAGGGCGGCTACCCGACTATTAACTCGTTTAGATACGTGGAAGAGATAACCCTATCGCATGCCGGCAAGGTCAGCTCGTCCTACACGATCCCTCGTATATTGGGCCTTGACCTAGCACTCGCTGCGTGCTTTCCCTCGTGCCGACCGGAATTGCCAGCCCCTCCCTGCCTCAATTCCCATGTCCTAGCCTCTCACTTCCTCGTCTCTCCGCACATCCCCGCATTTCCCCTATCAGCCGGCGATGGCTTACGCGCAGAAGACGTGGCGCGCGGAGTCGGGGGAGCCGATGCACGCGGAGAGCGGCTTCTGGCGACCCCGGCCTGATGGCAGCCTGGAGATCGTGATCGCGCAGAGCACGGGGCTGGCAGAAGTGCAGGTGCGCACAGGGCTGGCGGAAGTGCAGGTGCGCACAGGGCTGGCGGAAATGCAGGTGCGCACAGGGTTGGCGGAAGTGCAGGTGCGCACAGGGTTGGCGGAAGTGCGGGTGCGCACAGGGCTGGTGGGGTGCGTGGCTGCTGCCAGCCCATGCGTCCTGTGGTGCTTTCTCTGTGAAATCTTGTACCCTGAAACGTGAAACATTCAAGTGTCGCCTTGATTTACCCCTTGAGACAGCTGCTGTCCTTTCAGCGGTTCCATGCCCCCCTCCCTCACTCCCAACCCGCCGCTCCCCCCCATGCAGAAAGGCGCATACAATGCGGAGGCCAAGACAATATCAGTGGAGAGCGAGTTAGTGGGCAACGCCACCAAGGTGCACCTCCTCTGCCCCTCCCTCCCTCCCTCCCATTCCCCCCTCCACAACTCCACTCGTGCACCTTCTCTCTCACCTGGCCACCTTCCAGCCATCCTCCTTCCTTCCTCGCCTTTTCCATCCCCCCTTCCTCCCTTCCACCTCTGTTCTGCTCCCGTCACACCCGCAACTCCATAACTTCCATGGCCCCCTGTTTGCCACCTGCACCACGACCCTCGCCCCCTCTCACGCGTGCCACCATGGTCAGGTGCGGCGCATAGTGCGGCAGTTCAGGCTGGAGGGGGACGGCACGCTGGCGTACACAGTGGACATGGAGACAAACACGCAGCCGCTGCAGAAGCACCTGGATGCGCGCCTCAAGCGCGTTGAATAGTAGCAGGAGCTCACTTGGCCCTACACTGCCCTTGGTGCTTGGGGGTGGCGCATGTGCCCTCTGCACATTTGGGAAGAATATAGAGTACCATATGCTTCAGTTCAGACCCAGGCAGACCCTGTCAAGGGTGGATTGGAAATAAATTTATTCAAAGCTTGTCATGTCAACTAGGTCAGCATATGCAGTTATGCAAAGTTTTCATCTTCAACATCAAACCCTGCTCCTGTCCATTGCCCATCCCCTCCTGCCTTGTTTCCCCCCTTGGCAATCAGGCCCCTCCCCCGCCCCCTGCCTTTCCCACGGCCTATGGACAGTCGCACTGCTGGCGCTCCTCCCCCCTCTGCTCCTCCACTCCCGCCCCCCCTCCCTGGGCCATTTGCTGCTCCTGCTGCTCCTCCTGCTGCTGATGCTGCTGCTCCTGCTGCTGCTGGGGCGTCACCGCTGCCTTCCTGCCCTTGGCTGTTTGCCTCCCCCTCTGCCCCTTGCACGCGGGAGGCCCATTGAGAGGGGACCCTGGGAGTGGTGGCTGGGGCTTCAGCAGACGAGGAGGGCGCTGACGGATTAGTGGCGTCTGGGGGGGCAGCAGATGGAGCAGAAGTGCCCTGGGCGGAGGTTGATGCTTCCCTGCCTGGCGCTGCTGAATCACCACTCGATGTCTGCAGTTGAGAAAACGAATGAAAAAAAGGGCAACACTGGTTATGAGGCACACTTGAAAGAAACAGGGAGCAACGAAGGCCAGACGGCAGATACGCAGGCACTTAAAGTACACAGGGCAAGCATTTGCTGGGTGGGACGGGGCAGCAGGGAAAAGCGGACTCACATAGGCGGGCAGGATGCCGTGGGGGGCGATCTTGGCACGCAGGCCCTCAATGGCTTCGAGGGCGGGCCCGCGCATCTCGGGGTTGAGGGCGTCTAGCTTGTGCGTCAGCGCCTCCAGGCGCTCGTACTGCTGCATTGCATTCTGCTGCACCTGGAATGGGGCGCACAGAGAGGAACGTGGGGGGGAGAGGAGCGCATTTTGGAGACAGAATCGGCACTGAGGGTGCAAAGGGGAGGGGGGGGGAGGATGAGGATGAGCACGCTGATTGTGATGGGAAGGGCGCAAGCTGATGAGAATGTCCGGGGCATGGGAGGGGGTGAGACTAGAGACAGTCACATCAAGCAGGGGACTGTAGGGTCTTACCATCATCCTGAGGTCGTCACACAGCTGCTGCTTCCGCTGCTCCTCCTCCTCCACCAGCTTCGCTGCTGCCTCCCACACCTGCATGCACACACGCTCCATCACTCAGTGGCTCAGTCCTTCAACAACCCTACAAACGCAGACCTCGGTTTGGTAGTTTAACGCCTCGCGTTTCTTCTCCGCCCACCCACACCCATCCCCCTCACCTTCTTGGCCTGCGCCTCACCTTCTTGGCCTGCGCCTCACCTTCTTGGCCTGCTCCTCCTTCTTCCGGAGCACCCTGGCCTTCTCCGTGCTCTGCTCGATCTTCTGCCTCAGCAGCTCCATGCCGGCCTTCTTGGACCCGGACGTCAGCTTCACCTCCAGGTGCAGCGCCTCCAGCTCCTTCTCCACCGCCTGGATCTTCGCGTAGTTGTCCTGGATGATCCTGCACGGATTGACCAGCGCACCACCACGGCACCCGCGGACACGGGAACCATATCTGATGTGAACGCCCACGAGCATCATTGCTATAGGGCATGAAAACTAAGTTCAGGCTGCTTGGAGGGAAAATGCGGATGGCTGGGAAGGAGCGGGGCTTACTTTCTCAATGTCGCTTCTTTCTCTGCCAAGACCTGCACACGGGGTAAGGGAATGGCGAATGTCAGAAGCACTCTGGACCGAACCGCATCTTAAAACGTCACAGCAACGAGAAGCATACCTTTTCCGTGTACGCGATAACAGGAATCTCCCCAGCCACGCCATCGACAGTCTCCGCGACCAGCTTGCTCGAGTCGATCTTATCCGGAAGTGCCACCGCCGCGTCCGCTGCTTCCTTGGCCATTTCCTCTGATCGATACCCTAGCTTCGCGAGAAACGTATGCTCAACGCAATGAGAATTATACGGCAACAGGGCCACTGTGATATTCTAGGGAATGCGATCAAGCCTGTGGGGCATCAAGAGCTCCTCGTCGGCCTACAAACTGCGCACTGAAGGACCTCCGTCACAAGGCGTTGGAGATACAGTTGAGCCGATAAATACTCAGCCAGTATCACTGACACTAGAGGTGCTGTGCGGTTTCGTCAGAGGTCGGTTGCTGAAAACTTCTATGTTCTCAAATCTCCTCGAATCGTGATGCATTTGAGAGGGAACGATGTACGCCATAGGACAATGGAGGAGTCGAGCGGCTAGTTCGAGAATTTACTGTGTGTTCTACTTGCAAAGGTCCAGAGCAATTAAGCACAAATAGACTCATACAAACCATTAATACAAAGGTAATAAACAACCTTCTAAATCATTGTATCGCCTACATCTCGAAAATACCCTTCACATAGATTAGCCCCTTCTCCATAATTTGCAATTCCCGACGCAACCGGTCAATGGTCTCATCATCCCCTTGAAATGTGATGTCAGTCACCTTCTCATCATCTGATGTTACCATCTTCACTTGCATCTGCTCCGTCCGGCTTGATTTCTTCCAGTAATAAACGCCTCTGCAGTCAACCACATAAAATTCCACTCAGAATCGGGCGATGAAGGTGCATGAAACAGTGGGGGGAACAAGAACTGCACAGAAGCTGACAGCGCAAGATCCTGGTTTGGAAAGTTGAGAGGAGAAGGTCCTTACGCAAGGGGTGAGATGCCGATGAGGGAATACCACCATTCACCAATCTCAGGGTTTGTGATGGTGAGCACTAGAGCCACACTAGCCAGGCTCAGAGCTGTGCAGAACACAAGGAAGGCTGCCTGACTGCGGCTAGGCTCCAATTTTCCTTCAAACCTGCAAGAACGAGGAACACCCTTGTTGAATGGAAGAGTAGGGAGAAACACCTGCGACTCCCAAAAGCCCAAGGTCGCTCTTGGAAGTTAACAGCATCCCGTATGCATATTGTTACGGATGACTATTTCTTGTGAATTCACCCGCAATTCAAGAGGCGTTGAACTGTTCATTGAGAGTGTCAATATATATGGTGGACATCATGCTAGTGATTTGCACGCATTCTGCTTCGCATAACAAAGCCCTTTCATATACGTATTGCACGCCTTAGAGCAATTGCGAGAGGAAAAGAAAAAAACTCACGTGACTGCATCCTTCATGTCGATGACCTTGTAGTTGTTGCGTTGAAGAAATGCCGTTATCTCTCCAGCAAGCACCGACAGAGGCTTCGCACCGGGCTCCGCAGGACCAGGCACCTCGAACGTCTTTCGCACGATCTGCAAGCATGCGACAGGGACTAATCATCGCGTGATGTGCATCCCCGCCATTAGCGGTACATGACAACTCGCATTAGCAAGGAATGTGCTTGGCGGGCGGAAGCTATGGAAGAAGTCTATTAACCTTGGATTTTGTAGCGCGCTTGATGAGCGAATAGAGACCAGGTATGGAGATTACGAAAAGCCCGAGAGATGCATAGTAGCTTGCTGGAGAATACGACGATGAAAACTCCTCAGCCAATGCGGGGAACACGGTCAGACACTGCAGCAGAAATGGCGCAGAGATCATCAAGAGAAGAGAGATCTGGTTGTCCTCAGCTTCGTTCACCGAGCTAGTGGATGGTACGGGAGCGGGGAGACAAGGCGCGGCATGTCCGATGGCTGCTGGTTGATTGTGGCATTCCAGCGAGCAGACGACTGGCCGCGCTGGAATATGGGATGCAACTAACTCGAATCGGGAAAGACTCAGACGGGGAGCCGAAAAATACTTGTGCAGGGACGTAGCTCTCTGCACAAACGTGGCCGTAGAGGCCTTTGTTAGAAGGGACGCCATGAGAAGCCTCTCAGTCAATGACTGAAGTTGAGCTGTAAACGTTTAGAGAACAAAGAATCAGATACTAGGACAAGAGAAGTTGGAGATGCACAGAAAGCACAGACAGGAATTGGGGAGGGAGGAGGGATGACTGAGCGTGCCACAGTGGAAGAGGAGGACAAAAGCACAGGCCACGTAATCAGCAAAACACCAGGGTTATCAGAGAATGTGCCACGTTGAATGTTTTTTTCACGCGATAATAGACGCTCAGGCAGTCGTCACGGCCAGATTCAGTTTCCATCTTGAATAATTGAAGTATGGTGGCGAACATATACAATGTGTGACTTCAAGCGTGCATCATGCTCATTCATAAATTCAAATAAACAGGAGTGCCATATGGACTACAGTGAATCCTGCAAATACCGGAAAACAGTCAGTATGCAGTAGTGCAAATTGGCAAGTTTTGCTGAATAGATAGCACAAACCTTACCTTGGTGCAGACATAAATATAGTGCACATTCCCACCCTCCAAATCTTCACCATTCGGGACCAACCGCCCGTTGATGCCAATTTTCATTGGCACCAGAGCCCAAGCCGGACATAACTCTGCACACACCCCTGGCCGTGCTGCAACAAGGCACACACAAGACTTGTGCCAAATTAGTAAGGTTGAGTTAGCTGAACCGTCTTCAGCCATCTGAATACAAAACAGGTCCTATCTTACGCATGGCATGTATTTTGACTGTCCAGCTCAACTCGTCTGCTTGCAGGTGTGATATGCGGACTTGAGGATCACCGTATGTAATCTGCATTGGGCAGGCATCACTACATGAGAGCGCCACAGAGAAGTCCTCATACCTCAGAAGTCATAAGCATCTCACCAGCAGGAATTTGCCTCCAGGTTTCAACACTCTGCGTCAGAACATGATACAACGTTGTCAGAGAACTGTCAATCGCACAGATGAACCAGTGTTTCTAAGCCACATTCTGCGCACCTGCACACTTCACTTATCATGGCAGATGCATTCTCCATAGAATTGTTCCCACACTGGTAAACAGCCCAATCAAATGAGAGACAAGATAGGTGAGATAAGATGAGATATCAAAATGATACACAACGAAAGAAGAAAGGGTCAGTCAAGGTGCTGACCAGGATGGCATCCAGAGTGCCTGCAAAACAAGATGGAAGTTAGCCATGAAGAGGGGTCGGCCACACTATGAGAAAATCGGGATGAAAAAGGGAATGCTGGAAGCTCAAAGTCCGGCCTTACCTTTGTCAAGAACCACATCAAAAGTGGATTCGTCGAACCCCATTGAACAAACATTCATCGTGTCATCTGGAGCAAGTTGGATACGTCAGAAGTTGCTTCCCAACAAAAGCAAGCGGAGAGCGGAACTGCAAGTGACGGAGAATATGCTACCAGGAAAGAGAGCGCTCGAGTTACTTACACTTTAGCTGCGGAATGTTAGAGTTTCTTTGTTTCATAAAATCCACTACCACCTGCACAGTTGCACCACAGTAGCCAGAACTGGAGTAGGTGCCTCCAAATAGCATGCAAGACAAGCAAGACTGGCTCTTTCAGTAACTCACCGAGGAGATGTCAATGTTCCAAATGTCTTGATATCCATTCTGAACCATGTCCTCTGAAAGCACTGCTCGATCAAGGAAATCAACAAGTATCGTGCATTCTACGTCAGTCAGCCCGCACGACGTCGCGAATCCTGAAGCTGTTAATGCGAATAGGAAGGGGCACTCACCTGCATTGCCGCAGCCCACCATGAGCACCTTGGACGCTTTGTTCATGTAGAGGTCAAATATGGGAGCCAAGCCTGTGTACTGTTGATACCAATCAAAGGTCTTTTCAGGGCCCTCCTTTTCGTATCGTTCATCCCAATAAGGCGCGTCTCCATACGATGGCGTTGCGTATTCACCCATGAGGAGCAAGAGATCGAAGGTCCAATTGAACCACGACTCGCCCGCCTTCGCTCGAAAGACGCGTGCTTTGGGACAAGAGATGCTCGCGAACGCAGGGCAATGGGGTGCTACTCGGCGCACGCTTCCACAGGCTAGGCTGGCAAGCGTTGCGTTCTGCGAAGGGAGGAGACAAGCAGCAACAAGCATTGCTGCAGTGTGCTGATCACATGCATTCGGAGAGGCCTTGGGATCTCCATATTTGTCTGGGGTAGTATTGCATCCATCCGCGTTTTTGCGCATTCGAAAAACGTAAGAACAATTTTGTTGCACTTATATTAGTTCGAAACTGTCTCTCGGTTTCCTGCAGACCGTGAATTCAGAAACTGAGCTTTCGTACCTGACTTACGCCCCGGGACAAGCGATGACCGAACCACCATCGCGGCGCACTCTCACCCCCTCCATCCTCTGTGTTTCTAGCGCCTTCTAGTTGAAGCATCCACGTGCGATGGCGGCGCGCGGCGTGCAGGAGTACGTCGCGGCGGTGAGCCGCGCGATAGAAGCGAAGGACGGCGAGGCGCTGGCGGCACTGTTTAGGGTGTTCCGACCAGGCTACCCTGAAGTCGTCGCTAATGGGCTCGACCACGTGCGGGTACGCGTCGCGGCGACAGATCACTTCCGTCCTCCGAGGAAGGAGTCCGCACTTACCACCATTTTCAAACCCCCCATTTGTTATTCCTCGCATTCCCCCCTCCCCCGGTCCCCTGGCACGTGCGTCCTCCACAGGACATGGCGCGGTTGCTCAACCGGGTGCCGGAGAGGCTGGGCGAGATGCTCCTGCCGTTGATGCAAGCCATGGCCGCGATCCAACGGCACCAATTCACCGACGCCTTTGGGGAGATGCTCCAATCCGCCAAGTAATTCATCGCCATCGCAAGGCGTCCTTTCCACGCCTGCTCATCTGCCGTCGACTCATCACCTCTCCGGGCTCCTCCCATGCTCCACTTCTCACATGCCATCCTCGCCTCCTTGCTTCTTGCCACCCTTGTCGTCTCCCCTCTGCTCCGCCCTCCCCCCCACTCTTCTCATCGGCCTGTCTCCCCGCCTCCCCCCCAACGTCCGCCAGCCTATTGCTGCCGGTGCTGCGCAACTGGGAGGGCACGTGGGCGCTGCCCCCCCTGCACGTGGTGGTGCACGACCTCAGAGTGCTGGCGGAGAAGGTGAGGGGGGGGGGGAGGGGGTGAGGGGAAAGGGGTGAGGGAGCGCAGTTTTTGCGCTCATAGCAATGTCTTTTAAAAATTCGAGCTGATTGCTGCCGGGCAGCCTTGGCATTGGACGACATGCTGGCGTAACAGTGCCCACCCTTGCATGCTGACTGGCATGGCATGGCATGGCATGGCACGGCAGGGGAGCAGGCGGACATGGAGCAGCGGGCGGCAAGCAAGTCACCGGATAAGCTCAAGGCAGCAGCGTCCTTCCTGATGAAGGTCTTCGGCGCCATCGCTGTGAGTGGAACCTAACCAGCAGCACCCAGGCACTAGAGGGCAGTCGCTGCCATGGCTGATTATTCTCCTGCCCTCTTTCCTCGTAAGCAGGCTTTTTTTTCCCCATCCCCCCTTCTCTTGGCAGGGCAAGGGCCCGAAGAAGGTGGGGTCGCTGTACGTGGCGTGTCAGCTGTTCAAGATATACTTCAAGGTACCTCCCTCCCACTCATCCGCGCTCCCTCTCGTCCCTCCCATCTCCCCACCCCACCTCCTCCTTCCCCTCCTCCCATCCTCCCCCTTCTGCGGCTGTCCCTCTCTCGCACTCCCCATGGCACGCCCTCTCAATCTAATGCGGCGTGCTACGCCCAATCGTTCCCTGTGTGTGTGCGCCCAATCGTTCCCTGTGTGTGTGCGCCCAATCGTTCCCTGTGTGTGTGCGCCCAATCGTTCCCTGTGTGTGTGCGCGCAATCGTTCCCTGTGTGTGTGCGCCCAATCGTTCCCTGTGTGTGTGCGCGCAATCGTTCCCTGTGTGTGTGCGCCCAATCGTTCCCTGTGTGTGTGCGCCCAATCGTTCCCTGTGTGTGTGCGCCCAATCGTTCCCTGTGTGTGTGCGCCCAATCGTTCCCTGTGTGTGTGCGCCCAATCGTTCCCTGTGTGTGTGCGCCCAATCGTTCCCTGTGTGTGTGCGCGCAATCGTTCCCTGTGTGTGTGCGCCCAATCGTTCCCTGTGTGTGTGCGCGCAATCGTTCCCTGTGTGTGTGCGCGCAATCGTTCCCTGTGTGTGTGCGCCCAATCGTTCCCTGTGTGTGTGCGCGCAATCGTTCCCTGTGTGTGTGCGCCCAATCGTTCCCTGTGTGTGTGCGCGCAATCGTTCCCTGTGTGTGTGCGCCCAATCGTTCCCTGTGTGTGTGCGCCCAATCGTTCCCTGTGTGTGTGCGCGCAATCGTTCCCTGTGTGTGTGCGCCCAATCGTTCCCTGTGTGTGTGCGCGCAATCGTTCCCTGTGTGTGTGCGCCCAATCGTTCCCTGTGTGTGTGCGCGCACACGCCCCTGGCAGCTGGGCACGTTGAATCTGAGCAAGAGCATCATCCGCGTGATCGATTCCTCCAAGGGCTTCGATGACTACCCCGCCCGAGACCAGGTCAGACGGGGTGTGGGCAGGTGAGCGCAGGCGAGGGCAGGTGAGCGCAGGCGAGGGCAGGTGAAGGCAGGCGAGGGCAGGTGAAGGCTGGTGAAGGCTGGTGAGGCCAGGTGAGGGTAGGTGAGGGCAGGTGAGGGCAGGTGAGGGCAGGTGAGGGCAGGTGAGGGCAGGTGAGAGGGGCATTGCGCACTAGCGTGGAGGCAGGATAGCTGTTTGTTGAAGCTCTTGCATGTGCTGTCCACGGTCTCCCCACCCTCATCCATCCGCCCTCTCTTACCTCTCATCCACCATTGCCTCCTCCCACGCGTGTCTCGCCCCATCTGTGCCCAGGTGACGTACAAGTACTACACGGGACGCCTTGACGTCTTCAACGATGCCTTCCTGCAGGTGCGCACGTGCCTCCATGCTCTACCCAGTCCATCTCCAACTTCTCACTGCCATGCGTCTCCCACCACTCACTTCCACTCATTGTTTCGATGCCATCCCCACCACCCGTGCCATCCCCACCACCCGTGCCATGCCACTTGGGTGCAGGCGGATGAGAAGCTTGGGTTCGCCTTGAAGCGCTGCCACCGCTCCAAGCCATTCAACATACGGTACCCTGCTCCCTCCTCCCTCCTCCCTCCTCCCGTCACCCCATTCGCTCCTCCGCCCTGTACCTTCGCATGGGTTCCTTCCTTGCCGATTCACCACTTCCTACATTCCCCCATCACCCCTGCTTCCTCGCCTCACTCCCTCTCTTGCTTCTCCCCCTCGTTGCTGTGCGCCTCTCCACCCTCTCCCCCCCACCACCAGTCGCATTCTGCGCTACCTGGTGCCGGTGCGCCTGTCCCTGGGCTACCTGCCATCGCCCGCGCTGCTCCACAACTACCAGCTGCAGGAGGTTCGCTGCTCTGCCGCCCCACGCCCCTCGCCTCCTCTGCTGCTCGCCCTTTCGTCCCATCTCCTTTGCTGCTCCTTTTGCCTCCTCAGGCCCCTTTGCTTCCCCCCATTCTCCTCTGCAACTCTCATGCTGCCTCTCTCCATGTGTCCCATCCATTTTCCCTGTTGATGGCATGGCATGGCATGGCATGGCATGCATGTGTGCAGTACGAGGGCATCGTGCAGGCCATGAGAACAGGCGACGTTCGGCTGCTAAGAGACACACTCAGCGCCAATGAAGACAGGTGGGCGCCCACCAGTGCAGCTCACTCAGCCTCCACCTCATGCCACCTCCTCTCTTCGCTCTGCCTTGCCTCCTTTCTTCTCGTATCCCTCTTCGATGCTCTTCTCCCTCCCTTGTTACCTCGCCCACAAGGAGCCCACAAGGAGCCCACAAGGAGCCCACAAGGAGCCCACAAGGAGCCCACAAGGAGCCCACAAGGAGCCCACAAGGAGCCCACAAGGAGCCCACAAGGAGCCCACAAGGAGCCCACAAGGAGCCCACAAGGAGCCCACAAGGAGCCCACAAGGAGCCCACAAGGAGCCCACAAGGAGCCGACAAGGAGCCCACAAGGAGCCCACAAGGAGCCCACAAGGAGCCCACAAGGAGCCCACAAGGAGCCCACAAGGAGCCCACAAGGAGCCCACAAGGAGCCCACAAGGAGCCCACCAGGAGCCCACAAGGAGCCCACAAGGAGCCCACAAGGAGCCCACAAGGAGCCCACAAGGAGCCCACAAGGAGCCCTCTTGCGCCCTCCACCTCACCCACTTCCCACTCTCTCGCCGGCCCCTCTCCCCGCAGGTTCCTGAGAGCGGGTGTGTATCTGCTGCTGGAGAAGCTCGAGCTGCACGTGTACCGCCGCCTCATCAGGAAAATGTAACCACGCCATGCCATGCCCCATGCCGTGCCGCACATGCCCATTGTACCCCCACCCCCATGCTCTCACGCCCCCATGCCCTCTTCGTCGAATGTTCATCATGTGGCGCTTCCTCCCTGCCACATCCCCCACTCTCGTATTTCAGCAGCAACCTCAATTAGCCCCTTCCCTGTCTTCCCCCCCCCTTCCACCAACCAGCCACGTGCTACAGCGTGCCAAGGACCCGTCGCGGGCGCACCAGGTGCGGTTGGAGGTGGTGGTGCGCGCGCTGGCGGGGCGCGGGGCGGGCGTGGACATGGACGAGATGGAGGGGCTGGTGGCCACGCTCATCGCGCTGGGGTTCGTGAAGGGGTACCTGTCGCACAAGAGCAAGGTCATCGTGCTCAGCAAGCAGGACCCCTTCCCGCGCCTCACCGGCCGCGTGCTCCTCTGATGCCCGCTAACATGCTAGTTTAGATTTGATGGATGCTCCCTGTGTTGGTCCATGGGGGCTGTGTAGTGTTTTGCAAGACATGGTGCCCATGTGTGTTTGTGTAGGCTTATTGTTTCGCTAATGGTTAATCATCTTACAAAAACACGAACGGACCCAACGGCACAGCTCTAGAACTTGGTCCATTTGCGCAGCGCCTCCTGCTTGGCCATGCTGGAGTGCGCCGAGTCTCGCCCCCCCTGCACGCGCCTCAGCTCCTCCCGGGCGGCCGCCAGCTTGTGCTGCACTGCTGCCAGCGTCACCTTGTCCTTGGCATGTCGTGCCGCCATCTCCTCGTACCGCCCCACCCGCGCCTGCACCTCCCGCACGCGCTCCTCCACCTGCAGCAACTGCCGCCGCTCCCCCTCCCGCCCCACTGCTGCTGCTCCTCCTACCACCACTGGTATCTTGCCCCCTCCCACTCTCCCTGACCCAGGTCTCTTTCCTCCGTTCAACACCACTCTTCCCGCTCCTCTCACTCTCTCACTCTGGCTGCCCCCCGCTGACTCACTGCCTGACTCCCTCATCCTACTTCCTCCCCCACTTGTCACTCCCCTACTTCCCTCGCCCTCTGCCCTCTCCCCTCCCCCCCCTAGATGCACGTTGATGAAGTCAAACACATCGCCCCTCCTCCCATCCCCCTCCTCCTCTGCCTCTGCTGCAGCTGCCGCCTCTCTCTCTGCCGCTATTCTCTTCCGATTCCTCGCCCTCTCCCCTCCCCTGCTCTTCTTCCTCTTCTTCCCTCCCTCCTCCCCACCACCCCCGCCCCCCTTCTCCCCGCCACTCTTACCCTCCCTTTCCTCCGCCCCTAGCCCTGCGCCCCCCACCTTACCCCCCTTCCCTCCTCTCCTCTCGCCCCCGGGCTGCACGGCAACAGGGGAGGTGATCCCCTCACCGTCCCTCCCGAGCCCCATGCCGGCTTTGAACCCCATGCGTGCCATCACCTGCGACGCCACGCCGCGTGTGTGCTGCTCCCACCCGGCAAACGCCACCGTCTCCCTCTGCGGGCCCGCTGCTGCTGCTGCCTGCGCGTGCCGCAGAGAGGCGGAGAGAGAGGCTGCGGCAGCAAAGGGGTGGGCAGAGGAGGGATCGTCGTCGTCATGAGCAGCAGCAGCACCCTCCTTTTCGTCGTCTGACTCGTACCCCTCTGTGCTCTCCTCGCTGCTGCTGCTTCCGCTGCCACTGCTGCTGCCGTCATTGCCTGTGCCATCAACCCCTTTCTCCCCCTCCCCCACCAACTCTGCCACCAGCGGAGGGGCGGTCTCAGCGGCTTGGGGGAGGGAGTGGAGGAAGGAGCGGGGGAGCAGGCAGGAGAGGGGGAGGGAGGCAGAGGAGCCACTGCGGACAGACGTGACAGTGCAGGTGCATGAGCAGGTGGGCAGGTGGACGGCTGCTGACGAAGGTGATTGTGGGCCCTGCTGCTTCTGTGCTGCTGCTGCTCCTGGACACGTGGCGTGGTGTGATTGGAGCTCGGCTTGCTCCCAGAGACGGGTGAGGGGGTGGGCGTGAGGAGCAGGTGGAGATGAGGCGAGGAGGGAGGAGCCAGTGGGGAGGGAGAGTGGGCAGGGGGAGGGGGGAGGGCACGGAGGGCGGCGAGGGGGAGGAGCAGCCCGTGGGAGTGGCGGCAGCGATGGCTGAAGTGGCAGCGACGCGAGAGGAAGAAGCGGCAGAGCTGAGAGGGGGGGGATACGAGAGAAAGAGGGGGGTGGGGAGAGGATGCAGGGGGGCTTGAGGGAAAGCATAGCTCTTGAATGGCCTGTGAAGGTTGCTAGCGACAGCACGCATGGCAGCACACAGAGGCACTTGAGTGCATACACGCACCTGGTGCGCGCGGGTTGTTGGATACAGAAACGCCACGCGCACCAATCGGCGCCCGCCCCTCCTGCTGTTTCTCCTGCCCCTCTTCTGCTGTTCCCACCCTCTCCCCTTGTCCTCCCCTTCCCCCACCTTCCCCTGGCCATCTTCATCCGCTTCTGCTGCATACCCGAGGCCCACCCTCTCCTCTCCTGCATACCCCAGGCCCACCCTCTCCTCTCCTGCATACCCCAGGCCCACCCTATCCTCTCCGCCCACCTCACCACTCGCCCCTCCCTCGCCTGCTCCCACTCCCTCACTCTCCCTCTCTCCCCTGCTCTCCCCTCCCCCACTGCCAGCAGATTTCTCCCCTCCACCCTCACCATCCCCCCCATCGTCCTCTACCCCTCGAAGCGACAGCACCTCCCCCGCATACCACCTGCCGTCCACATGTCGGAACAGACATTGCTGCCCCACGCGCACCCCACACTCGCCCCCCTTCCCTCCTTCCTCCCATTCAACCCCGTTTGGCTCTTCTCCCCCTCCGCCTTCCGCGCGCCCTTCCCCTACGCCCGTTACGCCTACATCTGCGCCGCCCGCGCTGGCCGCTTCCGCCCTTTGCGCCTCTCCTGCTCTGCCGCGCGCAGCCCCTTCCGAAAGCCCCTCCGCGAGTCTGTCCGCGTGGCGCAATAGCCGCTGCCGCTTCAGCTGCAGAAGACTCGCCTCGCCCGCCGCCACCGCTTCCGCAAGCTCTCCGCGCACCTCCGCGATCTCCGCAGAGGGTTCCGCCAGCAGCAGCGCGTCCACTTCCGCCAGCGTCGCGCGCTGCCCGGCCAACTGCGCCTCGAGCTCGTCCTCTAGCAGCCGCTCGTCCGCTTCAGTGGCGTCCATGGCGGCGCGACGCATGCGGGAAGAGTAGGAGTGACCCACACAACGGAATGAGTCACACAGGAAGCAGCTCTGCGTTAGGGCGTGTCCCAAGAGTACCTCCCCCGTGATGTACGGTCCAATCAGAAGGACTGAAGCACGTTTTGTCGCACTTAAGGGCGGGTCCAAATAGTTTGATTGGGTTTTTTGGACGCGACAATACGACCTCGGGTGCAAAGACTCAAAACGATCCCTGAAGCGTTTTCCGCCCAAAACGCGTCCCAAATTGTGAGCGAAAATAGAAACCAGCGCCAACTGGGTGCGTCGCAAAAAACGGTTCGCCTCAAAGCCCCAATATCAGTTACAGAATTTCGCATCCTGCGAAAAAAGTTGTGTCGTGCTGGGTTGGGTGGCAGGTGCGATTTGGCGTTGCGCCACGGGAGCTGTTCGCAAGGTCGCCTTGAGCTCGCTAAGCCCTGGTTGGCGAAACTCCAACGCGCCACACAGGTTCACCCGGCCCCAAACGTACACGTACCGTTACCCGAATCGTAAACGAATCTTGAGTGGGCATTCACATGTGTCGAGCATCCCGAGTGTCGGGAAATTCGCGCACTTGCCCTCGCGAAAATCAAAGCAGGTTTTAATCGGGTTACTTTCCTCGAAATGAATTGGGTGCGGCCTATTAGGACATGCCCTTTCATACAAAATTCAGGGAAGGATGCGGTGGGTGCGGGCGTGCGTGTGCGGTGTGGGGATGGAATGCAATGCAGTGAACGAAGTGTTTTCCATCCTCAACCCATCACTAGCATTTTGTTTGGAGTTCCATCTCAACCATATTCATGATTACAACATATGCTTTTATTCCATGCAAGGTTCCGTTTGACTATTCATCTTCGTTTTAGCTGTCTCTATTTCTGCCTTGATCACATCTCTTTCCTGCTCCAACTTCCTTTGCTGCTCTTGCAGCTGCGTGAGTCTGTTTGTAGCATGTATAACCTTGGATCTCAACTGCTCCCGCTCGACCTTGAGCTTAGAGGCCTGCAAGACACAAGCAATTTCGAAAGGAAAGTCAGGCCGGCTTGTCATAATGTGAGGCAGCAATCACAACTGTGCGAACAAGCACAGGCATCAAGGTGCCGTCACATGCCAAACTCCTTTTCCTTACATCGGACTCAAGATGCGACAGCAGTTGTTGCCGCCGCTGCCGGCTTCGCTTAGCCGACAAGCGGTTAGAGACCATCCTGCACGGCAGCACGAGAGGGGTTTAGAGAGCCACATGCAACAGTTGCATAGCAAGAACAAGAGGCAAGCAAAGTACGGCAGAGGGCGCCATGCCCTAGAGTACACCAAGCCTCACCTTCTCTTCCGCCTCTCCTGCAGAATCTGCTCCACTGTCATCCCTCCAATGCACTCCTCCTCCACCCCTACACCCTCATCACTCTCCTCCCCTCCCGCTCCCCCGCGACCCCACTCCCACCTCTGCGTCTGCGCCCCCTCGCCGCACTCGCGCACCGTGGCGCAGGCCATCCAGCTGCCTGGACTCCCTCGCACACCGCACGCATAGGCACCCGCAGGAGCAGGAGCAGGGTGGTGATCAGCCAGAGGCGGGTGAGGTGCCATGACTGCAGGGACAGGAGCAGGTGAGGGGGGCATGGCGCTGTGACTGTTACATGACACGATGCTCCTGAATGATGCACGGCCACAGTGTGTGGTGTTGCCAAACATGCTGTCGCCATGCGAATTGCCGCATGCAGCACTTGTTTCTGTGCCACTGCTGACTCCAGCTGACGTCAGCAGCACATGGCCGTGTGTCGCCTCATTCCGTGGCTGATACGCCATTTCCGCCTTTGGTGCACCTGGCACCCCACACCCAGCAGCCCCAGCACACCCAGCCGTTCCGCCCACCAGGCGGCTCAGCCACGCGCTGATGTCGTCGCCGTCTCCTGCCCCTGCCAGCCCCCCATGTGCCGCCACGTCTGTCGTCCCCTCCGCCATGCCGCAGCCATCCAATACAAGCTGCGCGTCATCCGCGGCTGGCTGAGAGCTGCAGGGGTTTCCCTCCTCCACGCATGGCCCGTTTCCACGTGTCACCTCGCTAGTGGCGGAAGGGGCTGTCGCGGCGCGAGGCATCACGACGCCCGGTCGACCCGTGGTTCCGTCTTCGCGACTCACGCCGATTTCGTAATCGCACCGCGGGTCAAGCTGCGAGTCGGGCAACCAGGAGCCCGGAAGCGCTGGCATGGCGACGAATTGCGGCGCGTAGCGGACGACGCCAACGGAGGATGCCGCGGAATCCGTTGAGGGCCCCGCTGACAGCGGCGGGAGACGTTGCGGAACAGGCGGCGGATGGCGGAGGGGTCGACGGCTGGGCGGACTCTCAGACTGGGGCGGCGGAGTGAGGAAGTTCGGCGCAAGGGGGGGCGTAGGGGGAAGTGTGGAGGACGCCCGGTGCATGTGGAGCTGCGCGGCACTGGGGAGCCAGACGACTGCATTGGAATTGTCGAATCGCACGGCGTGATATGCGACGTCGCACGGCTGCGTTGGATAGAAGGGAGGCATCGCGCCTCCACCGTGGCACACTGCCATGAAAGGCGCGCTTGACGTCTGCGGCGGTGGAGGACCTTGCGCGACATGCGCGGGCGCAATCACATTCGCCAAGGCTGCATGCGCGCGCGGTACATTAGCAGAGGCGACATGCGCGGGGAGCCATTGTGGCGGATCCAGCGAGCTGGAAACTCCAGAGCCGGTCGTCGTGTCCGCCATGACCTTCCTGCGAGGCCGCGAGGAGAGGCCACGGGGAAAAAGGCAGAAAGCTTTAGTGAAGGGCAGATCGTCAACTTGAGCTCCAGCGTTTTTTTTTTTCCAACTCAGTCAAAATCGCGGCATGATAACTCAAATGTGCGCTACGACGACTTACTTATGCGCCATGATCTGCTGCACTTCCTGCTCTATGGACCGTTCGATCGCAGCAATCGACATGGACTCGTCGCCATGGCCGCAGCCTCCTGCGTATCCCATTAGCGCCTCGTGCGCCATGCCGCAGCGGGTGGCGATGAACGGATCGGCGCACAACACGAACACGCGCAATCGCGTGCGTTGCTTTCGCCGGGGAAAACGGGAGCGACCGAAGACAGGAAATCCTTGAGCGAGATGGAGAGCGCCGCTCCTAGGAGTGTCACGAGGATGAATGAACAGAAGCCTAAGGACAATGGGGGAAACTAGAAATACTTAGGATGCTAGAAAGGCTGGGATCTTGGAATGACGTCGGGAAATGTGATAAGGAAGATATTTCCTGTCACGCTTTATGCTTTGCATAGGCCAACATGACAAAAATCACGTGAGGGAGACTCTAGCTAGAGGAACCTAAGCTGCGGAGGTTGGGCGAGATGGAAGAAAAAGATCCCGAAAGTTAGCGAGTGGTTGGGGCGTGGAGTGACCTTTCACGTGAACTGCTACAAGATGGTTGTGTACGGTCAGAAAAGAGCAGGTGGCTGGGAAAACCATACAGCAGCATTCACAAACTGGCAACATTCCGCACTTCACGCTTTGTTGCTCGTGATGGGAGGGAGGGAAACGCTGAGCGGAATTGGGAATTGCTGTGGCTGGGGAGGAAGCAAGTCGCGCAATTTGCGCGGGAAACGAAGCATTTTGAGGCAGCAGAAGCACAAGAGGGAGGAAGAGTTGCGGCATCGAGAGGACGTCAGCATGATGTTGTCTTGAGACAACCTCTGGGGCTAGTCCCGTAAACCGAAGCAAATGCGGGCTAGAGCACACACCAGACCAGGCTCCGCTTCTGCTCACGGCTCCCGTGGGGTTTCACTGTCCCCTCCAACCCCCATGTCATTTTCAGTACGGCAGCATCTGTTTTCCTCCTGGGATCTCCTTAAGTAAAACAAAAGTCCAGACAGGCCAAAAGGGAACATTTTCCCTGAAAAATAGACTTGCATCCAAGGGAAGTGAAGCAGGTGCGTTTCGAGTGTGCTGGTGGCTCAGAGCCAAAAGGTTGGCGCGTGGAGAAATATCTGATCAGATATTTAAGGATACCCGCAAGTTGCCCGAAGTTTGCTGCACCCTGCGGAAATTGTTGGAAAACAAAATTTGCTCGCTGCGTCCCGAAGGCCGCAAACAACACAAGGGCAGTGCGAAGTGCAGAGGGGTGGAAAATCATGTCTAGCGATGCAAACAACACAATACAGAACAGCGGGCAGTGCGAAGTGCAGAGAGGCGTGTCCGGCGCGTACTTTTCTCGCTCAAAACCATACCCAACCGTCTCAGATCGTTATGATTAACTTCTGACGCGCATAGAAACTTCCCCAACCACAATCAAACGTTCGCGCGGGACACGCCTTTAAAGCCCGAGTTTAGAATGGTTTGCTATCAAGTTCAGGAATCCTGAACTTGTTCTCGTCGAATAAAGGGTAACGTGGTATATACCCGGGAAACGTCGCAACCCTCAGGGAACGGGGGGCAGCTTGCGACTTCTGCTGAATAAGACAAACCCCCAGTCACTGTTAATCTCAGTATTCTTGAGTTTTGCCTGCGACCATTCTGAACGGATTTTTTGGGGGGTCTCGTGTCACTGTTTCCTCCTTTCCCCCCCCCCCCCCCCCCCCCCCTCCCCCCCCCCCCCTCCCCCCCTCCCCTGCACTGTTCACGCACTGTTGAGCTTAATTGTTGCCGTTCGGTTCTGGATTTCGCCATAACATTTTTTCGTCAGGGGAACTCTGCCGAAAATACTTTCGCCCTGTTTTTTTGGCACTGTTTTCATGGTCAGAAATCATGTTTTTATACCATTCTAGATTTCGGGCTTTAAAACAATCAGCTAAGAAGAATCATTAGATGCCCTGCCACGTGGTATAATTTCGACCATCGAGTATGCCACGCATGGACACTGGATCCTTGCAGGAAGCTCCGGATTTCAATATATCCCCGTCTGTGAGAAAGGTAGAACGATGTAGCAACTGTATCTAACAAGCAACTGCCTTGTCATAGACAAGGCGATAAGAAAGCCACACGTTAACCTAATATCCAATGGAGATTTCTTTTTAGACAAGTTCATTTAAAAAAAAAAAACAGAACGTCAATAATCACATCAGCGCCGCTAATAATCTACCATCACAAATCACATCAGATCCAATTCAGTTATCTTCCTAAGGAATTGCATAAACCTGTCCCCATTGGCTGTAGCTGTATCGGTAGATGGCATGTGCTAACCTACCTAATTGCAATGTCCTGACAAGCACCAATCACCAGAACTTCATGGGCTGCTGTCACGTCTCTGTAGGTAGCAGTGGTGAAGTCCAAAGAGGATTGACTGCAACCATACACTGAACTTCTGGATAAACACACACCCACCCACCCTTGCCACACCATGACGCCCGTTCAGACATTTGCTACATCATTAACCTGTACGGGATGTAAGGATGGAGCAACGGACATGGTCCTATGACTCACGAAAGGCGACTGGCACAAAACAACCATGAAGGTACCGGGAGAAAACACAGACTACATAACACGCTGCATCGCAATGCAGTGCTTGTAGGCAGCATCCGCTGATGACGCCCAGTTTGAAACCAAATGCGTTTGATTTTGAGTGTTGGCAGGTGAAGAATGCATGGCTTGACCCATCATCTTCACTGCAAGAGAACGTGATTTGGTTACAAGAGATCTGTTAGTTCTCAGCATTTACCTCCAACGAACTTATTTGGCTGGAGGTTGCTTATCTGACGCCCACAAAGCCTGGCTCCAATGCTCAGGTTGTTCCTGCACAGAATTAGAAGTCTTGTAAGGAATCAATCCAGACTCACTTTCAGAACAATCAAGAGCTATCCATTCATACCGTGCTGCGCTCTGTCATATCAATACGGCGCTGCGCTTCGATCGCGGTCACCTTGTCGTCTGCAAAAACGCGACTGAAGGAAAATGATGCTCTGTGGTGTTTTTGGAAGAAAGTGCGCGGGATATAAACTCACAAAAACCGGTCTTAATCATAAAGGCCTCCATTGCGGCACCCGTCAGGAAGCAGGCTGCAGAAAGTTTTGCATACCACCTCCATCCAAACAAATTCAGCGAGCGCTGACGATTCCCTTGTGAAGGCCTACCGGCGTGCATACCACCCTCCCTGGATTGCCTTGGATTGCGGAGAGCGAATGGAGGCTGGAGGCTGACTGCCTGGCGCGAAGGTATGGAAGTGCTAATAAATGATGCGTGTGTGGCCATTACCAACGATTTCCCCTGCTTGTCGCGGTGGGGTGCGGTGGTCAGAAGGGGAGAGTTGAAATATCCGCGATACTGTAAAACCGCAGAAGCTTTCTGGAAAAAATCGAAATACAAGAATTTCGTCAAATACAAAATGCTGAAGTTCCAACCAGTGGATCTCCATTTGGCCTTCAAATCAAACATTTCCCGCTGCGACTTGCCACCTTGCCTAGAACAGTCTAGGTGAATCAGTTTAGGTCAAACTATGCCTAGGTCTTCAATAGTTACAGCAACTACTGCGATTCCAGAATTCAGAAGATTGCGTTCAACGCTCGTCGCCGCGACTGCTTCGTCGCTTTTTCTCAACCTTCCGGTTTGCGCTTCGGAATCCCACAGCAGATAGGTGTACGCAAGATACGCCCCTTACGATCGAAGCCTCGTGCCTTTTACAGAGTTGATAAATGGTTCGTGCTGCTGTGCCGTCGAGTCGTTATGTTCTTGCTGCCCCCTTCATGTGCTGATTCAGTACCTTGGTCACGCAGAGTATACTACTGCAGTCCGGCCTCTTCGGCCTTGGTCCACCGTGCTCTATCGCGATTAACTTCGAAGACGCAGAGACGCGAAAACAAGTAGGTGGTTACTGCGTGTTAGTTTCACTCCGTTTTCAGTATTCGGTTCAGATCTGTGGTCACGTTACTGATGAAGTGCGTATCTGCAGGCATCCGTTAAGAGGGAGAGTGGGCAAACAGAGTTAGTGCCATTGTTTCATGGCCAAGACACAGTCGCAGGGGAGGTAGGTTCCTTACGTTGTTGGCTGGTAGTGCCGATGTAGACATGCTCGTCCTGACAGCTTGTCGGGTGATCTGACAGGTGAGGATAGAGCCATTGCCGGGAAAGAAGATTGAACACACTGGAGTGAAGATTGAGCTGATCGGGCAAATCGGTTAGTGCCGCGCATTTTTTTGCTTTAGGGGAACGTGTTGGTCGGTCGATTAACTGTGCAGTGTTAACTCTTTGGTTCACTGGGACTCCTGCAGAGCTTTTCTTTGATCGCGGAAATTTCTACGATTTCACGTCTCTCGGTGAGTACCGCTTTCTAGAGTTACGTTTAAGATCGGTCGTCTTCCTACCCCTCACACCCTGACCCGAAATTGTTGGAGCCTGGTTGTTGCAGTGAGAGAGCTTGACATCCCTGGCGAGATATCCCAAAGGAAGATCTACCCTTTTGAGTTTCAAAACGTGGAGATGCAGTATGAGTCATACAACGGGGTCAATGTTAGACTGAGGTCCGTATATTAAAACATGTGGGCTCTCAGTGGATTGTGTTTCTAGTCAAGCCTAATCGGCGCTGGTCTAACCTCCTAAACCGTTCAGGTACATCTTAAGAGTGACTGTCAGTCGGAATTACTCGTCCAACATCGTCAAGGAGAAGGACTTTTGGGTATGTGAAACGGGGCGCCCGAGTCTCTCCGTCTCTGTCATACATTGAGTAGGCGTGATTGTTGTGGCTCATTTGCTACTGGGAATGTCTGCAGGTACGGAATATCTTGAAAGAGCCAGAAATTAACAACACAATCAAGGTGGGTACGCTCTGATTGATTGAGGTTGCAGCCCTTAACGTCGGCTTGAGCTCCATTATCGTTTTGTGAGCTTTTAAGACCTCTGCTTGATGTTTGTGCAGATGGAGGTTGGAATTGAGGACTGTTTACACATTGAGTTTGAGTACAACAAATCAAAGTAAGCTGCCGTATCGCCGTTTGGAGTCTAATGTTTCATGTTAACTTGCATTCACTATCCATTCATGCCATCTGACCTGCTCTTCCCATGTGTGGTACATACTAGGTATCACCTGAAGGACGTAGTCATAGGAAAGATCTACTTTCTGCTGGTCAGAATTAAGATAAAGCACATGGAGCTGGAGATACGGCGACGTGAGTCAACTGGTTCAGGGCCCAACACCTACAATGAGAGCGAGACGCTTGCCAAGTATGAAGTCATGGATGGAGCTCCAGTAAGAGGTGGGTCTTTGGTGTGTGTGTTTTCTGCTGTGGTTTTTCGCTGCTTGTATAAATGCTCTGATGTTGTGATATTCTGTTGGTCAAGCGCAGTATGGTTCTCACCCTATCTTTCATGCTACTGCATTGCATTCAAATTTCTCACAAGTGCTTAACTCCCTGCTTCTGCCCTCCCGCCCTCCCTTCCCCCACCCCCATTTTGTCACATGCAGGCGAGTGTATACCCATCCGTCTTTTCCTCAGTCCATATGACTTAACTCCAACGTACCGCAATATCAACAATAAGTTTTCGGTTAAGTATTTTCTCAACCTAGTGCTTGTGGATGAGGAAGATCGTCGGTACTTCAAGCAGCAGGAGATCACCTTATTCCGATCCGAGTGAGGTGGAGGGCTTGCGTGGGTTGGGTACGTTATCACATATATGAAGAGATACAAAAGGCTTGCTATGCAATCAATGGGGCATTAGGCAGAAGGCTAGTGCTAGAATTTGTTATGTTTCATATCCTAATGTGTTGCAACTTGTGCAAGGTTCCTACTTTAAGTAATTTTTTCGTTTGTGCGGTTCTTTTTACTGGCATATGCTACCGGCACTGTTCCAGTAACCGTGTGTCACTCAATTGCGTCGTCTGAGGTGATGCTGCGAGTGTCAGGTTCCAGTTCTAGCTTCCAAGCTTTTCTATATGCTCCTACGCCCCTGCCTGCATCCAGCTTAGCTTCTTTGGTCACGCCTCGCCACCAGAAGTCGGTCGATCTAGAAGAGAACCGAGTTCTTCCTCGTGCCATAACGCTAGTCTTGACAGTCCTGACCAGATGTCGGCCTTGACGGGCGTCGCATTGTCATCTTGCACAGCCGCCGTCAGATGCGGTTCCTGCGCCAAATCGCTACGTCCTTCGCCAAATGTCGCATGCCCTCACCTGCTGCAGAGACCACCCCCTGGCGTGGCCTCAAGGCCTCTCAGCCTCGCCTCAACCGCACATTCACGATCGAGTCGCTCGCCCTCAAAACATCCGTCGCACGCTGTCAGTGCGACCAGTAGACGGCGGAGGCTAGTCGTCGTGCGAGCGGGCGACTTCGATGGCGACGACGACGACGAGGGGATGGAGTTCGACGCGGAGGATCTCGATCTGGACGCCGAGATGGAGGTCGAAATGGACGGCCGAGATGATCTCTTCATGCTTGACGATCCCTCCGCTTACGGTCTCGACACCGGTGCAGCGGGTCTGGCGGGAGATGCGGGGCTTGCGCGCGCGGGCGGAGGGGTTGCCTTGCTGGAGCGGGAGGCGGCGGGCGCGGTGGTGCGCGTGGAGTACAAGATCGAGGAGGCGGCGTTCCACTGCATCGCCATGGCCGCGTGCGACCTCTTCGTGCGACGAGGAGGAGACGCGGGCGAGACTGATGTCTTCGACTTCTCCGAGGTGCTGCGGGGTTGGGGGGAGGGATGGGGGATTTGGGTGCGGGGAAGGGTTTGGGTACACGGTTATGGGGACAGTTGGGGGGACGGGGTTGAGGGGACATGAGTAGCAGGACAGGGTTTAACAGGCCTGAGGGAAAGTCTTCAAGCTGGTGAAGAGAGTGGTTGGAGAACAGTTGATCAAACACGCACAAACTTTGCGCAATTTCTTCTCTTCTTGCTCTCAGTTTCCTTCTCGCTTGTCAATGTTCGGCATTCTCCTCGTTTGCATTGCCCTCATCACAATTGGCATCACATGTAACTGGCTTCTTATTCATCGTGACATCCCCACCCACTCCCATCCTTTCCCTCCCCTCCCTCTCTCTGTGGCCGCCTCATTGCCCACTTTGCCATGCGCTGTCAGGTGTACTTCGCTCCGCCTGGCAGTGACGTCTACTCCATACCCTGCAAGCTCGCTCCGATGCCCTTACAGGTAAAGCGTGGAGAGGTGGCGCCATGCATGGCATAGTGGCATGCTCGCTAGTGCTGTGCGGGCCATGCATGGCATAGTGGCATGCTCGCTAGTGCTGTGCGGGCCATGCATGGCATAGTGGCATGCTCGCTAGTGCTGTGCGGGCCATGCATGGCATAGTGGCATGCTCGCTAGTGCTGTGCGGGCCATGCATGGCATAGTGGCATGCTCGCTAGTGCTGTGTGTGCGGGCCATGCATGCACACGGCACTGCATCGTGACACCTCCCTGACCCACGAACCGGGGAACCCGCTACTTCGTGAACCTGCAAAGCCGCCACCCTGCTGACCCCCTAACCCGCTGACCTGCCAGCCCTTTAACCCGCGAACTGGTGAACACGCTAACCCGCCAGCCCGCTGGCCTGCCCTGCGGGCCTGCTAACCCGCCAACCAGCCAGCCCAACAATTTGGTAAACCGCTAACCCGCCAACCCGCTAACCTGTTAACCAGCTAATTTGCTAACCTGCCAACCCGCCAACCCGCCAGCCGGCTAAACCGCTAACCGGCAAACCCGGCAGCCCGCTAACCCGCTAACCAACTAACCGGCTGACCGGCTAACCCGACAGCCCGCTAACCCGCTAACCAACTAACCGGCTGACTGGCTAACCCGCTAACCGGCTAATCGGCTAACTCGCTCACCCACTATCCCGCTATCCCCTAACCTGCTAACCGGACATCCCGACAGCCAGTCACCTCGCCAACCCACCAACACGCTAACCCGCCAGCCCGCCAACCGGCCAGCCCACCAATTGGCTATCCCACCAGCCTGCCAACCCGCCAACCCGCCAACCCACCATACCGCCATCCCGCCAACCCGCCAGCCCGCCAGCCTGCCAACCCGCCAATCCGTTAACCGGCCAGATCGCGAACCCACCAGCCCGCCAACCCGCCAACCTTCTAGCCCGCCAGCCCGCCAGCTCGCCAGCCTGCTAACCCATGAACCCGCTAACCCAACAGCTATGTCCTTGTTCTCCCATGCCCTGTGCACCACCAGCTCTTCTCTGTTCTGTACTCATACCCCCCCACCTCGTCACCTCCCACCCATCTCTCGCCTCTCACCCCCCCACCCGTTCCGTGCCCCCCTCAGGCGGTGCGGTGCCAGGTGGGGCGGTGGACGTACATCACGGGGAAGATCCTGCCGCACTCCAACGACCCCTACAAGCCCAGCGCCAAGGAGATCGACGAGGTCACCAAGGTCCGTCAGGGCAGTCACGCAGCATGGGGACAGTGGCGTGAGCATGGGGGCAGTGGCGTGAGCATGGGGGCAGTGGCGTGAGCATGGGGGCAGTGGCGTGAGCATGGGGGCAGTGGCGTGAGCATGGGGGCAGTGGCGTGAGCATGGGGGCAGTGGCGTGAGCATGGGGGCAGTGGCGTGAGTATGGGGGCAGTGGCGTGAGCATGGGGGCAGTGGCGTGAGCATGGGGGCAGTGGCGTGAGCATGGGGGCAGTGGCGTGAGCATGGGGGCTGTGGCGTGAGCATGGGGGCAGTGGCGTGAGCATGGGGGCAGTGGCGTGAGCATGGGGGCAGTGGCGTGAGCATGGGGGCAGTGGCGTGAGCATGGGGGCAGTGGCGTGAGCATGGGGGCAGTGGCGTGAGCATGGGGGCAGTGGCGTGAGCATGGGGGCAGTGGCGTGAGCATGGGGGCAGTGGCGTGAGCATGGGGGCAGTGGCGTGAGCATGGGGGCAGTGGCGTGAGCATGGGGGCATTGGTGTGAGCATGGGGGCAGTGGTGTGAGCATGGGGGCTGTGGTGTGAGCATGGGGGCAGTGGTGTGAGCATGGGGCCAGTGACGTGAGTGCATGAGGTTACAAAGTGGTGGCGGGGCTATCAAGGTGTGCGTTGGGTTACAGAGGACTGGGGCAAATTGAAGGAGCACATGGTTCATTCCCGCCCTCACCTCCGTGCGTGGCATAGCCGTGCTCCATCCACAGTCAGCCACCCAACCGCACACTCCTCCCCACTGCCTCCCCTCCCTCCACCCGCCAGGTGTTCTTCATCCGGCATGTGGGCGATGCCCCGTACGGCACGCGGGAGTTTGTGCTGGACTTTGAGGAGATCTACGTGTTCGACGGCCATCACAAGACGCTCACACGTGCTGACGTCATTGTGAGGCTTCACCATGCCATGTGCCTGCCCTCATCCATGTGCACGCCCCCATCCATGTGCCTGCCCTCATCCATGTGCCTGCCCTCATCCATGTGCACGCCCCCATCCATGTGCACGCCCCCATCCATGTGCACGCCCCCATCCATGTGCACGCCCCCATCCATGTGCACGCCCCCATCCATGTGCACGCCCCCATCCATGTGCACGCCCCCATCCATGCTCATGCCCATGCCCATGTCTGTAACCTTGCCAACACGAACCATGCATGCTGCTATGGTGATTCTCCTTTCACATCAATGGAACCATCTCCTCTTCTCCCTCCCGTCCCCTGTGGCAGCTGGATGTACCTGAGGACCAGCTGCGGGACCGAAGAAATGAGACACTCATTGTCAGGGATGAGGGCACCACGTTCAGAATCATCCCCAAGGTGAGGCCGAGGTGACGTGAGGTGAGGCTAGGTGAGATGGGTTGGTATGAGGCAAGGCCAAAGTGAGGCCTCTCCGCAATGCTGTTGCTCCTGCTCCATTCTCACGTGTCTTGTTTGTTCCGCGCAGGAGAGGAAGCGCAGTGCGGATGACGTGATTCAGGAGGTGCACTGGAAGCGAACACGTGAGTCCATGGAGAACTACCTCAGAGGGTTCCGAGACTTCCACAAATCCAACTGGTTCTGATACCCTACCAGTCACCTCTGCCTGTGCTGCTGAGTTTCTAGTTGAGGGTTAAAAACAGAGATGGTAAGCTAACTAGATTCGCATTATGCGACAACACATACAAGCATCAACAACGTTGATGAAAAAGCGCAAACCAACAGCTCAACAACTCATTAGGCAGCATGCCAAGCCAAGCCTCCTGGCTGGAGTACCAGCAGCTGAGGGACTTGGGCCACGTGCAAGGCTCTAAGCTCAATATATACACTCAGTAGTAACGTCAAAACGCTTGGGTTGGCATCCCCCTATGCTCGCAATGTTCCGCGGAAAAATGTTCGCAAATTCGCCTCACTCGCCTGCTCCTGCGGGGCCTCTCCTAGGCGGAGAGCGGAACAGCAGCATCGCCCCCCATGCGCCTTGGTGACGTTGCGACAACGGCGCGGCGCACAACGCGGCCGCCGAAGGCGTGGACGAGGATCCAGGGGTGCGAGAGCAGCTTGGCGGCGGAGGGTCGTCGGCGCGGGTCGCGGTGCAGCATGCAGCGGAGCAGCCCCTTGGCCTCCGCCGACACCCCCGCCCACGCGCCGCTCGTGAGGTCCAACGGCGCGTCCAGCACGGCGCGGAACACGGCGTTGTCGTCCGCGCCCCAAAACGGCGGGGTGCCGCTCAGCAGCACGTACAGCACCACGCCCAGCGACCACACGTCCGCCTCCGCGCCGTATTCCCCGCTCAGCACCTCGGGAGCCATGTAAAACGGCGACCCCGCGACGCCGCACGCGCGATGACCCGAGGGGATGGGAATTGAGAAGCCAAAATCGGCGAGCTTCACGGAGGGGACGCGCGCGGAAGGCGGGGATGCGAGGAGGATGTTCTCGGGCTTCAGATCGCGGTGCATTACGCCCTTGGAGTGACAGAACGCGACGGCGGAGGCTATTTGACGAAAAAATAGCGCTGCGTCTCGCTCGGGTAACCTCTGCCGACGCACAATTTCGTCAAAGAGTTCGCCACCGTCGCACAGGTCCATGACGAGGTGCACCTGTCGCTCGTCTTCGAAGACTGCCCGCAATTGTACCACGCCCGGATGCCCCGCCACGCTCTGCATTGCCGCCACCTCGCGCCGCACTTCGTCCCTCGCCGCTGACGTCGTCAAGCGGTTTTTATCGATTGATTTGCACGCGAAGGCCTGCTTCGTCGCATTCTCAATGCAGCGCCTCACGACGCCGATGTGGCCGGCCCCAAGCATTGCTGATTCCACGGTGAAAAACTCCTCGAGCTTTCCAGTGGGAATGTCGAAGACTTGGCAGGAGGCCGTGGGAACAGGTAGGGAGTCCAATTGGGAAATTCTCGTCTGTTTCGAGGCGCGCGATTCAGACTCAGCGAGCGCGGAGTCGATCTTGCGCTTCTTAGGGGCGTCGAGGGACTGGATCTTCCGAATTCCATGGGTCGACGCTGAGTCGTCGGAAGCTGACTGCGCCATGGGGGATGGATATCAACAGCAAGGGCCTGATGCTCCTCTACAAAAAATGACACTCTCGGAAATGGATAAGGTCTTCCGAGTCCTCAGGGTTTAAAAGCTAGGAGGGGGTGGAGATTGGCGGGGAGAGCGAGGAAAATGAGCGCGCGCACAAGCCAGGGACGTTCCCCCTTCCACAAGAAGGGACCGTCGATGCTCGCAGCGCAGCTGGCTCTTGACAAACACGCATCTCCGTACCACACGGTGAATCCTGCCCCGCCATTTCACATCCCAACCGAACCTACGTCTAGCTTTCCGAACGTGGGTCCCAAATGCGTTATTTCTTGTCTACACTACTGTACTCATGTCTGCGATATTGTATCACTAATGCAAATGTCGGAGTTCCTTGAAATATGACACATATTTACCCGGCTACAATACAAAGATTACGACACATATACCGTACTTCTTCTAACGCGGGCCCCGATTTGCGCCATTGATTGAAAGGGACAAGCCCCTAAACCAAACGTGTGGTTCGTCAATCCGGGCCAAAGCAGATATTTCCGAACCTCCCCCAGGGCCGAGGTGAGCTGAAGTGAGGAGGAGCAACTGAGGGTCTGGTCTGGTCCCTGGGCAGAAACCGTTTGAGCAACAATCTGGCCGTCGAAAACCGTGCTACAACCTCATAGCAGTTTCATTGGACGGCCCACGTTCATGCGTATAGATTCCCCGGTTCGATGGCAGTCCAACAACACTGCCGGGCTCCGACGTTTCGTCCAGCCCTCTCAATAACCTAGGGGTCTTCCTGCAGAATCCGAGTTTGCCCGGGATCCAGCTCGTCCAGGTTGGGTAGCCCTAAAATTTTCAACCAGAGTTTCGACCAGCTCGTAATGTGCCACTCCTGACAATGACAGGGGGGGCCAGTTTTTCTAGGGGTGTGAACTTTTACAGGGTGAGTCCATCCCCTGCTCGAAAATCGGCCGTGGGATGATTTTGGCCTGCCTGTCCATGGATAGGTATCAATATTCTGAATGCGTCAAAAACAGGGCTAGATTAAATAATATTGTACCCTATTTTCTTTGACAAAGCAGTATAATTCCCCTGATTTTAAGAGGCTTGGTTTCGTCCCCGTTGGGATTCTCAAATCACCTGAACCGGCATGTCCAGATTGCCGTGCCTTGCTCTTGAGGAAAGCCGGCACGACCATAGATCTTTTGGGCCACTGTGGCTAATTTTATTGGCTTGCTGACTGTCGAAAGCTTTTTCATTGGCTGCTAGTCTGCCGCGCTAGTTTTCACCCTTCTGGGCTAGCTTCAGAGGCAGTGGCAACAGGTCACCTAGCAATCAAATCCATAAATTCGTGTCTGTTCCAGCCAAATGCCATTGCAAGTGCATGGTGTTGTTCGACAGAATCAAGCAACACATGTGGAATCGGGCACCCGAAGGGGCACTTGCCTGCTGCAGGCAGGAGCATGCCTGCCATGCTCGTGGTCACTTGGTCTCATGCCGGCTTGATGTGGAAATATGACTAGAATACACCTCATTGCATGCTTTACCCAAATTGTATTTAATCCTTTTCCCCTTTCATGGCATCATTCTCTTCTATGTGTCAACCCATATTTGTGACATTGATCAAGGCACACGTGGACACAAATCATAGAAGAATCCTATAACAAGCACGCGAGCATGATTCGGCTGAAAACTGTCTCATTCTTGCCCCAACTAGGAGCACCAGCATACACCAAACGTAGTTGACGGAACAATTGAGCAACAAATCAATACATGCCACGAGGATCCTCCATGGGGTTGGTGTACCCAGGGGCCCTATGGATGGTGCGCCCTGCATAGCTCACATACTCGGGGCTTGGCGACCGCATCTGGCTGAAGGGAGACACCGGGGAGAAGGGGCCCGAGCTGGGCGTCTGAAAAGCGGACCCGGGCCGCTGGGGCGAGGGCGTGGGGAGAGGGGAGGGCGGGGGGCGCGGCTGGGGGATGTACGGGTGGGAGGGGCTGACGAGGTGCAGGAGGAGGAGAATGAGCGTGGCGATGGCGGCGGTGAGGGCGGCGAGCCACAGCAGGTTGAGAGGGAGGAAGGCGGCGGGTGGCGCTGCCGCGTTGAACGTCACGTGCACTGTCTCCCTTTGCCCTGCGGGGTGACACGGGGTGGTAGGAAGATGATGCGGAAAGGCGACCAGTGGCATGCGACGTGCGACTGCAATCGGAAAAACAGAATGCCGGCATATTTTGCGGCCGGTCAATCAGCTGGTGCTGTGCGAGCATTGCTGGGTGGTCGTGACAATACCTGTGCCAGGGTCAGTGAAGACAACGTCATCCTCAAAGGATGCAGGCGGGTGGTCCGAATGGTCCCCAAGCATGACCTGGAGCGAGAGAAGACAGACGGGGAGGAGACGACTCAGGGGTCAACAGCAAGACGGGCTGAAACACGCAGGAGAGCAGCCAGCAAGAGGGGTGTAGAGGGCAGACGCATGGGTCATGCTGAATGGCTCACACCAAACCAAACCCACCTGAATGGCAAACAGCGTCTCATCTGCCAGGACTGCAAGCCCCTCTGAAGCACGTGAGCCGCTGCGAGCACCGCCGGCGCCGGGTGCACGCGAGCCCTGACTGACTCCCCTCCCACCGTGCCATGGGCCCGAACCTGCCCTCCGAACCACCAGTGCAGCTTTGTTTCGCCAAGCCACCTGCACTGAGCCTGCAGGAAAGGACAGGCCGAAGTTGGAGAAACAAGGCAGAAAGGGGCAGAAGAGGGCAGAAGAGGGCAGAAGAGGGGCAGTGAGGGGCAGAGAGGCCATGCAGCAGTGCAGCATGATCCTTGGTGGTGCAAGGAGGTGCAATGTTGGGTGAAGCATCAACACAGGAGCCGTATTCTGCCGCCTATGACAGGCATATGTGTCTTCAGGAATGATGGGTTGCTGATCGCTAGTGGGTCGATCATCAGTCGTGCGTATGAAATTGAGGAGCGATGCAGTGTGCTCACTTGTGTTGCCAACGAGTCGGATGGTGGTGCTGTTGGCGGGCAGCGACAGGGCGATCTGCACTCACCCACACACACAAGACCACACGGACAGACAGGGCCATGCAGAGCAAGAGAGAGGGGTGAGAAGCACTCCCTTGGACTGCTAACAGCCATAATCGTCGCGGCCGCATGAAGCAGGAATACCGAGGCACTCAAGATGGACGCGCCATTGCTGCTCCCTCTGGACTGCGCCTGCTCTAGCAACTCACCTCTCCCCCCCCCAGCACATCGAAGCCCCCCACAAACGGCACCACCGCCTCCCCCTGCACTGCAGGGCGAGCGCCCAGCCCCGCCCCCGCTGCCTCCACCACTGCCGTCACCGCCATTGCCACCCCCCCAACTCCGCTGCCCGCCTCCCCCCTGTGCGTTCCCCCTAGCCTCCCAGCTACTGCTGCTGCTGTTGCTGCTGATGAGGAGGGGGAGGATAGGGTGAGGGCGGAGAAGATGCGAGCAGGGGGGGCTGGGGTGAAGGCGCAGACGTAGGATTGAGAGGCGGAGTCAAAGCGAGGAGCGGCAGTGCTGGGGGGGAAAGGGGGGGTAGGGGGGCGGGGAACGAGGGGGAGGATGAGGAGGGTGAGGGGATGGGGGCATGGCGGGGGAAGAGGGTGCATGGCAATAAGGGGGGGAGACATGGCGGGGGGAGGGAAGAGCACAGTGAGAACAACGACTGCCTGTGACTCAAACGATTGGTATGTCTCACCCAAGCATGCTGGGAGCCACGTGGCATGAGAAGGGCACATCCGGGGATCCCACAGGCCGCCCCATGCGCTGACCCCGGGAGTCGCTGAGGGTGAGACGGCGGGAAGGGAGGCATGGGCGTGTGAGCGCAGGGAGGGTGGGTGATAGGCGCATGGGGGAAAACCAATACGGAGGCGACACAAGTGCAGGTTTGATAGGGAGGGTGGACGGGGGGGAGGGGGCGGGGGGTCTGAGAGAGGGCGTGTGGGATGAGGGTTGACTGAGAGGGTGGGTGTCTGAGAGGGGGCCTGTGCAGGAACCGGCAGGCTACCTGAATTGGACTGGGAAGTGGACGGGCCGGCCAGCAGCAGCAAGAGGCGGCGCGTTGCCGAGAAGGGGCGTGGCGTGTGGGGGGTGGACAGCCACTGACAGCACTGGCAGCACGGTCACCCGCGTGTACGTGGTCAGGCGAGACGCGTTGAAACTCACTGGGGGAGGGGGGGTGGGCGATGGAGACAGGAAGGGAGTGGTGGTGAGGGTTTTGCAAGCAGAGCAAGGGCAAGGGCACAGGGAGCAGGATGATGAGGGACGACTGGTGGAAGCGCCATGCGCAGCTGTCAACTCACCCACAGTGGCGCCCTCCCCCACGGCACGGGCCTCCCCTGTGCTGCCGTCCACCAGCAGCACGCTGCTGTTGCCGCTCACCCACCTGCCACCCCTGCTGCCAGCGAACGCTGCACGCTCACGGAGAGGAGGGAGACGGCGAAGTGGGAGGGGACGAGATGAGAAGAAGGAGGGAGGAGAGAGCAGGCAAGAGCAGGGGCATGAGAGAGGAACATACACGGCAGGGCAGGGGCCCTCTTCCTGAGCGAACACGGCATGAGATGACATGGCAGCCAGCACCGACCTTGCTGGTGGTGGCGGTGTGAGAGGGAGAAGTTGAGGGAGGCACCCAGGGGGACGAGGGGGTCACGAGGAAACACGTATGCGCCCACTTGCACCTGGCGATGGTGTGAGGGACGAGAAAGGCAGGGGGCGAAGGGAGCAGAAGAAAGAGAGAACCTAGAGAACTGACGCTTCAGTGGGGGGCTTTTCCAGCACAAGGACGCGGGACAATACTCAACATGTGGCCTTTCGTTTGCTGCTGTAGTGAGAAGCAGTGGAGTGAGCTACCAAACAATGAGAGAGTGAACGCTTGGCTGCCAAGCAGTGCGTGGTATAACAACGCTTGGCTGCCAGAATCACTCTCCTCTCCACTCACTGTAATGAAGTCCACCAATGGCAGGCTGCCACGTGTCCCTCGCCCTGGCCCAGGATGCACCCTCACCCGCACCACTGCTGTGCCCTGCTGCACTGCCTGGGGAGGGGAGGGCGGGGCAGACAAGGGGGGGAGCAGGGAGGGGCGGGGGGGGGAGAAGGCGAAGAATGTGTTCAAGTGCCTCAAAACCGTCACTCGCACCTCTCATGCACTACCCGCAGGGCGAGAGGGGGAGGAGATGCGAAAACGGCAAGGGACGGGTACAGGCACGGGAGCGGAAAATGCAACATACTGTGGATGTGGAGGGCGCAGGGCGAGTGTGTGACGAGTGAGGAACGAAAGGGGAGTGACAGGGGAACACAGATACTTCTAAGCCTCGTTCCCACCACCAAGGTCTCACTTCCCAAGGTCTCACTTCCCCAGGTCTCACTTCCCCAGGTCTCACTTCCCCAGGTTTCCCTTCCCCAGGTCGCATTTTCCGAGGTCTCACTTCCCCAGGTCTCACTTCCCCAGGTCTCAATTCCCCAGGTCTCACTTCCCCAGGTCTCACTTCCCCAGGTCTCACTTCCCCAAGTCTCAATTCCCAAGGTCTCACTTCCCAAGGTCTCATTTTCCGAGGTCTCACTTCCCCAGGTCTCACTTCCCCAAGTCTCAATTCCTAGATCTCGCGTCTACAGGGCTCCACCACAGGTGCTGCCATACGCACCTTCACTACCACCGTTAAGTTGGCTGGCTGCCACGTGTCGCGATCTGGTTGGCTGGCCACCACCGCCACGGACACCACGTCCGGCCTGTCCACCTCCACCTCCACCCGCGCATCGGAAACTTCCAGGAAGGGCACTCCTGCGTGGGGAAAGACAAGAGTGGGCAGGGGAGGCAGGCCGCGAGTTGGCTGGCATGCACCAAGCAGGCGGCAGCAAGCAGGCGGCACCAAGCAGGCGGCAGCAAGCAGGCGGCACCAAGCAGGCGGCAGCAAGCAGGCGGCAGAAAGCAGGCGGCAGCGGTGAATAACCAGGGAGCTGCTACAGGCATGGCGGGTACAAGCATACCACACCCCATGGGAGAGGATCATGTCTCTTACCGAGGCTGTCCCTAAGGTGGACGGAGAAGAGCTGCTGAGCTGGCACGGAGAGCTCAGCCGCATGGAAGGGGAAGTCGTTGTCGCCCACCGTGAGCTGGGCCGCCTGGTGCCAGCAGGAGGGGCTCGAAGAGGGCGGGAGGGACAGGGACGAAGAGAGGGTGGAGCAACGGGGGGACGGAAGTGGATTGGGCCGTTAGTTCAAATGGGAAGACAGGGCATGGATGCACACAAGAGGATGCCCGATTGCCAGCACCGTGCAGCGCCCCTCTCTTTTCCCCGCCATGCCGTGCACACACAGCAAGTTACAGCATCAACGGCATCAACGGCATCAACGGCATCAACGGCATCAACAGCATCAACGGCATCAACAGCATCAACGGCATCAACGGCATCAACGGCATCAACGGCAACATTCACTCAGCTGCTCCTCCCCACCTGGGCGCTGCGCACGCAAGCAGCGATCTCGTGGCGCCCCGTGGCAGAGTCGGACACAGCAATGCACCCCAGCGACGCACGGTCTGCAGTTGAGATGCGCCCCCCCGCTGCCAAGGACACGTGCGCGCTGTTGGGGGGGGACTGCCCGGGGGACCGCGGGGGAGGAGGGGGGGGGGGGGAAGGAGGGAGGAAGGAAACAGCATATCAGGGTGTGGGGGTGAGAGCGTGAGGGGAGAGAGTGTGAGGGGAGAGAGGTGAGAGTGGGCGGCAGAGTGATGGCAGGAACAAGGGGAGGAGGGAACGTTACCTGCAGCAGGGAGTAGGAGTAGCGGGGAGCAGCAGCAGATGATGCGCCTTCAGCAGTCGTGGTCGGGAGGGAGTGAGGCAGCAGTGGGGAGGAGGTGTAGCCAATGGGCAGCAGCCACGTGGCAGGGATGCCAAGGGCGAGTGGGGGAGTGGGGACGACGGTGATGGTGGCTGAGGCGGAGTAGGAGCGGCGGAGGGGCGGCGAGGAGGGGAAGGAGCAGGAGAAGGCGAGCGAGACGGTGGCTGTGCCAGGCGCTCTGAGCAGCATGAGATGGCGGGGCGCAGGGCATGCAGGACGTATTGCATGTGGGGGAGGGGGGAGGAAAGAGGGCAGGTGGGCATAGGACGCGTTAACGTGGTGAGCAGGGACGTATCAAGGGGAAGCAAACGGAAAGTCAGGTTTCGCCCTTCATCCAAGCACCTCCGTCCAAGCACCTCCGTCCAAGCACCTCCGTCCAAGCACCTCCGTCCAAGCACCTCCGTCCAAGCACCTCCGTCCAAGCAACTCCGTCCAAGCACCTCCGTCCAAGCACCTCCTTCTCGCAGCTGGGCTGACCTGGCAGTGATGCGCGCCGAGAAGCCAATGTCCACCGCACCACTGTCACTGTTGCTCTCCCCGTCCCCGCTGTTGCCACCGCCACTGCTGCTGCGGACAGACAGCTCTGTAGCGAGGGGCGCTGCGGTGTGCAGCTGAAGGTGCTGCTTGGGACGAGGGAGCAGTACGGAGAGGAGTGGAAAGCAGAGAAGGAGAGACCCGGGAATGAAACACGACAGGCGAAGCCAGGGTAACTTCCAGGGTAGACAGTAGGCAGGAGGCGGGCAGCGGGCAGGCGGCAGGCGGTAGGACGGTGGACGCCGCCGGTGGACGATGGTGGATGCCGCCGGTGGGCGCCGGTGGTGGACGGTGGACGGTGGACGCCGCCGGCGGACGGTGGACGACGCCGGTGGATGGTGGACGCCGGTGGACAGTGGACGGTGGAGGCCGGTGGACGGTGGCTGACCGTGGACGGTGGACGCTGGTGGACGGTGGACGGTGGACGGTGGATGCTGGTGGACGGTGGACGACGGTAGACAGTGGATCTGAACTGGGGTTGGGTAGATTTGAACGCATAACCTATTGATCCCAAGGGTTTGCTTTTGTGACTCGGACACCAAGTCTGCAATTTAGGGATTAAATGATCCCTTGTGTTGTCCTCCCCACACGCGAGTGTTGCTTCACCTGAGGGTGGCTGACGGTCCAGTGGTAGCTGCGGCACACCCGCGCAAACGAGAGCACATCCTCGCCCTGATGAGAGGGCGGAGGAAGGGCGGGAGGGGGCGGAGGGAAAAGGGGAGCCAAGGAGGTGAAACGCGAGGATGCAGTGAGATGACAAGAGCGATGTCAGGGACACATGGCTGAGCAGTTCCTCCCATGCCACTGTGGCTCACCCGATGCCACATTGAGTCGCCATTACTTCCTCTCAGCCTCACCTCGTGCTCGCCTGTGGGGAAAACCGCCATCTCCTCCCCCACTGCCAGCTGTCCATTGCCCACACTCAGCGCCACCCGCTCCATCACCCGAACCTCCACCCGAGACTCGGCAGCGCTCAAGACCTGCCCTGCCGAGCCTAACGCCATGGCTCGGATGACAGCTGTGCCAACGGCACGAGACGTGACGAGGCCAGAGAACGAATCAACTTGTGCCACGTCAGCATGGGAGGAGGCGAAAGCGATGGTGGTGGATGGGGAGGATGGGCCGCCCGTGGCTTGCAGCTGAATGGATGGCGGGAAAGAGAGAGAGAGAAGAGATGGGAAGAGAGATGGAGAATGTGATGATGCGGGAGAGTTCAACAGTTGAGCTGCAGCAAACGATAGTCATGAGAAATGCAAGCTGAGAGGAAGGGATGGCGGGCTAGAGGATGCCAAGGACAAGGACGCGGGGAAAGGGAGAAGAGAAGGCCAGAAAGCTGGCGGGATGGGCCAGGGGAAGGGAGGAGGGGGGGCAGAGGGCGGCGGCAGACATACAAGGTAGGATGCGCCTGGGGCGAGGACGAGTGCCGGGGGGAGCAGGGCGAGCGGCGCGTAGACGGTGATGCGGATGGCGTCGGAGAAGACCCGGCGGGAAGAGAGGTGGATGCCCGCACTGACCTGCCATGCCCGCACCACAGGAGCCACGGGGGGTAGGGCAGGGGGGAGAGGGGAGAGGAGCAGGGATGGGGGGGGATACAGGGCCCATAGGGGAGACAGGAGGTCAGTGGTGGGTGTTGAAATCACGAAGGCGACGGACAACATAAACATGGGTGAGTGTGTGCAAGAAAGCATGTGAGCAAGAAGGGGAGAGAGGAAGCACGGGGGTGAGCGAGTGGAACGAGGGGGGAGGGTGTGGATGGGACCTGGAGGGCAGTGGTGACTCCCACGGCAGTCCCTGTGAGCTCCAGCGAATCAGAGCACGCCACGTCACCGCCGGCAGAGGAGGCGGGCGAGCAGGGAAGGCGCAGCGAGACCACGCCTGCCATGCCGTGCGCCTCCAGGCCCATCCACGCAAACTGGGGGGGGTGGGAGGAGGAGTGAGGGGGGGGGAAGAGGATGGGCACACAGCTGAAGGGAGAAAGCACACCCAGCCAAGAGCACCCAGCCAAGAGCACCCAGCCAAGAGCACCCAGCCAAGAGCACCCAGCCAAGAGCACCCAGCCAAGAGCACCCAGCCAAGAGCACCCAGCCAAGAGCACCCAGCCAAGAGCACCCAGCCAAGAGCACCCAGCCAAGAGCACCCAGCCAAGAGCACCCAGCCAAGAGCACCCAGCCAAGAGCACCCAGCCAAGAGCACCCAGCCAAGAGCACCCAGCCAAGAGCACCCAGCCAAGAGCACCCAGCCAAGAGCACCCAGCCAAGAGCACCCAGCCAAGAGCACCAGCCAAGAGCACCCAGCCAAGAGCACCCAGCCAAGAGCACCCAGCCAAGAGCACCCAGCCAAGAGCACCCAGCCAAGAGCACCCAGCCAAGAGCACCCAACCAAGAGCACCCAACCAAGAGCACCCAACCAAGAGCACCCAACCAAGAGTACCCAACCAGGCCGCGCACCTGGGACGTGGGGAAGAGGCGGCCAAGCGTGTCCCCAACAGACAGTGAGATGCGCGCAGTGGCGCCCACCTGCACCCACCACTCGCCGCTGCTCTGCGTACCAGAAAAAATCCCCCCTGCTGCCGTGGCCGGCTGTGCGCCCTCAGGGTGCAGGCGCACCCATGCCACGTCCGCCACTGCCACCTGATTAGTGGATGGGTGGTGCGGTGGTGATGGTTGAGGGGGTGTGGAAGAGGGACGCAAGGGTTTGGGAGGGAAGATGGGAGGAAATCCAACCAGGAGCGGAAGGGACACGGCAGGCACGAGGAAGCACAGCAATGAGGGGTTCGGAAGAAGGGCACGTGAGAGCCGCCAGAGCTGCTGAGGCGACGGGCGGCCGGAGATAAATCTATGAGTGGGATTGAAAAGGTTGAGACAGTATAGCAACTGAGACGTGGGATGGGGCACGTGTTAAGGTGCCGGGATAAGGGAGATACCGAGGCGTTGGCAGAGAGCGGATGGGAGAGACCACTATCCACCGCTGTCAACGTGGCATCGCCTTGTGCACGCGCCGCCAGCTGGACTGTTGGAGCAGCGCCATGTGGCACAATGGCAGCCACCGATTGGTCGGAGATGAAGAACTGAAGCTCGGAGGTGCCCCCCGTTACTGTCACATCCGCCTGGAGGGGAATCGCGGGGAAACGGATCGAGACGAGCGAAGGATGGGCACGAGAGAAGTAGCAGAGCTACGAGCGCACATGACGCGTAAACTGGACAACGGGACGAGCACAGGAAGAGGAAACGCCCAAGAGAGGGAACGCATGGATGGTGGCACGTACATAAGCGTGCCAGCAGCACTGCCTGTGGGTCCAGCCTCAGCGCCGTCACCACCTGCCATGCCGTGCAGACACCGGTTGAACGGGCGCGCATGGATGGTGCCACATGCATATGCGTGCGGATGGTTCACATGCGGTGCAGACACGGGTTGAGCCGCATAGATTCACACTGATCAGCTAAAGGAGTGATTCGGAAGCACAAGTGAGAAATTCAAGCACGTAATGCAAGCGATAGTGCGAGAGAGGCAAGATGGCGAAGGCAGGCAGCAGAAGGCAGCCGGCAGCAGACAGCGGGCAGCCAACCTGGAGGGTGGCGGTGCCGCGTATGTGGAAGGGGTGCGGCGAGCCGTGCTTGGCATGCAGGGCGGCGACGTCCACGTGCACAAGGCACTGGCGAGGGGCACGGGGGTTAGGCGGGGCAAGGGATAGTGGGGAGTGAGGGACGATCCTGGGACAATGGCAGGGGGAGGTGTCAACAATAGCGCCCAGTGCTCTCCAGGGAGACAGGGGGCACGGCGATGGACGATAGGAGCAAGGGGGCGCGTGGGAATGGGGGCTGCGGGTGACACCCAATAAACAGCGAGATCCAAGACCCAAGCTGACTCACTGCCATCCCGCATCCACTGCGCCCTCCTCCCCACCCCACCACGCTCACCTCGCCCCCCATGCCGCCTGTGTCCACCCATCTGCTCCACTCAGCGCCAGTGCTGGACTTGTCAGCCACGTTTGCCAACCATGCCACGTCATCACACCCCTCCAGCTGCCACGCGGCAGGCAGCCACTGGCTGGACGCGTTGGCAAAGGGGAAAGCGGAGGGAGACAGGGCTGCAGCGACCAGCCGCACGTGCTGATGTGTCACCAGCGTGATTGGTGGCAAATGGCAATCAGCTACTGGGTGCTGGCACGAGGCTGCTGCTGCTGCTATCGCTGAAGGGAGGCGAGCTGAAGCAGCAACGGGTGGGGGAGAGGCAGGGAAGAAAGAGCGAGTGAGGCGGCTGGTAGAGTTTGAAGGATGGGGACGTGGGGACGTGTTTGAGTTGGGAGGAAACGAAGGGATGGATGGAAGCAGGCACTGAGATTCTAGCGGATGGCAGCCAACAACAGCCAAAGCTGTCAGGTCGATTCAGAGCAAAGCTAAGCCGACAACAGTGCTGGCAGAGCATGCTGCACCTGAGTCATCGAGCAGAACGGCGGCAGCAGCAGGCAGCGAGCAGTGCAGGAGAAACGAGGCAGAAGGCAGGGGGGCAGGCAGGGCGTGGGGGGAGGGCAGGTGGCCCCTGGTGAAGGTGACGTGCTGGTACGAAAAGGGGGGGGGGGGGTGGACAACATGAAGGGGGGGGGACGGAAGGAAGTGGATAGAAGGGTGAGAAAGGAAGCCGGCTAATGAGACAAGAGTTGATTGGTGAGCTGGCAGGCAGCATGGGTGCTTGTAGGAGGAAGAGCAGTGATCCCAAGTGCGGCCCATACTCACAAAGCTGTGGTTTGCAGCGATGCCCCTCTCACACCACACCACGTACTCCCTGCCTGCCCTGCTCCCCACCCGCTCCACCACCACCGCCCCTCCCCCCTCGCCCTCCCACCGGGCCCCTCCCCCCTTCCCCTCCTTCTCCCCCCGACCAGCCACCACCTGCCCCTTCTCCCCCACCCCCACCACGTGCACCTCCTCCAGAAACTGCCTGCCTGGGATCCACCTGTCCGGCCCCCCTGCCACTGCCACCGCCATGGAGGCGCCGGGCGCTAGCAGGAGTGAGGGCACTGACAGGCCTGCACCGATGGACAGCGCTGCTGCTGCTGCTGGTGCTGCTGCTGGGGGTGCTGCTGCTGGTGCTGATGGCAGGCCACCTGTTGCTGCTGCAGATAAGTCACCATGCCTTCCAGCCGCAGCAGCCGCAGCGGCAGCAAGAGCGCCTGGCAGGCCGTAGCCGCCCTGGCGCCAGCCATCCCCCAGCTGCGCCACGCGCATGGCCTCATACCCCGCCACCGTCCACTCCCCCTGCACCCCCTGCCCCTCCGCCTCCCCGCCTCCCCCTCCCGTCCTTTCTGTGTCACCAGTGTCAGCAGCAGCAGCGTGTGTGCTGGGCGGCATGGGCAGGAGGGCCGTGGCGTGGGTGCGGCCGGGGGCGATGGCGGAGAGAGGCGCCCACACACAGATGGGCGAGAGGGGCGAAGGTGTGGTGGCGGCGAGGGGGGGTGGCGACACGAGGGCGAAGACGGGGGTGGTGGCAGGTGGCAGCGGCTGCAGATGCCACTGTGTGAACGGGTTCAGAGCGGTGCAGTTGGTGTACGGCACTCCTGAGGGAGAAAGAGTGGTGGTGAGCGGAGGCGAGAGGATGGGGATGGAGGTAATGAGTGGGGAGCGCAGCACAGGAGGCAACCAGGAAGACAACACACAAGCAGGGGAAGGGATGTCAGTCGGCAACAGGGACAGAGAGAGAGGGGTGGAGGAACGCAGGATAGAAACACAGGATAGAAACACAGGATTGCAAAGAGAGTGTGGAAAAGCAGAAGCAGCACACCTGAGGACGAGAGCAGGCGAGCGGCGAGCAGCAGAGCATCGCCCACAAGGGCCTCCACTCGCACTCGCTCTCGCACGCCCAAGTGCAAAGCCTCGCTGTCGTCCTCGGCCATGAGCACCATAGCGCGTGGCACGCTCACCCGCACCTCCACCTGCCAGTATGGTGCCACAGGGCACACACGCAGATGTCGAGGGGGGGAAGGATGTGACCACGGGGGCGCAAATATAGATGAGTGATTGCTCGCCCTGGGGGAAAGGGCTTCCGACACACACACCTATAAGCACCTCTCTCCCCCCTTCTTCTAACCTCGCATCTATCAAAGAGAAGCTGAACACGCATGCATGCACGCACCTGGTGGTAGTTGTTGGCGTCTACCGCTGCTGTCACCCGCACCGTTGCAACGCCAGGCCCAGCCACAGTCAGCCAACCAGAGGGCGCCACGTGGACGACAGTGGTATCAGAGCTGGTCCAGTCGTAGTCAGCAGGTCGTCGCCCACAGCCTGGCATGCGAGCAAGGAAGGAGGAGGACTGGGCGTGCAGTGGGATGCATTGCAAGCACAGGCAGGCGGAGAGTGGGCATGACCACCTGTGACATATGATGACAAGGACGCCACTAAGTCCGCTCCTAACAAACATTGCAATCCGATCGTTTGCTTTCAGAATCGACCTCGTCTCCACTCAGCATCCCTCCCTCCTGTGCCCCGTGCCTCTGGCGCTCACCTCCTGATGGCAGCAGCAGCAGGTGCTGCCGCAGGTGCGCAGGCGCAGAGGCGAGCTGTGGCACCCACGGCAGATGCACCACGCGGACGGGGTCCCCAAGGGAGGGAGAAGGCGAAGGCGAGGGGGAGGACGCGGATGCGGCAGCAGGTGTCAGTGCCGCAGAGGGGAGGTGCACGGCAACAGGGTCGCACACGCGAATGGCCTGCGCCACTACCACCTTCTCCTCCCGCCCCTTGCCACCGCTCTGTATCTCTCGGTACCACAGCTCTGCCTGCACGTCGCCCTTCCCCTGCTGCCCACCTCGCACCACCACCACTCGGCTCCTCTCCTCCCCACCACCTCCTCCCCCTCCCACAGTCGCAGGCACAAGTCGTGATGCTGCTTCAATGCCAGCGCCCGTGCCAGCATGAGCATCACCCAGCACCGTCCACAGAGGCGGGTGGTCGAAGCGCAGCAGGAGGGTGTCCGCCTCAGTCAGCAGCACAGGGCGGCTGGCCCAGCCATGAGCGAACACCTGCACCCAGAGCGCGTACTCGCGTCCAACCACAAGGTGCCACGTGTCCTCTCCACTGGCTACTGGCTCCGCCAGAGCCCTGCAGGCTACAGCGCCAGGCAGGCCCCCTCCCCCGGGTGCACCTGCATCGGAACACACCTCCCCATCGCCCGCCCCACCACCTTCCCCGAGTGGCACCAGAAATATCTTGAGGTCGCCAGGTGGCACGACGTGGATGGAGGCGGCCTGCTGGTGGTCCGCCATGCGGACATCAGCGGCGGTGAGCGTGGTGCTGCCCACGGCGAGCGCGGACAGCAGCCCCTGCGCCGGGTGCACCGACGCCACCGACGCGTTGCCTGTGGCCCACGCATAGCTTGGCGAGGGCAGACTCACGGCTGTGGTGGGGGGGGGGAGGGGAGGGGGGATGGGGGTCATGGGGGAGAGGAGGGTGTGTGACGCAGAGGAGGAGCGGCAGAGAAGAGGAGCATGAAAGAACTTGGTGTGGGTCTCAATGGCGGGGAGGGTGAGGGCGGGGGGTTCACATGACAATGGTGACTCCTCACTCCTGCATTGTGTAGCCCGTGATGACTCACGAGTGACGGTGTTGTCGGTGAAGGTGAGCAGGCGGAAGGGCAGGCGGGCGCCAGGCAGCAGCAGCACGGGGGAGGGCGGCTGCAGGGAGAAGGCCTGGGCCACCGTGAGGGTGATGGCGTCAGACGGCAGGGATGGGGGCGCTGCTGCCCCTGAAGCAGCAGCGGTGGTGACGTCAGCGTCCATGAGCTCCACGGACACCCTCTCCTGGCCGGGCGCCACCCCCCTCACCACGTACACGTCCGACCGCTCCACCTGGTGGGGTGGGGGGAGCAGGGAGGGAAGATATTCGAGGGGAAGATGAATGGCTCCGGGGTACAGACGCATGAGCGACCTCCCATGGGGCACTGCCGCCCACGCCGTCGCCCTCAACCCTTGTTGCGACCGTAATACGGAAGCACTCGGTCTCAATCACAGCACGCAAGACTTCCTTCCAAGATGCACCCTCATGTCCAACCAATCTGCCACCCGTCCTAACACCACGCCCGCCCCTCCCTCCACGGCCCCCCTTCAGCACGCACCCCCAGGTCGTCCGTGGCGGCGCCACGCCGCTCGTCCCCTTCCAGCAGCAGCGCCGCCTCCTCCAGAGGCACGTGCTCCAGCCGGTGCTCCAATGCCCGCCCGCCACGTGGCGCTGGGGAGGCATCGGGTTGGCGGTGCGCCGGCAGGACCGGCGTGAGGGACCAGTGGAAGGCGAGGCCCGCCACTGACGAGAACACGTCACCTGGGGATGGATGGGGACGGATGGGGATGGATGGGGATGGATGGGGATGGATGGGGATGGATGGGGATGGATGGGGATGGATGGGGATGGATGGGGATGGATGGGATGGATGGGGATGGGGGATGGGGATGGGGATGGGGATGGGGATGGGGGTGGGGATGCGGATGGGAGACGCCGCCAGATGACAGCAGTTGCAAGTAGCGGGGGTTGGCAGAGCCAAGCCACGTGCCTGCCTTTGAGCGGGCCATGCACCCCACGCACCCCCCCCACGGGCCTCACCCTGGTCGTTGAAGGCGAGCACCTCGAGGTCCGCGAGGCTGCTGAGGCCCATCTTGAGGCTGCGGTGGAAGATGGCCACGCGCTGCACCAGGTCCACACGCACCTGGGGGCCGACACGGGGTCACGGGTGAGGGGGTGAGGGGGTGAGGGGGTCAGGGGGTCAGGGGGACACAACACACGGGTGAGGTGAAATGCTGCCTGTGTGGTCGAAATCTTCAGCAGGCAACACTGTTGAACCGAAAAGCGCTCAGAAGAGCACGGCCGTTGATAGATGCCATGGGGGTCATCAGCACGGCCGTTGATAGATGCCATGGGGGTCATCAGCACGGCCGTTGATAGATGCCATGGGGGTCATCAGCACGGCCGTTGATAGATGCCATGGGGGTCATCAGCACGGCCGTTGATAGATGCCATGGGGGTCATCAGCACGGCCGTTGATAGATGCCATGGGGGTCATCAGCACGGCCGTTGATAGATGCCATGGGGGTCATCAGCACGGCCGTTGATAGATGCCATGGGGGTCATCAGCACGGCCGTTGATAGATGCCATGGGGGTCATCAGCACGGCCGTTGATAGATGCCATGGGGGTCATCAGCACGGCCGTTGATAGATGCCATGGGGGTCATCAGCACGGGTGTTGACAGATGCCATGGGGGTCATCAGCAACGGATTGATTTTGTCCCACCTGAGTGAATGGCGTGAGGCGAGACTACAGCTTGCACAGATTGCAAGCTGAAGCCGTGGAATGGCATCCCATTCAGCTGCACTCTCACGCTACCATCTACGGCACATCGGCCCACGTAGCACCAGCCAGCCCACCCGTGGAACAGCAGCCCAGCAGCGGGGACGCACCTCGCAGCGCAGCAGCGCGCCGGAGAGCACGTCCGTGGCGATGACGGCCGTGGTGCGCGGCGCACCGGAGTACCTCGCCGTGGACGAGATTATGGCGCTCGTCGAACAGCGCCCACGCGGACCACCGCTGCTGCTGCTGCTGCCATGGGAGCTCCACGCCCTCCCATCGGGAGCTGCTGGGGGTGGTGCTGGTGGTGCTGTATCAGAGGCGGCATTCCCGTCCGCGGTGGTGTTGTAGAGCGGCTCCACGTGCAGCAGGTCGTGGTGGTCCCATGCCCTGACACGGAGTGGACGCGCGACAGCGGGGGGATTCGGAAGATTCGCAGCGATGAAAGCGAGCCTGCAGCTGGCGGCGATGGCGCCGGGATTGACAAATGTATGAACAGAACGAAGGATCACCGAAACGGACTGACTGGATTAGACGACTAAACCCCACGTTGCCTACCAGGAGAAGCAGCCGTTGGATCCGAGGAGGTGGAATCGGACGGGATTGCGAGCGCGGGGCGGCAGCAGCAGCAGCAGGCTGCTGATCTGCGGGCCGGCCTTGGGCGCCGCGGACGAGGGCACGCCGCGAGACGCGGCGAGAGACGCGGTGGTAGGGTTGGATCCCAGCGCGGCACACGCTGGAACGAGCGCCGCTAGCAGGCATGCAGAAAGGAAAAGCGAGGCGCTTGTGGAGAGGGTACGGATACTCGCGACGGACTCCTTCGCCATGGGAGCGAATGCTGCCTTCAACGGCACAGGATCGATCGTACGCGAGCGCTAGTTTCCATGCATCGATACGAATCCGTGCTGACGGGTGGGACAGAGCGACGACGAACCTACTTCGACCCTAGACTGCGTGGAATCAGCTGTCTTTCGCTAACTCAGGCGCCATCCGTGGATTCTCCCAGGCAAGAAAGGCAGTCCTCCGGAGTATCTCTCAAAATTGAGATAACTGAGTTTCTACAGTATCGATACAAACTATGGCGAAGAATCAGCGATCAGCGTTCGTGGAGATAAGGACCATGAATCCACCCCGTCCGAGAGAGAGAGGCGAGCAAACAAGGATGGTCAGGGCTTGGTGGAGTGGCGCGAATCCTGATCGGAATGCAACGCAACTGGAATGCAACACAACAGGCCGGGCTTTGTCTGGTCAGCCGCCCATGTGGTCCCTCCTGGCTGGGCTTGCTGGGCGCTTGCGCTCACGCGTTGCTGCTCGCCTCGCTGCAACTGTTGACTTGTGATGGACAATAAGTGTACACCAGCAAAGACCTCAGCAAGTAGAGAATTGCTTCGTTAGAAATGTTTATCAACCAGACATAACATTTACGCGAGGAAAACCATTCTCACTTAGTCCAAAAAATACATTATTTCGATTGTGGAGGCTGAGATGGCGCATCTAGGGAAAGGGAAGCACTCAAACACCTCCTTCTAGGGACCGCAAGGGTGCGTGCACGTGCAATATTGTTAGAAGGTTCATAATGTTATGTCAAACATGGGCATGTGATCATACCTCATATGTGACCTCTCCAACCATAATTGGGCTCATTGCGCAACATCCTATGTTTCTAACTGTGAACATGGAAATTAGTGAGGTACCATAGGAATCCATTAAGTATAACATAAGCAATTCAGTACATGCGTAAGGAATTCACGAATACTTATCGGGTTTCGCCACAGCGAGCACGGCGAACAAAGCGCGTCCGCAACCTCGGCCCTCAAACCTCGCGACAAACCACCCCCGCCGACCTATTCGGCCCCGAACGTGTTACCGAGGTGCCTCGAACCCAATTTGACCCCATCACCCTCGAGACTACCGAGCCCTTGACAGGTCCAACTCTAGAGGTTCAACCTGGTCAACTTGCACTATAAGCCCTAGCCCTAGGTATTTCATTGTTAGGAACATTCTCTAGTCACTCTATCCTATAGTATTCTACGCTATACTCTGAGTTAATTCCATAGCAGTTAGTACCAGAGCCACGATTTTGCCCATCTAGGTTCCGATAGGGGAGCAGTCCCTATCGGGGAAGGGGACGGAAGGATGCTAGTGGCGTAGCGCTTCCGATGCCGCCGGATCCTGCCGATGGACGGCTGGGATAAGCTGGTCCTCCCCTTCCCCGGGCGTAGACGAAATTATTTCCAGTCGTGACAGTGTCGACGTTTTCACCGCGCATTTCGGGTATGTTCGCTAGTGTTTCGTAAATTTCGGAGGTTCTGGCAGGGTTTTACAACTGGCTTCCGAAAATTGCGACGAGTCGTCAAGAGAGGACAAGTGCACAAGAATCCTCTGGCGGCCGTGTGATGTTTGTCAGGAGCGCACGAATGGGCGAAAATGGTGGGACGTACGGCGATGTGCGTCTGTCGTGCCATATAGCTGTATGTTGAAGTGCAGTTGCATTGCTGCCGTCGGCGTTTCCCGCAGGCTAGTTGCAGGCGATGGGCGAGACTTCCGCGACTCTTTCGGCAAGGGGTGGCTGCGATTATTTCAGACTGCCACGATCGCACAGTCCCACGAGTGGGTTAGCTAGATAGCAGCAGTACAAGACTTACTACATCGGCACTGTACTGCATGGGCTGTCTCATATGGAGGATGAAGCTGCTCTGGAATATTTTCAGCGAGGGCGAATTCCTGAGTTGGGGAGGTGTTTTTCGTGCAGGACCATTCATACCCACACGATCAACGAAAACGGAGGCCAGCACCTCAGGGTGTGTATTAAGTGTTTTCCACCGTGGCGCTGCAAGCGTCAAACCGTCAAGAGCCGAAGCAGTTGAAATAAAAAGATTGGAAGTATCTGGGTTTTAGTTAAACGTCAGGCAACAACGGATCCCCTGCTGACAGAGCTTCATCGCCTGAATATTGTCGAGAATAGCCCTGATCATGCGAAGGTTGCAGAAGTCTGCTAAAGCGGCATATCAATGAAGTCTGCGGACACGAGCCTTGCAGAAAGGCCCCTCGACAAAGAGCAGATTTGTCGACAAGGCGAGGCTCTGCGGAAGTGGCAGAGAAGCAATTTTCGTTGGTGGCAGAAAAGCGGTTCTGTCGGAGTGGCAGAATAGGAGCGCTTTTTCTGCATATGGCTTCTACATAGACATGATCTTTTGTAGAAGCGGTCTCGGCAGAATCGAGAGTGTACCAAATTGGCACGAGGAGCCATTCGCAGAAGGGTTGTCTTCTGCAGAATTATTCCGCACAAGACATTTCTGCAGGCGACCCTTTCGGCAGAATCGACTCTCGGAAATGCGTTTCAACAGGATCTCGAGCAGAGTTGCGCAATGACCTGTTCGTGCAGAATTGCGTTCTATCGAAGTTCTGCAGAAAGGCAATTCGGCTATCTCTTCTGTTGTCCACCCCCTCGGCAGAGACGAAATTTGGCAGAAGCGTGGCAGAGAGTCGCCTCGGACTCCGCTTCTGTGAGTGACCCCTTTGACAGAAAACCGGGGATTGAGTTTTTCTGATGAAGGTAACGTTCTGAAATCGCGAGAATTTTGCGATCTCGTAAGATAACCACAGAACCGATCTGGACCGAAAACAGCAAAATCTACCTGCGACATTGAGAAATTGAACACGTGACGCGCATTTCGTAACTGCGAAAATATGCGTAACATCTGACAGTTTCATATATGAAACTGTTAAAACAATTACTTCAGAGTGGGTAAAAATTACAAACTAAGCATGTGCTGTAATTTTCACCTGCCATTCATGACTTGGCTAAGCGTAGCTTAGAGTAGTTGTGTAAACGTTCTCGTGCGGACATTCGCTCCGTGTTCAATGAGGTTCAATGAGGTAGCACTAGTGTGTACCTTGTGTACCATACTTTGTAATCTTGATTCTAGTGAATTTGTATGCCCAAGGTTTCTGAAGCTACTATATGAAACACACAATTTTGAAGGCAACTTTCTCCTTAGAGAAACACAGAGCTAGAGAGCTCTATCTACGTCACGCACTTCTGCAGAAGCTCCCAATATAGCAGAAAACTCTGCATCGCCCACCCGACAGTTTTCACTGTAAAGAAGGCTTTCGCTGGAGTATTCACCCTTGCCCGATCGGCTAGTTGGAGAATTTGACCGTCTTTGATGGCTGAGATTAAAAGCGATAGTTCTGACGCTTTCTGACCGTTTTCGCAGTTCAACTTGAAGACCTCGTCAGGACGACGTAATCATTACGCTCGTCACTGTATTGAAGACATGCAGTCACACCCGGGATTACTTTCAATGACAGTTCGGCCTTCGATATACGGAGGGCATTTCTTAAGAAGGTGGATGGAAGTAAGGATTTCACGAATCCCTGCCGGGTTTCGCCACAGAGAGTACCACAAACAAAGTGCGTCCCCAGCCTCGGCCCGCAAACCTCGCGTCAAACTACCCCCACCGACCTATTCGGCCCCGAACGTGCTACCGAAGCGTCACGAACCCAATTTGACCCCGTCACCCTCGGGACTACCGAGCCCTTGACTCGTCCAACCCTTGAGGTTCAACTTGGTCAACTTGCAGTATATAAGTCCTAGGGCTTTCATTGTTATCAACATTCTGTAGTAAAGCTCCTCTATAGTATTCTACTCTATACTATTAGTTATATTCCATAACAATATGGAACAAGTAAGAACGCAGCTTTCGGTGTCAATTCTATAGTCGACGGTAAAACAGGCAGCATCAGGGCGTATCCCCTGAGTATGTATCAATCTGATTGGGAGAATTATTGCCGCGGACTGTCCATAAAATCTTTCATACTTTCGTGGACACGCCATACTTTCATGGACACACATCAAACTTTTGTTTATCATATTGACTACGTTCGTACTTTCGTGAACAACGGGCATACTTCTATGGACACACACAAAAAATGCACTGAAAAAAAAGTTATTTAGAATTGTACAAGCGGCGATGGGAGGAAAAACAAAAACTACCGAATTCGGGACCGTCGCAAAGGATCGCAAGCTACAGTTCTCGCAAACCACCAAGTCAGCAAGTTGTTCAGCACAAATCTAAGACAAATCTAAGACATTTTGTAACGACGCTCAAAATCATTTTCACGAACTGTAACGTATGGGCTATAGTCGACACAATGGTATTTTAAGCATAGTGCATTAAATATCATCATTGAACCAAATATAAATACCATATAGGAAATATATATATGTAGATTTCGAATTTTTGGATGTTGTTTTTAATAGGAAATAATGCCGTTCAAATGTATGTATACTCAAACGTAAAAACAAAATGCTATCAGAAGATTATGAAATTAAAACCAACTCTAGAATACAGCCCACAATGAATCTATATTAAAATTAGCATTAGAATGTCCATGAATATCTAAATACATGCTATCATATCTAGTTATTATCTAGAAATCTATTGTATGCCAAGAGCCTTAACCACGTTACGAAAAGATTATCAAGTTTAAATGGGCAGAGAGTGAAAGACTTCATATGACGTATCCTTAGCTACATCAGAAACCCATTTAGTGTTCATGAATTTCTCAAACAACGAATGGAAGTACTTGGACGACGAAATATACACAGTGTGCATATTATGCTGGCATTTATGGAAGAAATAATGTTCAAACACCCATTTTCGCCTCTAATTGTGGATGCTTGACAGTATTTTTCATGCGCAACAGTGTACCTGACTTCGGGTTTCAGAATTCGTAAGTGTCATTTCCAAGGTCGCGGGATTCTGTTTTGGATTTGGCATGGAGTTACTGTAGCTCAGGACGCCGTCATCATATGTACAGTTGTGATTACATTTTTTCACCTCAATTCGCGTGTGTCCATGGAAGTATGCCCGCTGTCCACGAAAGTATGGACAGAGTTCACGGGAGAAGCAAAAGTTAGATGTGGTGTCCATGAAAGTAGGGCGTGTCCACGCAAGTAAGAAAGTTTTCGTGGACAGTCTGTGTTCCCAATCTGGTTTCTCGAGTTTCGACGAGTTGAGCGCGAAAACCAGCGTGTCGCACCGTACTCCACCGCACTCCAGTTTTTGTGGGAGGTACAGGCCTTCAGCTATCGAGACAATTTCACGTGCAAAAAGCAGTGTGACTTCACGTGAAGCAGGTGTGAATCTTGTTAGCACTCCCAGATTTAGGTGTATGGACATATATTTTTGGGGTTCCGCGTTTTTCAGTTCCCCAGTGCCAATGCATACACCTCCAGTACTTTAAAATGTCTTAGCCTCTCTCACCAGCAGCACTTACCTTTTGGCATGGTAATTTGTCTGAATTTGGGACGGGATGCGCCGAAAGTCAGGTCGGTACATTTTACAGAGTACCCACACAATAGATTCCTCGTCATTGTCACCTGAAATTCAGTGGAGAAAAGAAAAGGTTCTTTTGGCGGACAAACCCGGAAAACCGAATGCCAATGACGAAAGTCGTTGGAATTGGTGTTCTGCTGGTGGTGAAATGATGAGTACACTTTTGGGCACGCTGTAGATGACCAGCAAATGGCCACGCCGCCTTACGCAGCCAGGCAACCAGAACCATGCGATACACGTATCGGAGTGCGACCCGCCACATAAGCAGAACCAGATGAGGCTGCTCGATGCGCAAAGACGCTTTTGGCCTCAAGAAACCTTCTGCGAACAGACACAACAAGATGGGGCTCACGTTATTGTTGACTGATTTCACGTGTTCTGCTCATGGCAGGACACTCTGCCGCGGTTATCCTGAGCTGTACAGTACCACTTTCCAACCGGTCAGTTTGGTTGCAGCCTGAATTTCGCAGGGTTCGGGTTTAGGATGAGATCCCCTAGAATCAAGTGATTTTGTAAACCTTTCGGCCAGGCCTCTCGATAACCTAGGGGTCACCCTGCAGAATCCGAGTTTGCCCGGGATCCAACTCGTCAAGGCTGGGTAGCCCTTAAACTTTTGACTGTTTTTGCAGGCCAGAGTTTCGACCAGCTCGGGATGTGCCACTCCTGACAATGACAGGGGGAGCCATTTTTTCTTGGGGTGCGAGCTTTTACATTAGATTTTACAGGGTGAGTCCATCCCCTACTCGAAAATCGGCCGTGGGATGATTTTGGCTTGTCTGTCCATGGACGGGTACCGATATTTTGAAGGCGTGAAAAGTAGGGCTCGGTCGAAATTGTATCCTGTTTTTCCTTGAAAAATCAGTGTAATTACCCTGACTTCCAGATGCCTGCTTTCGGCAGTCAAGGGGCATCAAACATCAAACGCGTTTGGGCGTAAGTTTATCTCGGCGCAACTGATTCGACGTGTTCGCACACCTCCCCATTGACGGGTCTTTTAGCAGACCATCGCGCCAGGACTGGCTCTGCACGCCTCATGGGGTCGTGTGGTTGCCTAAGCGTGCAACAGTGTTTAGGACATAAACAGCCACCGACGAATAGCCCACGCCTGAAACTGCCTGAAACCGAACAGGATGGGTCGCCGCAGCCACTCGCCCGAATTGCAGCGCAGCTAGGAGCGTGGGCTCAGCTCAGGTGGTTTGGCGCTGCTCGTGCAACACGCGACTCGACTCGAGTAGTCCCCCTCCCCTGAAGTTGAGTCGTGCTCGCTTGAATCGAACGCGTTCGTTACTCTGTCCAGCGCAGATGGCATTTGTTGCTCGCTTGCCCCTGCTTCCTTGCCCGCACCACACGCCACGTCACCGCCAACAGGCACGCAAGCGTTCACCAATGTCTGGTCCTCCAGTGGTGCACTGCACCACACAACCTCGCTACCCCACCTTTGGCCGCCTTTTTATAGCCTCTACTCCTTCCAGTCTTCCCATAGTACTCTCCGGCCAAGGAATCCCGCTTTTCCCTTCGTAGCACACGTAAACACGCATACAGCTCAAGTTTCTTTTCCTGTGGATCAATCAAGCTAGCCGCGAAGCAGCGCAATGGCGCAATCCGGCTCAAGCGCGTCACTACCAGATCCATCCACAGCAATATTAGAGCACAGGCGAACGCGGACTCTCGAGGCGCCCAAGAAGCGCAAGGTAGAGGGGGAGGCATTACCGTCGGCGGATTCCCAGGCCGCCAAGCACCAGCGATTAGAGCTCCACAATGCGGCAGAGTTATCCACTGCCGCTTCCGCCGCCGCTTCTTGCGTCTCAATCTTCGGCGCCTCGACGGGCCGATTCGAGGACCAATTCGCCACTGACGCGCAATTGCTCGGGTCGGGCGAATTCGGCGTCGTGCGACAATGCACGGACCGTGCGACAGGCGACGTTTTCGCCGTGAAAACGATTCGCAAGGAGCAGCTAGCTGACGAGCGAATGCGAGACGAGGTGCGGCGCGAGGTGGGCGCAATGCGGCGCGTGGCGGGGCATCCGGGCGTGGTGCAGCTGCGGGCGGTGTTCGAAGACGAGCGACACGTGCACCTCGTCATGGACCTCTGCGACGGTGGCGAACTCTTTGACGAAGTCGTGCGACGCGGGCGGTTACCAGAAAAGGAAGCCGCGCTTTTATTCCGCCAAATCGCCAGCGCCGTCGCGTTCTGCCACTCAAAAGGCGTCATGCATCGCGACCTCAAACCGGAGAACATTCTCTTATCCAAACAGAAAGTATCGGGTACAGAAGTAGCTTGCGCGAAACTCGCCGATTTCGGCCTCGCAATCGCGCTTAACCAGGGGGAACGAGCCTACGGCGCAGCGGGGTCGCCGTTTTACATGGCGCCGGAGGTGCTGAGCGGCGAGTACGGGGTGGAGGCGGACGTGTGGTCGCTGGGCGTGGTGCTGTACGTGCTGCTGAGCGGCAGCCCGCCGTTTTGGGGCGCGGACGACAACGCCGTGTTCCGCGCCGTGATGGAGGCGCCGTTGGACCTCACCAGCGGCGCGTGGGCGGGGGTGTCGGCGGAGGCCAAGGGGCTGCTCCGCTGCATGCTGCACCGCGACCCGCGCCGAAGACCCTCCGCCGCCAAGCTGCTCTCGCACCCCTGGATCCTCGTCCATGCCTTCGGCGGCCGCGTCGTGCGCCGCGCCGTCGGCGCGCGCGCGCCGCAGCAACCGCATATGGGGGTTGGTGCTGCGGCATCAGGGGGCGTGGTACCGACCTCAGCGTGAAAACAGCAGCAGCGGTGGCATGGAGCCGACGAAGAGAATGTGCGCGTTACAGGCAAATGCTTCATTTGCTTCTAGCTGCACCGATTATTGTAGTGTACATATTTAGCTAGCTGATCAACACCGGCAGCAAAGCTGCTGGTAACTATATTTTGTTGGGGAGAGGGGGAAGCATTTACATCACTTGCTGTGATGCAGACTGCTGGCGCCTCAAGCTGACATGACATGACTGCTGTCATTCTGATCTGACTCCGACTGACTTGTATAGCCCTGTGGGGTGTATTATTGAAGTTACAATGGTTGTACCATTACCAATGCTCCCCACCCGAAAAGCCACCCTGCCACCCATAGCCTGGTGGCTGCGAAGGAATTGCTAGAGTCGCAAGCTGTACTGACCTGAGCCTGGTTCTAGTAGAACGGCTCTACGGCACATGCACTCCAGCCAGCATGAGAGGCAGGGATACCACACAGGAGAGGGTGAGGAGGGCCGCCTTGGCGGGCAGCGAGAGCAGCGGGCTGAGGAGGAACATGAGGGAGGAGGCGGCGCTGGTCCACATCTTCATGTGCGCAAACGATGCGTCCTGTAGTGGGGCACGGGGATGGGAAGGGCGGGCAGGGGATGCGGGGCAAGGGGGGAAGGGGGAGAAGGGGGGAGGGAGGGAATGCTAGTGACAGGGGATGGATGGGAAGGAAGTTATCACGGGAGCCGGTGAGAAAGATGGCTGTAGTGGGGGGAGGGGCAGTAGGAGATGCCTGAGAGTGCGAGAGACCCACCATGTCGCTAGGGAAGACGAGGGGCAGCAGGGCGTTGATCTGCGACTGGAAGGCGGCGTCCCCCACCCCCCACAGCACCGCCTGCAGCAGCACCAGGGAGAACGCCAGCCAGGGGGTGGCGGTGCTGGGGGGGGACGGGAGGGAGCAGAAAGGGAGGGGGGAGAGGATGGGATGTGGTGGACGAGTGGACGGAGGAGGAAGTCCATAGCATTAACGACATGCTATGGTATGGTACAGTGAAGCATGGGATCCCAACGGACAGTGTGATTAACCCTGATGGCTCGGCATGGTGGCGTGGCACTGACATGGCGCCTAGGAGCAGCAGCGAGAGCAGCACGGCGACCTGGCAGGCGGCGCCAATGAGCAGCGTGGCCAGGATGGACGGCAGCCCCGAGGAGAAGCGCGCCGCCGCCATGCACGCCTTGGGGGGAGGAGGGGATCAGGGAGTGGGGCGGAGGGAGAGTGTTGCACGTTGAGTGTGTATGTGGTGATGCTATGTGTAGCATGCAAGCATGGCATGCCAAGTAACAGTGCACCAGAATGCCCCCATGGCATGGCAGCATGGCACAGCAGGGCGGCTCACCAGGCTGTTGGCGACGCCGAACACCGACATGGCCCCGCCTATCCACGCCACTCCTAGCGCTGGCCGCACCACGTACAGTGTGAAGTCGGCTCTGAGGGGCGCAGAGGGAGGAGAGGAGGATTGGCTGCATGACATGCAGCGGTGGTAGAAAGGTACTCCCCAGACATGCAAAGCTACTAAGCAATTCTAGAAGGCGCCAACACAGCAGAGTGGGCAAGGGAGAGCCAGGCACGCACGCGACAAAGGCGGACTGCAGGCCAATGTAGAGCAGCAGCGGCAGCAGCAGCTGCAGGCGCCGGTCGCCCATCAGCTCCCACGCACTGCGGCCCCCTCGCGGCCTGCTGCCCGCCCCCGCACCCACCCCCCCTGCTGCCTCCCCTTGGCCTCCCAATAGCGCCTTGCTCTCCCCCCGGCTCCCCTGTTATCCGTCCCTTCATTCCCCCCCTCGTTGCCATCCCCCACACTGCCCTCCCTCCTCTCCTCCGCTCCTGTACCCCCCTCGAGGCAACGAGGCGTGGGGGCGCAGAGCGGGTGGTCCTCGGACAGGTCCCGCAGCAGGCACGTGAGAGCAGCGGCCAGGGCCAGGAACACCAGGAACGTGACTATCAGCACCGTGACTGTAGCGGGGGGCAGGCCCTCTGGATCAGCAGCAGTGGGAGCAGCGGTAGCAGCAGGGAGAGCAGGGGAGGGGTGGATGAGAGCCATGAGCTGGCACACGAGGAAGGTGACGGCGTTGCCCACCACCTGGTTGGCGGCGAAGATCCCCCAGAAGATCCCGCTGAACTCCGCAATCGCTGCCTGCTCCGCCACGCCTGTGGCGGCGGCGTGCCCCCGCGCTACCATCACGCAGTACAGCCCCTGCGCCACCCACAGCACGGACGCGCATGCGCCCAGGTAGGCCGCGGACAGCAGCAGCACCCAGCTGCGCGCTGACGGGGAGGAGGGGGGGGGAAGAGAAGGGGGGAGGAGGAAGGGGGGAGGAGAAAGGGGGGGTTTGTTTTATCCGGGGAAAGGGGGAGGGGGGAGGGGGGAGGGCGGAGGGCGAATTGGGGAAGTGGAGGGAGAGCAGGACGGAAAAGGTGAGATTTGGATGGCGGTACCTGGAGTCGACGGCGTTGGCGGCGATGTAGGCGCAGTACCCCGACATGCCCACCAGCATGGCGGCGCGCGGCCGCAGATAGCGGATCACGGCGGGCGCGAGCGGCGCGAAAACGACGATGCCGCCGTAGATCACGGCGAGCGACGCGGCGCCCATGCCGGCGGTGGGGTGCAGCGAGGTCTCGAGGTTCTGCATGGCGCTGTACGCCGCGAAGAGCAGTAGGAACGCCAAACCCACCACCACCAGATCCTTTCGGAACGCCGTCCATGCCCCCGCCCCGCCGCCGCTGCCGCAGCCGCTGCCGCTGCCGCTGCTGGTGCTGTGATCCCCATGGTTTTCTGATATTAGTGCCCGCAACGAGCTGTCGGTGTCACCTGTAGTGCGCGCGTCGACGGGAAAGGTAGCATCATCGTGTTGGGTGACCCGCGCGCGATGATGCAAGTCGGCGGAGGGAGCAGGGGGAGGCGGGGATGCGATGACATCGAGAGGAGTAAGCGACTCCGACATGGTCAGGTGATAGCAGGCGATGAAGAACTGCAGCCTCGGTGGGAGTGAGGTGCTATTGTTGCTATTTCTATTGCCTGTTGCTACCGACTGACGCATTTATCGCGCCATGCCAGGGAAGCTGGCTGGGATTTATTCGATATAGTACAGCCTTTCATTTGTATTATAGTTTTTTTTTTTTTTTTTTTTGTCCAACATTTCCCTTGGTAGCTGATAGGTTCAGCGACCTCGATATTGGCCCCCGTGGGTTTGGGATGTGAGGAGAATCATCGAATCCTCGGCGATTTCTCGACGAATCACAATCATGCTGGTCACCAAACATTTGTTGTCCACCCTTCACTATTATAACGCCATACGCAAAGGGACGCAGCAGTCGCAGAAGTCAACCAGCCGACCAAGCGACTGTCGCGTGATCCAGCGACATGGCGTTGCGACGACGTCACTCACTCGCCCCCTCTCAGCAAACAGTTCGCGATCGCGCGACAAGCAGGGGAGTTGGATCAGGGCTCGGGCGACGGATGCGACGAGGACACGACAAGTTGACAATGCTCATGAGGAATCTAGGTCATAAGTCTGTAGCATAGAATCTGTTCTTGTCCACTAGTATCTAGGTCTATTTTTTCCTTTGGGCAGCATGACCTTGATTAGGTGGCATTGTTGCTGTCAGAGTGTGAAGTAAATACTGCTGAGCTTGCTGCGGCACGGGGATATGTCTCCTTACAGACGGAGTGAGCTTCACGGAAAAGTGATTGCTTGACCGTCTCGTTCGTAGTTTCTGTTCCTCTCTTTGCGGTTCCAAACTACTTCAGTTGCCCAAGGACGTCACGATGTCGTCACAGGCCGATCAATCGGGCCAGACACCCCCCGTGTCAGATAGAAAACCCGAGAAGCCGGCGCCAGCGTCGTTCGCGGACAAGCTGGAGGCGTTCAGCCAGGAGAAGTTCGCGTCGTTCCGAGCCGCCGTCAGCAGCCCCAACCTGCTCACGCCTGACAAGCCCGCCGATACTCTCGAGGAGCAGGAAGCCAAGGTATCGCAAGCCAGTCGCCGCCATTCATCCCCCGATCCGCTTCTCCATCACAACTAGGAAATTAACTACCTGGCCGCTGGGTGAGCTGCCAGGCCTCCAAATGGTTCTTAACATCGCAGCGATGCGAACTGTTCGTTGCGATCTGGCCAGGTGAAGGCGTTGCGGGAAGCCATCGGGCCGCTGGCGGGGCGCGCGAAGCTGTTCTGCACGGACGCGTGCCTGCGGCGGTACCTCCGCGCGCGCGGCTGGAATGTCCCCAAGGCGGAGAAGATGCTCCGCGACACGCTCCGCTGGCGACACCTGTACCGACCGGAGGAGATCACGTGGGTACGATTCCCCCTCCGACCTTCCTTGGATTCGTGATCAGCCTTCTCGCGTGTGCAAGGGCATGAGTATCAGCGTGATATTCGGAACAGCCCTGACCATGCCTTCTTGGAATGTGCACTTTGGGCTTTCCAGGACGACGTGGCGGGAGAGGCGGCGACCGGCAAGGTGTACCGGACGGCATTTATGGACAAGAAGGGCCGCGCCGTCGTTGTCATGTCCGCCGGCCGCCAGGTGAGTCCGTGCAATGATTGCAATCGCCATGCGTACAAAATGCCTTCCACCACGCACATGGCTCCGTCCAAAGGATTCGATTCACTGGGTGTGATCAACACCCTTCTCCTGGATTCTCCCCCCCTTGTGTTGGATCCAGAACACGTCGGGGCACGAGGGGCAGGTGCGGCACCTGGTGTACGCGTTAGAGAACGCCATCAACCACCTGGCGGAGGGCACAGCGCACATGGTGTGGTTCATCGACTTCCGCGGGTGGACGCTGCGCAAGGCGCCACCGCTCAAGACGTCGCGCGAGGTGCTCACCATCCTGCAGAACCACTACCCCGAGCGGCTCGGCCAGGCCGTGGTGTACGACCCGCCGCCCGTCTTTGAGACGTTCTGGAAGGTGGGTTCGGACTGCGCGCTCTTGAAGGTTGTTCGGCTGTGGTTGTGAATGCTGGGTAGGTGCTGGTTCTGATGAAGTCATCTGGCTGCTGCTCTAGGGTACCGGAGGGTGCACAAGTGGTTGGGTCTCGCACTCACACGCCCATGTGCTCACACTCACGCTCATATCTCAGCACGGCTCTCTCTGTCTCTCTCTCCCCCTCCACCAGATGATCCGCCCCTTCGTGGACCCCAACACGTTCAAGAAGATCCTCTTCGTGTACCCCAACAAGCGCGACACCATCGCAAAACTGGAGGAGATCTTTGACCTCGACCGCCTGGACCAGGCCTTTGGCGGGCGCGCCGTGTGGGCGTTCGAGCTGGACGCGTACAGCCGGGTCATGCGGGAGGACGACGCCAGAGCGAAGGCGTTCTGGGGCATCCCGCCCACTGGCGTCGCTAGCCCCAGGCGCAGGGCTCAGGTGCAGGCCATGCCTGGGGGAGGTGCAGAAGCAGAGGCAGGGGGGGAAGGAGCAGGCGAGGTAGGCGAGGGCCGGGAGCAGGCTGCAGCAGAGGGGGGAGCGGAGGAGGGGCAGGTGGCTGCAGAAGCAGTAGGGTTGTCGGGTGGTGCTGGGCCGGCAGGATTGGGAGGGCAGGAGGCGGGGGCGCTGCTGTCTGAAGCAGAGAACGGGGGCAGGGCGGGTGAGGGCTACAGTGTTACAGTAGGGGGGGCTGACTGGGGTGATTCCCCAGCAGCAGCAGCAGCAGCAGCAGCAGCAGCAGCAGCGACAGCTGAGTGTCCAGAGCTAGAGAGGGGGGAGATGAATGGCAGTGCAGGGGAGGGTGACAGAGAGCAGGACGGCAGTTTCTGGCTGCCACTGAACGAGCCGCCACCCAAGGAGAGTGTGCATGCGCAGAGCATAGCGCACGCGCACCATGTGCTCAAGAGCACGTTCAGCAAGATGAGCATCGAGTTCAAGAAGCCCGCCTGGATGCAGTGATCGGGGTGGTCATCTGCAGACTGATGCCTCGTGTTACAGTTTTTAGTGTTGGGTTGCAGCATTGATGCGGCATGATTGTACTGATTGATTTTGTTGTCATGCACAGCACTGCAAGTGTATCTGACGTCGCACAGCCATCCAGCTCTACGGTAACACTGCAGAGGAGTTAGGACTGGAGGCAGTGGCTGTCAGTAGATGACGGCGGGCTGGTTGGGTCGCTTGCTGCGTTGCCGTGTGCGGGACGCCACGCCCCCCTGGGGTGCAGGCTGCGGTGCGAGCGCATACATCTTCACCACAAAGAGCTCTGAGGGGAACCCCCGCTGCACCTGCGAATGAGAATCACCAGAGCAACGTACAATCAGAAGAACAAGCTAGCTAAAGGCTGGACAGAGTCGAAAAAGCAAGAGCACACATGTGGCGGGCGTCCCCTTGGACAGGTAGGTACTAGCCTACTAGGTACCTTGGACTTGAGCAGCTGCAGGTTGGCCTGCTTGAAGAGGTCTCTGAAATACGCGTCGCTGCGCGTCACACTGCTGTCCGCCTTGTCCAGCACAAAACCTGCATGCAGAGGCAGAGAGGCAGAGAGGCATGGCGACTGAGGGGCAAACAGCACGCACTCACGCCCAGCCGATGGCAGCCAGAATCCGGCAGCTTACAAGTGGGCTCAACGACGCACGTTGAAGGGAGAAGAGCGGCTGACCTTTATGGCAGGTATTCTCCTTCAGCACGATGATGCCGCCTGGCCGCAGACCCGCCTGAATATGAAAGAAGTATTAGCAGTTGGTGATGCCAGGGCACATGGAAAAGTGCCACAAAACCAGGCAAGAGACGCAAGAGCAACAGTGCAAGCACCGCTCTAAGCACGTCTTGGCGTAGAGCACTAGGCACATCCGTTGGAGCACAGCTCTGTGCATACCACGCAGCGGTGCAGGAAGGCGATGAGGTCAGCGTCGGTGAGGTGGCCGATGCACCACTGGATCCAAATCACATCGTAGCGCCCCGCGTCGGGGGAGAACTCCTGAGAGGCACACAAGGCAGGGAGAGCCGTACGGAGGCCAGGCGGAAACGAAAGCAGCAGTCAGCGGGTTGAGAGAGGAGGAGTGGGAAGGCACGAGGCGAAGGGAAGAGAGGGCGCCCGTGACGCAAGGAGCACGAGAAGAAGTGGCCCTGACGCGGCTGCAGCTGCGGCAGGCAGAACCTGATGCAGGGAGGCAGGGACGCAGGGCGGCAGGCAGAACCCCAGGCAGGGAGGCGGGGACGGGGGCGGCAGGCAGCAGGCCGCGGACAGCACGTGCAGGGGGGAGGGAGGACGAACCTGGAGCGGGCAGCAGAAGAAGTTGACGGCGCGGTGGGAGGTGGCAGCAGCGGATGGGGGCGAGGCGAGGTGCTGGCGGGCGGTGTCGATGAAGTGGCGCACCGGCTCCACCAGATCCACCTGCCAGAGGAGAGAAATCACAGGGGGGCGGCGCACCGACTTGGTTCTTCCGAACCTGGAAAAGCCAAGGTCTAATCTATGTAATGCCATGTCTGTGAAAGCATGGCACGGGGGGGCTGGTTATGTGCAAAGGAAAGTTGGTTTGGTTGCATCCTATAAGTGGGCTGGCTGCACTCTAGCTGTGAAATGCCGTGGCTGTGAAATGCCATGGCTGCGAAATGAAGTGGCTGTGAAATGCCGTGGCTGCGAAATGCCGTGGCTGTGAAATGTCGTGGCTGTGAAATGCTGTGGCCGTGCCGTGGCTGTGAACTGCCGTGACTGCGAAATGCCGTGGCAGTGAAATGCCGTGACTGTGAAATGCCGTGGCTGTGAAATGCCGTGGCTGTGAAATGCCATGGCTGTGAAGTCCCGTGGCAGTGAAATGCCGTGACAGAGAAATGCCGTGGCAGTGAAATGCCGTGACTGTGAAATGCCGTGGCTGGGAAATGCCGTGGCTGCGAAATGCCGTGGCTGCGAAATGCCGTGGCTGCGAAATGCCGTGGCTGCGAAATGCCGTGGCTGCGACATGCCGTGGCTGCGAAAAGCCGTGGCTGTGAAATGCCGTGGCTGTGAAATGCCGTGGCTGCGAAATGCCGTGGCTGCGAAATGCCGTGGCTGCAAAATGCCGTGACTGTGAAATGCCGTGGCTGTGAATTGCGGTGGCTGTGAAATGCCGTGGCTGTGAAATGCCGTGGCTGTGAAACCGTGGGTGTGAAATGCCGTGGGTGTGAAATGCCGTGGGTGTGAAATGCCGTGGGTGTGAAATGCCGTGGTTGTGAAATGCCGCGGCTGTGAAATGCCGTGGCTGTGGAATGCCGTGGCTGTGAAATGCCGTGACTGTGAAATGCCGTGGCTGTGAAATGCTGTGGCTGTGAAATGCCGTGACTGTGAAATGCCGTGGCTGTGAAATGCCGTGGCTGTGAAATGCCGTGGCTGGGAAATGCCGTGTCAGTGAAATGCCGTGGCTGTGAAATGCCGTGGCTGTGAAATGCTGTGGCTGTGAAATGCCGTGGCTGTGAAATGCCGTGGCTGTAAAATGCCGTGGCTGTGAAATGCCATGGCTGTGAAATGCCGTGGCTGTGAAATTCCGACTGTGGAGCGCACCTCGTTGAACACATGCAGCAGGAACTCCTTGGTCACTCGCCCAATTCCAGCTCCACAGTCTGCCATGCCACGTGGTGGGAGGGCGGGCAAGGAGAGAGGTTAAAGGGAAGGGTAAGCCACTGACCCCATGGCCGAGCCACTCACCCCATGGCCGAGCCACTCACCCCATGGCCGAGCCACTCACCCCATGGCCGAGCCACTCACCCCATGGCCGAGCCACTCACCCCATGGCCGAGCCACTCACCCCATGGCCGAGCCACTCACCCCATGGCCGAGCCACTCACCCCATGGCCGAGCCAGTGACCCCATGGCAGAGCCAGTGACCCCATGGCCGAGCCACTGACCCCATGGCCGAGCCACTGACCCCATGGCCGAGCCACTGACCCCATGGCCGAGCCACTGACCCCATGGCCGAGCCACTGACCCCATGGCCGAGCCACTGACCCCATGGCCGAGCCACTGACCCCATGGCCGAGCCACTGACCCCATGGCCGAGCCTGTTACCCCATGGCCGAGCCAGTTACCCCATGACCTCACCTTTCTAGCTCGACACGGATGAAGGTCTAACGGGATTTCCCTCCTAGTAAGGCCGAAACATGTTTGTCTCTCCTCTTGTTTCAAACTTGAGTGAGCTTCACTGAGAGCCTAGTTCTCGCAAAGTAGAGATTCAGTATGAAATTTACAACGCAAGCGAACTTTCTGCTAACGGAAAATCCACGCTGCAGCTCTTGCTCCAATGAGTGACGATCCTTGGGATCTCATTGACATGCTACGTTCACCCAAGAACCCCTCACCTTTCTCGCTCACCCACCTCGTGCGCAATGTGCTTTCCTGATGTGCCACACCCCCTCTCACCCCTCACCCACCTAGCGCCACCAGCAGCCGCCCTTGCGCTCTAGCAGCATCCACCTGCGCGCCGTACACCTCGCGCCACCACCCCTACCTCACCCCCCACCCACCCAGCGCCACCAGCGGCCGCCCTTGCCCTCTGGCGGCCTCCACGTGCGCGCCGTGCACCTCATGCAGGAACGCCGCACTGCCCGCCGCGTCCGTGCTGCTCACCGCGCCGTAGCCCCCCAACACGCCGTCCACGCTCGCCTCCACGCCCTGCGGACGGCCGCGCAGGGGGGGAGGCCAGGGGGGTAGAGTAGAGGGGAAGGTGTGGGGGCATGGGGGGACAGGCGGAAGGAGCGAGGGAAGGTTAGATATGGGAGGGTACCGGAGGGGATGGGAAGGGGAAGGAGTGGGGGGCAGGGAGAGAAGGAACTAGCGAGAAAGGAGGGCGCGAGGGGGCGAGGGGGCGAGGGGGCGAGGGCGGGAGGGGGCGAGGGGGCGAGGGGGCGAGGGGGCGAGGGGGCGAGGGGGCGAGGGCGGGAGGGGCGAGGGGGCGAGGGCGCGAGGGGGCGAGGGGGCGAGGGGGCGAGGGGGCGAGGGGGCGAGGGGGGGAGGGGGCGATGGGGCGAGGGGGCGAGGGGGCGAGGGGGGGAGGGCGCGTACCTCCCAGTACCTGACACCCTTGTCGTACCATTCGCGCTTCTTCCCACCCGTTTCCCCCTCCATTGCCCCCTCTCCGCTTCCCGCTTCCCCCGCGCTCACTGCGCGCTCCCCCGCCTCCTGCCGCCACATGTCGTCCGCCGACGCATACTCCCGCCCCTCCGAGTCCACCCCGCCGCGCATCCCCTCGCGCGCGGAAAACCCGCGTGGCGCAGGTCGAGATCCTCCGCGAAGGGACGCAGCACAAACGACGAGACGCGACGCGGTAAAGGCGGAAAGTGCGAGAGGTGCGGAAGGGAGTTGGACGGGCAACAGGGGATGCGGCTGGGATGGGAGAAGCGGCAACGATGGCGAGATGTTGGAGAACGCTAGCTTTACGGAGTTCTGATGAGTTGGCAAAGCAGAGGCCGATGGGTGAAGTCTGAATGGGTGATCCTGGCGGCGCAAGGCTAAGTCTGATAGGAGATGCCGCATTGTTCGACAGATCAAACGGCGCGCTTACAGTGGGATGTTTGTCTTCGCGGATGGCACGCTGAAAGAGGATGCTCGTCTCCGATAGAAGCGGTTACAGTAAAACAGCTCCTCAAGCATTTGGTAAACAAAACTACGTCATTTGTAGCCAATGAGTGCCAAAGAGTAAATGAACATGAAAATGCACTTCATTCATTCTATTACACATCCTTTCTGATGCTGCTGCAACGAGGGATTCTAGTATTACGTGCACCATAGGGGTAACATTGCTTGCATGATATCGCGAGGATGCATAACAAGCAACCACAGCACCAAAAAGCGTGGAGTTTGTCAAGAAAGCACCAGGTAGGTATACACCATAACGAACAAGCAACCACAGCTTCAAAAGTATACCCTCGACTAACGTTAACAGGCAGTATTCCTTGGCTTGGTCTGATGTGCAAGGCATGTCTTCAACCACAATGCAGATCAATGGGGAGTGCGAGGCCCCATATGACCGCATTCCTTTTGATGCTCCTTCAAATACTCATAGGCCCTCTTTCCAAACACCAAGTCAGCAACAGGCACCGGGCTCTTTCCTCCTTGCTGTGACCAACTTCTAGCCTCCACCCCTCCAGCACTGTTCCTCACGCTCGAGCTGGTCCTGGCACTCAGTATACCTGACAGCCCACTCGCCCTATCACTCCCCCACCCACTCATCCTGTCACTCCCTGTACCGTTATCCCTGGCCTGGGCGTCCCCATCGCTTGTTGCAGAGCTGGCTCTTGTCCCCCGTGCAGCCATGTGCTGTGCACTGCCCCACAGCCACGCTGCCTGCTGCTGCAGGCTTAGCACCCCTGCCCTGTGGGCAAACTCTTCAGTGTGCTCCAGTGATGCTGCAGGGAGCCTGTGACCTGCCATGTGAACGTAGAAGATGTGGAAAAAGGTGAGGGGCAGAAAAACAGGACGTTGCACGTAGGCCGTACATGATGCAGGTGCAGCGGAATGCTTCTCACCAGTTGAAGGGCCATGCAAGTTGCTGGAATGTGGCGTGGGTGGGGACATTGCTGGCTGACTTGCTACTCCAGCAGCAGCTTGCCTTGGCTCAGTGTAGCGCTTCCCCTGACTGCTCACTGCCCCATCGCATGCCAGCACAGGACTTGAGTGCTGCATGCTCTGGCTGGCCATTCCCTTGTCTGTTCTTCGGTTGCTGGACGCCCATGGCTTGGCTCCAGGAGAGCGGGAAACACTCATGGTCGCCAGCGACTCAACTGCTTGCATGAGCCCATCAAAGCCTGACTCCAGCCTCCTGTCCACTGGAGGAGGGACTGCCTTCACTGGGGCCTCGTGCTCCGCCTTGCTTGCCCTAAAATCGGCGAATGAGGGACTGGAATTGATAAATGATAAGACAGAAATAGCACGAATATACTCACCTCAAGTCTTGATCGGCAGTCGCATTCTGGCATGATTGCTGATGATGTGCCTCCATACCAGCCTGATTGGCAGTGCTTGGCAAAGTGCCTTCGACCTTTCCCAGCATTTTTGCAGCAGATCCTTTGCCCAATAACTGGTTCTCTTGTGATCCCTGCAACGCACTGCCATCATCACTACGAACAGGCTCCAAGGGCTTGTCCATGCCCGCACATGCCCCATCAGCAGCATCTCCAGCTGGGCCAGTTGCACGCTTCTGAGCAAGGCCTTGCAAAACAGCATCAGCTCCATCAGGTCCCTCCGCTCTTCCCCCTTCAGCCTTGGAACCGCCAGCATTAGAGCCCTCAGCGGAATCCGACCCTTCCTCAGGCAGGTATTCAGTGATGGCGCCATTCCTTATGGCCAGCGGGACTCCAGAATTGGAACGTGATGGAAGAGGAGTGAGCGCCTCCAGTCCCCCAACGCGCCCCTTCATCCGTGCCACCTTGCCTGATCCCCCTCGCATCAGCATTGCCTCCCTCGCTAGCTGAGCAGCCACCAGTCGGCGCCCTGGCTCCTCACCAACCAGCTCTGTCTTCCACCAGTGGTCCTCCAGTAACACCCGTGGACGCCTTGTGCTGAATGCGATGCTATCGATGCTTGTCTGTGTCGTGGGAGGCTCCTTCGCTTTGGCATGCTCCGTTGAGCTGCTGCTGTCTCTGGAGTGCCTGTGGCTGGAATGCTCGCTTGACTTGCTTGACCTGTCACTGGACCTCGCACCAACAACAATCTCTGATGAATGGTCGGCCTTCAGCTCTTTGGACGAATCCATACTGAGGCTTCCACTCAAGGCTGTTAGACGATCACATGCACCGGCATCTGACCCCATCTCATTGGCTTCATCTCCATCTGTCCCAGATAATTTTCCCCTATCGCCACTAGTCTCACTGGCCTCCTTCCCATCGCTGGCTTCATCTCCATCTTTCTCATCACCTTGTTTTACTCCAGCCATCACGTCGCAACCAGCCTCTCCACTCGCGTGACGCTCCGAGCCCTTCGCTTCGCCAGCCTTGATGACAACAGCTTGCTGCAGGTGTGACACATCTCCCGAACGCTCCTCATCAGGTGGGAGAATTTGCAGATTTGGGGTTGGGGAGCTGTCCAGATGATGAGTGGTATTAAATAGGGATGCAGCAGCATTCTTATATGCGTCGTGTCTGCGTACCTCTTGTTCCTGCAATAAGCAGATACACAGCGTCAGCTCAAGGACATATGCTTTTAACTTCCCCTGCATACGAAACGACTCCATACCTGCAGTTTCTTCTTGTCAGATTCCTTCTTTTTAACCAGCTGCTCTCCATTCCCTTGGTTCTTCTTGAATGCACTTTCAAACTCCACCATTGCACCATTCATTTTCGACCCCAAACCCACAAAGGCTGCAACAGGAGCAGCCACGATCATTTGCAGGAACGGCAGGTTGTTCAAAGCAGTATTCTGAGGAATTCCCTCGGCTGTGCCATCTGGTGTCGTTGTTGCTGCAACTTGCTGCTGCCCAGTCGATCCAAATCGCCAGAGTGCTGGCGTACGTGAGATACTGCCTTTGACCCCAGTTAAGCCACCCTCAGAACCTCTCCCCTCCGCAGTGAGGCTGCTTGAAGTAGTGGATTTGGCTCCATCTGCCACTGCTGACACGTCAGTTACCCTCTTAGAAAATGCCACATTCCTGGAAACTTCTGCTCGAGCATGCTGTCTCTTCATCAAAGTGCTTGTGTTGCCATAACCCATGATGCGTGCTTTCAGCTCTTCGGGACTCAGCTTCTGCTTCTCAGCGGACTGCACGGGAGCAACAGAGTCAGCAGACTGCATGGGAGCGACGGAGTCAGCATGGCTACTATCCACAGCATCCCGTGGCGTCTGAATTGTACAAGGCACCTCCAGAGCATAATCGACTAAAGTGTCACCCGTTGGATGAGCATCACACACCCCCCCGTCAACATCTGCAGTGACATTGACCTCTTGAACTTGATCGGTTGAAAGACTTGCTTCCACAGCCTCAGACGCAGATATCGCACACCCTTGCTGCCTTGATCCAGCCTGCCCCAGTATGCCGTCATGCCCATGCTCCATGCATGTGTCCATGTTAGATGGCAAAGGGTCGGGGATAGGTTCTGTGGTGGCATCTTGATTAGGCCCTGAATCTAAATTCGTCAGTTGATCTACTCGTGCGTTCAGGTCCTCGTCGCCTGCTGCTTCTGGCAGAATATGCTCGCTGGTGCTGCTGCCCTTGTTACGAATGCCGTTGGGTGGGAGCGTTATGCTGGTGTCAGTCATTTCATACATGCTTGAAATCCACTCAAGAATCACATTTATTGGCGTAGCCCGAACTTGAGCCTTGCTCATTGTGCCTGCATCACAAAGAATCAATGCTCAATACACCCGGCTTGAAATGTGTACTCGCATTAATGAAGCTTTGAAACGGATCAACTCACCATGGTCGACAATAAAACCAATTCCACCATCACCGTTGAACATCACACAGCTTGGAACCATCAAGTCATGCTGGCGACCTGACTGGCTAGATGCTTTCGCATTTTTGCTTGATAGCAAAGAGCGAGAACGAGGCATTTGAATAGTCATTCTCCGCGGGTCGTCTGGATCAGTTGACAAGTTTATATTTTCGAATCCCAGTACGCGACCTTTCTTCAGCCTCCATGAAAGAGCAGTGGATGGATCGCTCTTAGCTGGTGACTTCACGGCCTTTCCTCGTGCAAGACTTGAAGGGGCGAAGCAATAGATGAGCAGAAACGCATCCAGGCTAGAATCAAGGCTCCGAGACAGAGACGAGACCTTGCACGCGACGGAGGCTTCTTGCTTTCTGGAGGAGAGGTCGTTGCATGCTACAATTGTAACACCGAGCGCCTCATTTGTTGCAAAGACCCTGTCAGGTAAACGAGATTTAGTTTCGAGAGGCTATGCATTTCAGGGCCTAAAACTCCAGTACAAACCTCTCGGGTGATAGAAGTATCGGAGAGCCAATAAGTTGAGCCGTGGCGTGAGCTCCTCTCTTGCCCTTGCGTATCACAGGAGCCGAGAATGCGAGCAGATGCAAGCCTGCTGCTGCCTCTTTTGATGGCACTGCGGAACGTGTTGTGATAACCAGACCACCGTCAACCAGTAATCCTGTAAAAACGTCTTCCTTCCGAAGCTCCGCCAAAAGCTGATCGGATGCAATGGGTTCTACATTTCGCAGAGAGGGTACGCCGAGTCTGCTCGAAGATAAGACTGTGTCAATCGGATTGTAACTCGAGGAAATACGCGACAATCTCTTACCTGCTTAATAGGACAACGGAGACCTGGTGTGCCTGTATTGATTCGACTGCTCGCCAGGATGTACCAGAAAACGCACAACCGAAAGCCATGGCGATGGTCGTGCTTCAGAGCACCACTTGCTTACCTAACCACGCAAGATTCCTCACACCTCGCTGACAGGTCTACCGTCAAGGAACTTGAAACTAGACTGGATTGTTTTGTCTGTGAATCTGTAAGCGGACTGTGAATCTGTGAATCTGTAAGCGGACTGTGAATCTGTAAGCGGACTGTGAATCTGTGAATCTGTGAATTCGTCAGATGCCTGGTGATCAACAGAAGCTTGGAGAAGGGGATGGGATCACGGAAGTCCAATCGCTGACGACAGAAAATACGCAGACGGACATTCTCGCTTCTGTGTTCAGTAACTACTGTCAGTTCTCGCTCAGCTCCTTTACAAAAACATGAATCATAATAGTTGCACATCCAAGGCACGACGAACTAGAGTGAATTATAGCAACCCAATTCTACGAAACCAGTAGTCATCCTTCGACAGAATTATGCAACATTACATTCAGCAGAAAACTTTCATCCAATCACAGCCCTAATGGCTCATTTGGAGCATAGTTTCATAATCATCCCATCTAGTGTATCTGACTCTGACACAATGCACTCTCTGCACTGGAGCACTTCCAGTAGGGATAACACAGCACAAATACCCCCAATAATTACATCCACATGCCCCTCCCACATGCCAGGCAAGTGAGCTCTGCCCTCTCGTGTCATTCCTGTGCATTGCCCTAGTATTCCTCTCACCATCTCCACATCCAAAACAAAGCCTTGAACTCTTTCCCTCGAGTATGGAACACCCTGAGCAAGGGCGGCAAGTGTTGTCAGTATACCGCCTGTGCCCACCACCACACCCTCCACTCCGCTTGTTACCACCCCAGACCTCATCGTCCCTCCTACTGAATTGCATGAAAATTCCTTTGGCTGATGAGGACCGTTGTGCCTGTACCAACCCAAAGACAGTGCAGGAGAGAACTTGCAACGATACGCATCCCTGGCAGCGTTAAGGGCAGATTCAATGCTGCATGGAGAGGTGGGGCTCAGGTGGAGGGAAAAGGAGCGCGAGAGAGAGGAGGAGCCGATGTCAACTGAGAGGACAGTGTGAGGGCCACAGATAGTTGGTGAAGACGGGGAAAAAGAGGAACAGGAAACTTCATCAATGCAGGTAGGAGAGATGATGCCTAAGGCCAACTCTGATGAACCACCGCCAATGTCTATCACCACAAGCGGTGCTGTTGTCACTCCCACAGCCAATCCGCTACTGACTGCTGAGGTGGAGCCAACAAACGCCAGCTTCCCCTCTTCTTCCCCTGAAATAACCTCAGGAGTTGAGCCAATCACTCGTGCGGCTGGGATGAGAAGATCTGAAGCATTGGCTGCACGCCTGGCCGCTGACGTGGCGCACATGTGCAATCGAGACACCCCATGATCACGGCATAGCCCAGCAAAGTAACTCAGGATGTCAAGACACATGGAAATAGTGCCAGGAGAAAGGGAGCCAGTGCGCGCAACGTCAGCTCCAAGAGATACCGAGCGGGTTTCGCGAACCAGCTCTCTGGTTCGCGAGAATCCCTGGCTTTCTTCGCCGCATTCGCATATGAGGAGTCTGAGCGCGTTAGTCCCGCAATCTATAGCCGCTACACGTGGAGGAGCGGAGCCGCCAGGGGAATTAAGATTCCGGATTGTGCTCAGATGCATCTCATGACCAGCGCTGACCCTGGGATGTCCTTGCCTTCTAATCGGACTGGCGATCTTTCCAAAATGATAAGAAAACGGGGATAAGACGGTCCAACGGCAGCCTGAAGGCTTGATTGGCTGCTTAGCGAATCGCGGCGAATTGGGAGATATGCAGCGCGCCGGTCGTCCTTGACTGACGAACGGAAAACTACGTGTAGAGGGTGGATTGACAGCGAGACATTGCGTCGGCACGGCACTTGGCTCTCTGCTGCGCTTTCTCTCAACGGTGTGCTGAAGGCATGTAGTGGAGCTGGTGCTACCTAGCGAACATCCCGGACGCAGTCGACAGACTAGGAAACCCATATTGGCTCGCCGGCCAGATGTCGACATCTTGCCGAATAATCTGCTCGACTGGCTTGGAGTGCACATGATAGTCGCTGAACTAGAATCTGACGAAGATTTGAGGGGAAGGGTGTCGTGGAGACAGACGGCTTGCTCTCGTTATACGTCCTGGCACTGTTTCACAAAAAGCATCACTGAAACCCCAGTTTGAATGAATTTCACAAAACCTCCTCAGAACTAGGCCCACCTTCAGCACATCATTTGGAGTTGGCGAAGAGACCTCTCAAAGGCTTCCGCAGACACCGAGTGGTCATAACTTTTGATATAAGGACCTTTGGATAACATGTGGCTCTGGAAGCAAAACCCCAAACCCAGCAGGCCACATATGGTTGCTATCGAAAGAGCGTAGTCGGCCTATTCCCTGGTTCAGTTCAGACATGGTTTCACACTCCATGCCTTGGTTGGGAAGAAATGGACACGGAAGCTTACATTTCTGCCACGGGAACAAAAATAGTTATTGACAACGTCACTGCATCGAACAAGGCGCTGACATTTCGAGTACAGCCGCATAGAACCTATCCGGCGACAGCTTATCGGTTGATCTCCTCGTCCAGGTCGATGTGGATGTACTCCGTGTCGTCCTCCAGCCGCTTGCGCGAGCCGCTCCCGGCTGGCACTGGTGTCAGAGGCAGGCCCAGACGGCTCTTGCCCTTCGCAGACCTCGGCCGGCACTGACAGGAGGGGTGAGAAAGAAGGGCCAATCGGGAAGGGAAGGGTACAAAAGACAGTTGAATAGCTCACAAACGAACGAGCACATGGCATGACCACGACTTTCTCCGGAACAATGGATTGGCAGACGAGCACAAACACCAAAGCCGAAAACTTACGTTGCCAAAGGATCCACGAGTCCTCTTCCCCTTCGCGGTACGCTTGTCCCCACGACCACAATAAACTGCACAGAGCGATCATCAAGGACCACCAAAACAGTACAACTTCAGGACTCCTTTGTCGGAAAAACTGTCTGAGGGAGCCGTTGTCACTAGCTATTCCTGCATTTCTACGAAAGCACTATGCTTCTTTGGGAGAGAACAATCGGGATGCGAGATGACTAGAGGAGCTAACGCACAACGCGAAACCCTAACCAGCTTGCCTTGTGGATAGCCTGTAACCTTCAGGGCATCTTGGCTCACGGGCGCTGCAAGAGCAACCTGCGAAGAAGACTGACACAAAGTCGTGCGACTCCCGAGGGAAGCTGCGGGAGTGGCGACCAAGAACGAAGAAGCAAGCAGAGTCGCCATGGTGGAGAGCCGGAGATTTGAGATGTACTCTTGGTGTTTCGTTGTTCGAAGTAAGAGAAAGTCATGGCAGACGGGGGTTCGGTGGGGGAGGGGAGGGAGGGGAGGGAGGGGAGGGAGGGGAGGGAGGAGGGGAGGGAGGGGAGTGCTGCAGCAGATGAGGCCGGGGTCTCCGTCATTGGCGAAGAGTGAGCTCGCCACGTGGCAACCAGGCCGTATACGAAACGATTCGGTAAAAGCCCTCGGTGAACAGTGATATCTTGTGAATATTGTACAAGAAATGAAATAAGTACTTTCTAGAAAAATAGGCGCATTTCTTCCTATGCGCTAGCTGGTTCGGTTAGTTAGCGCATGAATATGATACACAGATGTGAACAGACAACAGAATCGGTGGGACTCACACTAGCAGCGGATTTCAGTGCAGCAAACCTGAAATTGTTTCTGGATAATCAAGCTCTTTCGCTAAGTAGGATATATGATGAGAATGGGCATTTCATAAGGCATTACGAGAATTGTCGGCAAATTGTGGATTTTCAAGTAAAGGGAAAAATGTTCTGATGCTTTTTCTGATTTACAGGCATTATGGTGCAGTCTAGTTCACCTGGGCGTACCAGATGCCCTGGATCTTGACGTCCTTAGGAACCTTGGCACCCATATCAGTGTCAGAGGGCTGGACGCTGGTGAACACTCCACCGATCTCGCCAGTCTCAACGTTCGACTTGGCCACGCTGAAGGTGATGTTGCCGTTCAAAGCCTTGTATGACTTCTGGTTCTCCTTCTGCAGGGCATCCACATCACCGAAGCCACCAGCGGGGAGGGCGACGGCAGTGTCGTACCCTTGGGAGCCACCACGGCCCTTGGGGTCAAGGAAGGTAGCACCGCGGTACGATGGCACCAGGAAGGAACCGCCGAAGCTGTCGGGAGTGCCGGAGGCAACAAGCTCCTTGATGGTGAAGAGGAACGGCACCCTCTCGCCACCGGAAAGCTGGACGGTGACAGCGGCGTAGTCAATGCCGTCAACCTCGGTGAACTTGATATTGTCGCCAGAGACCTCAAGGGGACCCTCGATCTCGTCCAGAGTGTATGTAAGGCGGGTCATGAGCTTGGTCTTCTGGAACTCCTCACCCTGGCCCTTGAACTGGGACTCGGCCTTCACGGTGAAGGAGGTGGGCTCCAGGCACATCTTGGTAATCTGGTACTTGCCCGACTTGAAGGCGAAGCCATCAACACCGCCAGCAATGATGGGGCACTGGTTAGCGATGCCGCTGCCCTTCACCTCCGAGTAGGTAAGGCTCTGGAGCTCATCGAAGGTCAGCCTGGGAGCCTCGGCCTGGGCAGCCTGCATGATACAAACCAGGGGTTGTCAGTGAGCAAATGATTCTTATCACGGTTAAAAAAAAGGCGTACAACAAACTTTTGTCCACGCTACTTACGGAGACAACAAGGGCGGACGAAGCGAGAGCGAGAGCGGCGGCCTTGCCAGCATCAGCGGCCTTCTGGACGAAGCCACGGACGTTCTCCTCCAGGGAGCAGGACACCTTGGAGGAGGCAGCCTTCAGGCCAAAGGCCTGAGACACGGGAGCTGCCTTGAGGGAGGCAGCATTGACCTTAGGCTGCACAAGGGAAGCGGCCTTGAGGCTGGCGGAGACGGTGGTGGCAGCCATGGTTGCGGGATGCTAGGAAAACACCTGCAAACCAGGAGAGTTACCAAAGAAATTCAGTCTGCACGGAGTGTGAGGCAACCAGAGAAGATCCAAAGGAGAGACGAAAGAAGATGGTCACCCGAAGGGAGGGAATTGGATGGGCGAAACTGCATTATCCACGGGCAGATGTCGCCACGATCGTCATGGCCAATGTCATGACGCCACGATGGCAGCCAGTTCGTTTCTCGCCACCAGGTTCTGCACGCTGATTCCCTCGAGGGTCGCACAAGAATTGGCTGGGTGTGCTGATCACGGTAACTTTCGCCCAACATTTCGCGTGGGGGTTGAATATGGTGCCTACGTACGCTCTTTACGGATCTCGTTATCAGACATTGTTTCGAAGTTTCCAACATTGCCTTCCCGTTGCGTGTACTTTCAATGCGCTACAAATATCCACCATGCCGCAACCAACCAGCAAACCAACCTTCACCGACATGGAAAATGTGATCCCGAGAGAACGATACCGAAATCGGGGTCAAGTCTGAAAAGTCGTTCCTGTGGGTCTCAGGACGGAAGCTGATTATGTACTGCCACAGATCAGATATGACTTGCAGTCCGCGACTTCATAATCGAGAGTGACCAAACATGTCGATTAGATTGGCAAATTTGTGTGCCACCTCTCGTTTGCTCGTCATCGCTGTATGCTAGTCTTTCCACTATCACGTGCTACTCTGTTAGTTCTCTTGATTCTGCAAGAGCTCTTTCTGGTAGCCTACTAACCAACCCTAATTATCGCTGCATAGTCAACCCTAGAATCCGCTCATGCGGAGAGGATGCCGTCCGCCTCCCCCACAGTGCACGACTCCCCGCATGGCAGCTTCAGGCAGGCGGACATGCGGGGAGTGGCCATGGGGGGCAGGGGGAACATGGGGGGGATGGGGGGAATGGGCATGCGCGGGCCAGGCATGCGGGAAATGGGCATGCGGGGTCCAGGCGCGCGTGAGGGACCGGGGGTCGTACGCGATACAGGGATGAGCGAGCTCGCGCTCCGATCCATGGCGATGCGGGACCCGGGGATGCGCGACGGGGGAATGCATCACGGCGGGAGAGGCCCCGCGTATGGTGGCGCATACGGCGGCGCCTATGGCGGAGGCGTGGGGCGGCGGGAGTGGGGCGCGCACGAGCAGCGGCGGTGGGCCGCTGGGGGGGGGTACGCGTCGGGAATACCAGCGTCGGGGGTAGCGCCCTACGAGAATCCCGAGACGACCTACGTGGAGATGGAGAACGACCCCACGAGCCACGACTCGCCGCCCGCGTATCGCGGAGCGGGAGACGTGAACCCGCACCTCGCCATGCTGAGGCGGCGCCGCGCCATGTACAACGGCAGCAGATCGTATTATTTCTCGGCGCTTGTCAAGCAGAACCTCCCTTACATAGTCATCGTGGTTCTGCTTGTTCTTTTACTCATTCAAAACCGGCGGCAGCAGCCCGCGGCGACCTTGAGTGGGGGGAATGCCGCAGCAGGGGGGACAGGCGCGGGAGGGGGAGCCTCAGGGGCGGGGAGTCTAGGGGCGGGGGTCAAGTCATCAGGGGGAGAGAAGAAAGAACCAGGCCAAGTGGGGGGAGGGCAAGCACAATCACCGCCAGCGCCAGCGAAATTGCAAGTCGACCCACGGGTGCTGCAGCAACAAGGGGGGGCGCAGCAGCAGCGGGTTGAGGCTGCAGGCGCGGCAGGCGCGGCAGGCGCAGGGGGAGGGGGCCTGACCGCTGGGGCAGCAGGAAGGGGACGGGCAGGGGCCTCAGGCGGAGGTACGGCGGGCACAGCAGGGGGGACAGGCGCAGCAGGAGCAGCAGGAGCGGCAGGAGCGGCAGGCGCAGCAGGGGGGGGAGCAGGCGCTGCAGCAGGGGCGTCAGGCGCAGCAGGGGAAGATGCAGGTGCTTATAGCGAGTCAGACTCTCTGTCGGACCTGAGCGACACGGAGAAGCGGCGCGAGCTGGTGAAGGTGATTCTGGAGGACCCCGGGTCGAAGGTGGCGCGCGAGGCGACGCGCAACAACGTGTTCCGCGAGCACATGCCCACGTTTGGGTTCGTGCAGTTCGCCAGCTACCGCATGACCGAGAGCAAGTTCGCCGTGGTGGGCCTGGCGTCCCGCGTGCTCAAGACGTCCCGGGAGCTCGGGCGGTGCCTGTGGAAGGAGAAGCACGGCGGGCATAGAGTCACGGGGCAGCTCGTTGGTGAGTGGAAAGGGAGGGGAAGAGAGGGAGAGGGGTTGAGGTAAGACAGTGGGTGACAGGGGTGAGCAGAGTGGTGCGTGTGGATGGAGAAGCGCGCATCGAGCCACTCGGCAGCTGGTCGGTGAGCTGAAAAGGTGCTCCACTTTTTCCCTTGCATCCCATCCCTTCCCTCCGCCTACCACCTGCGTGACGAGGGTGACGAGGAGACCATGCGGCATTCTCCTGCGTTTGCTACCTACACGAGTCTGTTCAGCCGGCAGAATCAAAGCACCTCTTTCCTCCCCACAACCCCATCAACTCTCGCAGCCTACGACCCTGGCGATGACCACAACAGGCAGTATGAGGCAGTGGTGCTGGTGTGCGAGCAGACTGGCAAGGGTCTGCCAACTCCAGGAGCCAGCCGAGCCTGCTGTGATATCTCCCCTCACCTCCTCGCATATTTCCCATGTCAGCAGGGATGCTGCTGATGGGCCAACACCTCTTCCCTCCTCCCAACCCCATCCCTCCCCTCCCTCGCAGCCTACTACCCCGGCGACGACCACAACAAGCGGTACGAGGCGGTGGTGCTGGTGTGCGAGCTTGAGGAGTCCACCGCGCAAGACTTCGGCGGCATCCTCGTGGTGACTGTAGACAAGGAGGACATAGTGTCTTATATCGAGGACCAGGGCCAGTACCCCACCGCTAACCCCACCCCGCCATACCCGCACCGACTCACCTACTGCTCCCCGCCCTTGGCCACAAAACTCATCCCGATGCGCGTATACGAATGGATAGAGTACCACCTACACGTGGGGGTGGATAGAGTGGTGCTGTACGACGCAGGGGCGCTGGACCCCGAGATAATGGGGCTCATAGAGGGGTTCGTGGAGGGGGGGTACGTGCAGATAGTAGACATGCGGCGCGTTGAGCAGTTTGACATTTGGGAGTCGGGGCGGCTGCTGGCGATGAACGACTGCGTGCACCAGCACGCCTTCACGTCCCAGTGGGTCTTCTTCGCCGAGCTCAGCGAGTACTTCTCATCGAGGTCGGGGGATGACATGGCCGCTGTGCTGAGTCGGTTTGAGGGCCGCCCGTATGTGTCGTTCGGCAGCAGGTGGTGGTCGCTGGAGAAGTGCGTTCAATTGGACGGGGTGGGGGGAGGTGCAGGGGGAGGGGCAGGGGGGAGGGCAGGAGGGGGGAGGAGGTTGTTGGCGGGGGGAGGAGGGGGTGGGGTGGCAGGTGGGGGGGGAGGAGGGGGGTCGGCGCTAAGGGGGGTGGGTAATAGCACGGGAGCTCGTGCAGCAGCTGCCACTAATGCTGTTGCACGCACTGCTGCTGGTGGTGGTGGTGGTGCTGCTGCTGGTGCCGGTGCTGCTGGCACTGCTGGTGCTGCTGGTGCTGCTGGCACTGCTGGTGCTGCTGGCACTGCTGGTGCTGCTGGTGCTGCTGGCACTGCTGGCACTGCTGGTGCTGCTGGTGCTGCTGGTGCTGCTGGTGCTGCTGGTGCTGCTGGTGCTGCTGGTGCTGCTGGCGCTGCTGGTGCTGCTGGTGCTGCCGGTGGTGCTGCTACTACCACTACAAACGCTGCAGCAGCAACAGCAATCACAGCGGTGCTCGCCCCTCCTGCCCCGTCGCCCGTGTGGGCAGTGGAGCGCATGCGCTTCCACTGGCCGCAGCTCTTCTGCACCAACAAGGACGAGTACCCGCGCGCCGAGATGTGCCTGGGCGAGTTCGGGTACCGCCGCGTGGCCGTGGACCCCCGCCAGGTCATGACCGTGCTTGTGCACCGCACCAGCGTGCCCGAAATGGGCGGCGAGGACTTGGATGCTAGTGAGGCGCGGTTCAACCGGTACCCGCTGCTGACGGAGGAGAGCCGCAAGGCGTGCCAGCGGCAGGTGCGCAAGGGCGAGGTGGTGGAGTGGTGGGTGCGCGACGCCGAGGTGGCCGACATTGCAGAGAAGGCGAGAAACACCCCCAAGGGCCAGCCCCGGGTCGGGTCGTCGGCCTCCTCGGCACGGAGATGACAGGCGGGGAGCTGAGGAGGGGGGGATGAGGTGGTGGTGAGGCTGTAAGCAACGGTTGGAGGTTGAGGTGACATGCGACAGAGAGGGGTTAGGCGGAAGGCAGAAGGCTTGGAGGAGGCAGGTGGCTTGGTGGGTCTGTGGGCTGGTGGGTGGGTGCAGCTTTGATCTACCAGGGTCTTGCTCGTGGACTGGTTGACCTGTGGGTGTTTGCATTGGTGGTGGTAATGTTATGGAGAGCAGTTGCTTGGGGGGATTGGCTGATAGGAAATCTGACATAGATAAAGCTGAGATGAGATACAACCACAATTGAACTGCCACCAGCATGTTCACAGCAAAGAGGGACTACAGCACCATGCACTGTGCTTTTAAAAGTGAACCAGCTCTTGCAGCTTTGATTCAATACATTCAAAAACAAAGAGGCATCCAAAATTGGATCTGGGGACTAAGCCCCAGGAGTGCATCATGCTGCACACACACAGCCTAACTTCAAAATTGTAGGAGGGGATGGCGCCACAGTCAAGAGCATCTCATCATGCTGCACCCCTTCCTTTGCGGCACACTGCTGCTCCATAAACTCACGGCATCATGGCATTACAGCGTGCTGCTGCCACATGCCCAGCTCACTAGGCCCCGTGTCAGTGTGACCTGTACACCCGCTATGCTGCTTGTCAAGGCACCTCACTAGGCCCGGGGCTTGTACGCCCCGCTCCGCTGCTCGTGTAGGCACACACCAATGCTGCTGCTGCACCTGCCATCACACCCCCTCTGCCACGTGCTGCTCTTCTCACCCGCCTCCACCGAGTAGTGCTCTGATTCTCACACCCCCCCTACTGTCCCTACCTGTCCTCGCACCCAACCCAAACCCCTCCATTCCCTCACCCCTGCCAGGCATCCCAACCCCCTCTCCCCTCCACCCTTCCCTCACACCCTCAGCACCGCGCACCCGAGAATCGCCCCTCGCCCGCCGCCCATGCCCCCAACGGCCGTCCAGTTGAGCAGCCTCTCACTCGGCCGCACGAACATGGGCGCCATGGGCCCCTTGGGCAGCCGCGCCTCCTCCTCCCGCCCGCGCCTGCCCTCCTCCTCGGGATCCCAGCAGAAAATCTCCTCCAGCCCCACCCTGCCGCCGCTGCTGCCATGCCCCCACGCGTCGCGAGACCCCCCCATCACGAACAGCTTCCCCCCGAAGGCGATCATGCCCACGCCATGGGTCGCGCTGCTCTGCCGCCCGAAGCTGCTGCTGACGTGGAGCGAGGGGACTGGGCCGCACTTGCGCCACACGCCCGTGGCGCCGTCTCGCACGACGAGGCGCGTCTGGTGGATGGCGTAGAGGTCGGCGCCCAAGACGGCCATGGGGCACGGGATCTGAGGGGGGGGGAAGGGGGGGGGGGAGGAGGGAGGAGGGATGGGAAAAGGTTAACTCACATCCCGCATGTCCCGCCTATCCCAAACCCCGAATCCCCGTGCCTCCTCAGCGCCTCTCACCCACTCCCCCCAGTCCTCCCCCCAGTCCTCCCCCCAGTCCTCCCCCCAGTCCTCCCCCCAGTCCTCCCCCCAGTCCTCCCCCCAGTCCTCCCCCCAGTCCTCCCCCCAGTCCTCCCCCCAGTCCTCCCCCCAGTCCTCCCCCCAGTCCTCCCCCCAGTCCTCCCCCCAGTCCTCCCCCCAGTCCTCCCCCCAGTCCTCCCCCCAGTCCTCCCCCCAGTCCTCCCCCCAGTCCTCCCCCCAATCCTCCCCCGCGCGCTGCCCCGCACCCACCTTGCTGTCGTCGATCCATGCGTTGGGCACCAGATCCCACCGGTCCGCGTCGCGGCAGTACACCTCGACGGACGCCGTGCTCTCGCGCGCGTGCCCGTCTCCGTCATGACGTAAGTGCATGACGTCAGCAGACATGCTGTCGTGCCGCTCCACCTCCCCCGCGATCACCGTCAGCTGCCCGCCCAGCACCACAGCGCGGTGCCCGCATCTCGCGGCGTGCATCGCGCTGATGCTCCGCCAATCCCCGGTGAGCACGTCGAACATCTGAATGGGATGGGACGACGTGGATGGGTGGGATGCGATGCGATGAGATGCGACGTACTGCGATGAGATGCCATGTGACGGGATGGGATACTCTACCATGGACTCATGGCACGATGCGATGACGCAGGCGACGCTTGTTGGCGAATTGCGAGATTGCGTCGACGAATGCGATGCAATAGCGATCACCATTTAACGGCTGAGATGAAGGCGAGGGGGCCGACTCACCTCAGCGGATCGCAGGAACGCGTGTCGGCCCTGCCCGCCGGTGACCACGATGTAACGGCCGTCCAGCACCTCCGCGGCGGGCGAGATGCGCGCCTCGCCCATCGGCGCGCAGAACTCCCAGCGCCACGCGATGGGGTCGAACACGCGGACGCACGCCGTTGCGGTTTCCACGCCGCTCATCCCGGAGGGCGATGCTGACGTCACGCGCTCCCGGCCGCCGATGACGTACATCTTGCCGCCGGCCGCCACGGTCGCGAATTCCGAAAGACCCTCGGTCTTGGACCGACCGGGAACGGGCGGCACGGCGTGCCAGGAGTTGGAGTTGGGGTCGAAGGCGCGGAACGCGCCCTGGTCGGGGTCCTCTGGGAGCACGAAGAGCCATTCCTCGACAGCCCCCGCCGCCTCGCGCGCCTCGAAAAACGCGCGGCTGGACACGGCGGAGCTCCAGGACTTGGAGACGGTCTTGAGCGCGCCGTGCAGGTGGCGTGGGAGGCGCAGGAGCGCCTCGTGGGAGACCTCGTCGGGGATGGACGCGAAGATGGTCCCGAGGGAGTGATGGCAGGGGTTCGTGTCGTGAAGCGTGCCCATCGCGGCAGGAGGAGTTTCGTAACAGACAGAAGATGGTTCCGGCAGGTGGATGTGGGGAGAACCGAAGCTTAGTTGGTATGAGCTAATTGGGGGAATATGGAGAAAAACTGAAATCTCTCGTGAGAGGTATGGAGCAAGCAAGAAGGAACAATCGGAGCGAAGAGGAGAGGTGCAGAAAGAGCGAAAGTCGAGCAAATTTGCTACAAGGAAGGAGAAAGCGGAGATATAGAGAGACCTGGTTCCAGGCGAATGGGGCAATTCGCGAGAAAGATTTCGCTAGAGCTGTACGACAGCCTGTGGTGTCGACGTGGCTAAAAACTGTTCGGTTTAAGTGCCACGTGAAAGGCATTGGAGATACACTGCCCTTCCGAGAATCCATAAACCGTCACCAGTGATTCTACATCTCCTGGAAGGTCCTACATTGACCTTTCCAGTTGCGAGAAGGCAAAACTGACGCATCTGAACACAGAAAACACGTCACGCTTGAAGGCATCTCTCGTGGTCCAACGTAGCTTCCGTTTCGATGACTGGCTGAGCGACGGCCTGAATTTCTCTGGCGAAATCGATGCCCTCGCAAGCAGCGTAGCCAGCCACACAGCTGGTTCCGCCTGTCAGGCGATTCTCTGCACGAAATTTCTCGTGCTGCATGCGGTGCGGTGTAGGGCTCGTGAAACTGATTTTCCAGCTCGCGTCCCCAAAGGGCAATCATAATCCCCTGAACAACAATCATAGCTCCTAGCCAAATAAGCTATCCCACGTGGACACCCTAAGCACCACTGCGCGCCGAGATCGTACAACCTCGTTGAGGAGCGTTCTCTTGATTTCGTAAAAGTGCCCTAACATGCTTCAAATTACTCGTTAATAAATTACACCATAAGAGAATCTAAGTGAAACACGTGGTAGTGACCTTTTTAGTTAGAGGAATTGCGCCATGCGTGCATCTCTAGGAGTGTCCGGAACTTGAACAAATGGCAACTTGAGAAGCTGTTTACGTAGAACAAGGGGGTAAAGGAGGGAAAGGGGAGGGCCGGGGGGGGGGGAAGCAGGAGAGAGAAATAATTGGGCAGGGATGACTCGAAGGTGCACACAACTAGAGAAGGGAACATAATATTATGCTCCAGACGACCCCAGCCCATGAGCTCCACCCCCATCTGACCTCGGTGGCGGACGGCCGGTCATACGGCTCTATGTGGAAGCACGCCTCGAGGAACTCGCGGCCCTCGGGCGATATGCCCTCGGGAATGGGCGGGCCCGTGGTGGTCTTGGCGATGTGGAAGATGGCCGACCACGTGTTGTCCATGCCGGGCCACGGGTGGCTGGGAGAATGAAAAGTGGAGTGGGTGCAAGGTGTGAAGGGTGAGCGGACGGAAGCGGAGGGGAGACACGAGGGACTGCTGGATGCAAGCGGTGTTGGGGGTGGGACATGGGCAACGAAGGGAGGCACTGAGGATGCAGGGCAGTAAGCAGTAGGGGCACGCACGCACCCTGCCTCACCAGCCTGCGACCCCCCCTCTCACCAGCCAGCGACCCCCCCCCTCACATGCCGGCCACCCCCACCCCTCACATGCCGGCGACCCCCACCCCTCACATGCCGGCGACCCCCCCCCTCTGACCTGCCGGTGAGCATTTCGATGACTGTGCAGCCGAGGCTCCAGATGTCGGCACGGCGGCCGTAGCCGTCGCCCTTGATGACCTCGGGGGCCATCCAGAACACCGACCCGCGGATTGACTTGCACCCCTCGCCCACCGTGCCCTCGTGGAACGCCTGCCGGGGGGGGGGGGGAGGGCGGGTGGAATGGGAGGGGAGCGGGGGGGGGAGGGGGGGTGGGGGTGGATGGATGCTCTTGCCACCGTGGCAAGATGGCAAGGAGAACATGCACGTGCACCCCAGAGCAGAGCAACACTCCTTCGTCCGTGCTCCTGCCATCCTTATCGGTACGTGCCTTGGACATTCCGGCTGAGGGCCATGGCACAAGCATCATGCACACAGGCACAAGCACAGGCACTCTAAGCACACATTCTTGCAGCACAGGCTCGTGCTACCTTTGATGCACCGAAGTCGGCGAGCTTGATGACCCCGTCTCTATCCACGAGCACGTTGCCGCCCTTGATGTCGCGGTGAATGATTTTGCACCCGTGCAGGTACTCCAGCCCCAGCAGCAGCTGCCGCGTGTACACCCGCACCAGTGACTCGCTGAACTTGCCGAATTTCTCCAACATGCTGAGGGGGAGAGAAGAGGAGGGGGGGGGGGGGGCAGGGGAGGGAGAGATGGCTGTTAGACATGCTCTAGGCCGTTGCCGCATGGACACGGGGCCGCAGTGACTGGTACACGCGCACCAGCAACTCGCTCAACTTGCCGAATTTCTCCAGCATGCTGCGAATGAGGCAAAGGAAGGGAGATAAGATAAAATGGAAAGTTGAACAGAATTTAAGCAGCTGCCTTATGCGTTCACGCACCAGCAACACGCTCAACTTGTCGAATTTCTCTACCATGCTGAGCAGCAGCGAGGGCAGAGAAAGAATGGAGTGCCACAGGGTTGAGCGCACAATGAGGAAGGGCAGAAGATGATAGGCCGTTAGGGGTGGCGGCAGTTGGCACATAGAGAACAGTGGCAGAGTTGGAATGGAACCTCATAGCAGCCCTCCCTCACCTGTGCAGCGACCCCCTCATCCTTCTCCATGACGATGTACGCCACGATGTGCCCCACCATGTGCCGGTTCCCCATCTGGCGGTACAGCACTCTCTCCCTCTCACCCCCTCACCCCTTCACCCCCTCCCCCCGTGTGCTCCCGTTCTCTCACCTGTGCAGCGATCCGCCCGACACCAGTTCCAAGAATATATAGATGGATCCATCCGCCTCGTCCTTCTCCATGTCGATGTACCCCACGATGTGGCGGTGCCGCATCTGGCGGTACAGCACGATCTCGCGCTCCAAGGACGCGATCAGCATCGCCTTCTCGTCCCCGGCTGTCGTCATCTTGATCTGCTTCACGGCCATCAGCTCGCCCGTCGTCTCGTTCAGACCCAGGAACACCTGATGAAGGGTGGGTGGGGGAGATGGGCGAATGGTGTGCTTGACAAGGGGAAGAACGTGCATTTGGGGAGCACGGAAGGGGTCTGTGGTCATCTTGACCTGCTTCACGGCCATCAGCTCGCCCGTCGTCTCGTTCAGACCCAGGGACACCTGGTGGGCGGCGGTGTGGACCGTGTGGGTGAGAAAGGGGAGTGAGGTGCATATGGCAGCAGAGGTGCATAAGGGGGGAGACACAAAAGGGGTGTGAGGTCTTTTGGACCTGCTTGCTTCACAGCCATCCGCTCGCCCGTGGTCTCCTTCAGACCCAGGAAGACCTGGGGCACGGCTGGGTGGGTGGGGCATTGAGTGGGCATGGGAAGAACAGTACAAAAGGGTCTGTTCGTCATCGTGATCTGTTAAACCGCCACCACCTCGCCCATAATCTCGTTAAGAAGGGAAGAAAACGGGGGCCAGTGAGACGGGCAAGAGGTGGTGAAAAGCCCACACCACTCTCGCTATCCGCCCTGCCCTCCTTGCTATAAGCTCTCACCTCCCGATGCTCTCACCTTACCATACGCCCCTCCTCACCTTGCCACACGCCCCTCCTCCCCTTGCCACACGCCCCTCCTCACCTTGCCAAAGGCGCCCTCCCCCAGCAGGTCGCCCTTCTTCCACTTGAGCGTGCCCAGTGGCGACGCTGACATCGACACCGACCCCGACGCCGCCAGGGCACGCGCCACACTGGCAGAGGAGGTGGTGGATGAGGAGGAGGAGGTGGAGGAGGTGGTGGTGGAGGAGGAGGAGGGTGCACGGGATGCAGCAGGGGAGGAGGGCGAAGGGGAGGACGAAGGGGACTTGCTCTCACTCTCGTTCCCCTCGCTGCCGCTGCTCGCACTCCCCTCCTCTGCTCGCCCCCCTGCCTTCCCACCCTTCTCCACTTGCTTATTCTTGTGCCCCGTATCACCATCCTGCCTTTTACCCTCATCTCCAGCACTGACTTCTCTAGACTTCTCCTCGCTGCCCTTGCCCCCTGCCTTCCCCCCCCTCTCTCCCTTATCCCCCACTCCAGCCTGCTTCTCTGCACCCTTCTCCTCGGCTCCCTTCTTGGCGCTGTCGGCTTTTCCAGAGAGGGGGGAAGCGGAGGGTGTGGGGGAGTTGGCAGGGGAGCGGGGTGATGAGGTGGCAGGGGAGGCCAGGGGAGACGAGGCCGAGGGGGAGGATGCTGATGGGGAGGAGAGAGACGGGGAAGGGACCGTGGAAGGAGACGGGAAACCAGAATGGGATGGGGGCTTCCCCCGGCTTGCACACCCATCCGCCCCCTCTCCCCCCCCTTTATCCCCTGCTCCTGCCGCCCCTGTGAGCCCCCCTGTCGCTTCACCTGCCCCTTTTGCCCCCCCTGCTGCAGCAGCAACTGCCGCTTTCCTGCGGGGCGACACAGGAGGCCTGGGAGAGAGTCGTCGGTTGCCATACCGCCGCCTCCGCACCCCCCCTCCCTCGCTCCCACTCTCCGTCTCCTCCTTCCCAGAACCCCCGTCGCTCTCCCCCTCACTCTCCGCCCTGTGCCGCCCGTGCTGCCCTGGGGAGCCCTCGTCGCCCCCCGAGGGCAGGGCAAAGGACACCGACTTGCGCACGCGGGGAGGCTGGCGGGCGGCAGTGGCGCCCCCGCTGTTGGCACTTGAGCAGCCGTTGCTCCCGGTGCCACCTGCAGCTGCTGCAGCAGCAGCAGTGGTGGCACTGCTAGTGGTGGAAGCATTGGGGCCATTGCCGTTATTGGAATTTGCATTGGCGTTACTAGCTCTTTCCACACAGCCATTGGCAGCACTGGCATTACGATCAGCACCAGCACCAGCAGCAGCAGCAGAAGCGCCAGCAGCAGCAGCACTGCCTCCCCCCCTGCCCTGTAACGGCGACTGCAGGGGCTTTCTCGCCCCCATTGCCGCCTTCTCCCCATCTGTCAGAATCTCTCCCCGCACTGAAGACGCTCGCCGCCACCCACCGGACGCGTGGTCGGATGGCAGGCGGGCGGACATCGGCGTCTTCACGGACACCTCCGTGTCACTCGTTGACGTCTCACCCCCCCTGTCCCCCCCTCGCTCCCTCTCGCCCGCCCTCTCCCTGCTCTTGTCACTGCCCCCCGCGCCCATGAGCCTCAGATCCCTCACATACTGAGGCTGCCTGGGGTTCACCCTATCCGGCCCGGCCCCCGCCCCCTCCCCTGCGGCATGCCGCATGCCCTCGATGTGCCTCTCCCCCAGGCTGCCCACCCGCAGCAGCGGCCTTGAGTCCACTCCCCTCCGCGTATCTGACTCCGACGCGTACTGTGCGTCCAGCCGGAAAGTCTCCAACCGGGAACCCCTCTCCACCGCATCCGACCCCTCACGCGCAGCCGCCACTTCGTCTGCGCTGCCCCCGCCCGAGTCATTGGACGGAACACTCACACCCACGGCCATGCTCATGCCAACGCCAACGCCCACAGCACCGTCTCGCCTCCCTGTGTGCCCCACTGCTGCCGCCCGCCTGGCCTCAGAGCCCACTCTGCTGGGGCCTGCGCCCTGCGGGCCCAAGGGGATGCCTCCCCTGTGCGACCCGTCCAGGCTCACAGACTGCGACCGCGCATGCCTCCCTGCACGCACGCCCCTCCCCATGCCCGCCCCTCCCCCTCTCCCTCCGCGCCCCCCCCGCCCATCCATAGCTCCTCCTGCTGGCCCCACGCCTCGGCCCCCTATTGAACGGCCCGCAGCGTTTACCGGGCCTGAGCCTCCGGATCGGGTTCGCCGAGCCTGGGAGTTCGGTCCGTCGACATCGGAGTGGCTGTCCGAGCCTCCAGCAGGGGAGGCAGCGCCACTGTTGGGGCCGTGGGTGGGGCTGCTGGCGAGGAGGGGGGAGAGGGAGGAGGAGGAGGGCGAGGGGCGGTGGCTGGAGTCACTGAGAGTGCGATGGTAGCGCAGGTGCGGCTGGGATGCCATGTGCGATGCGCCCCCCGCCTGTGCCTGTGCCTGTGCCTGTGCCTGTGCCTGTGCCTGTGCCTGTGCCTGTGCCTGTGCCTGTGCCTGGGTCTGTGACCGTGCCCCTGCTCCTCCTGCCCCTGCTGCTGCTGCTCCAGCTGCCCCCCCCGCCTGCCCCGTTGCTGCTGCTCCCCCTGGCCCACCTGCATGCCTCACCCCCACGCGTCTCCTGCGCTCTCCACCCCCGTCCGTCTCACTCGAGCTGTCACCCATCTCGCGCCCATCCTCTCTCCCACCGCTCCCCACCCTGCGCACCCCGCCCCTCTCCTGGCCGCTGCTGTGATCCCCCCCTCCCCTGGCAGCAGCAGCAGTGGGGATGTGGGAGACGGGGAAGGTGGGCGAGCTGGTGTCGTCCTCCCTGTCGTGCTCCCACGCCTTCTGAAACAGCTCTTCTTTGCTCTCCAGCCCGTCGCCCCCGCCCCACTCCCCGCCTTCCCTCCCCGCCTCCGTCCCACTGCCGCTGTGCCCCAACCCGCCCAGCTCTCTGTTCCCCACCTCTCTGCCCCCATCGCCCGCATCGAAGCCTGTGCGCGCCCGCAGCTCCGCCAGCCAAGCAGCGCCCCTCTGACTACGCCCTGTCGCCGCCGCAATCGCCTCAAACTCCCCCGCCCTCTCCACCCCATCCTCCTCCTCCCCGCCCAGCCCCAACCCCAACCCCAGCCCTCTCCCCGACCCAGACTGGCCCAACCCATGCGCAAACCCACCAACATCCCCCAAGCCTCCCTCCCGCCCCCCTAGCGAATCCAACCCTCCCAACTCCCCTGAGAGCAAGTCCCCGCCGAAGCCCCCATCCCCATCCGCAAAGACCTCCCTGTTGAACCCCCCGTGCACGCCCACGCCCCTGACAGAGTCCATGGGGCCCCTAGCGGCGTCCATGGGTGCGCCCCCAGGGGAGGCGGAGTCAGGCACGCCGCAGCGCTGGTGGTAGTCGTGCAGCTTGCGGAAGAGCGCGCCGATGCGGTCCGAGGACGTCAGCTGCTGGGGTAGCAGCCCGTCACGGTTGCGTGCATACATGTTGGCGCCCGCCACTAGTAGCAGCTTGATTATGCTCCTGGCAGGGGGGCAGGCAGAAGGGCCAGGGGTGCGGGATTGAGGGGGAGAGGGAGCCGGTGGGAATGAAAATGTGAGTGAGGAAGTGGGCAGGACAGGTTGCTTTCTGCAATAAACACAGGTCAGTCTAACCACCACGTGTCACCGCAGCACCTCGCCCACTTCCCCCATTCGTTCCCCCGTCCCTCCCCTCCCCACACCCCCTCACCCCCCTCCCTCCCATGGTGTCACGGGTACCCCATGTGTCCCACCGCACCTGTGGCCGGTGGCGCAGGCGTAGTGCAGCGCGGAGCAGAGGCGGGCGTCCGTGGCGTTGATGTCGGCGCCGTTGGTCAGCAGCAGCCGCACCGCCTCCTCGCTGCCCGCCTGCACCGCCGACATCAGAGGAGGGGACTGCCCGCCCTGCAGGGATAAAGCGTAGAGAGAGAAAGAGGTAAGGGGGGGGTTGAGTTGAGGGGGCGAAGAGGAGAAGGGGACGTTAATCTCCTTGATACTGTGGATACTGACCACAATATCCATGGACCTGACCACTGAACCTAGCGCCAAGGCATCCAGCAGCGGCACGTGCTCCCCATATTCATGCCCCCCCCAGACTCCCACGCTAGGGCACACGCACGCCTCACCTCTGTGGCGACCTTGCCTCACCTCTGCGGCGGCCTTGCCCCCGTCAGGGTCCGCCCCCCACTCCAGCAGCAGCGCCGCCGCCTCCAGACTGCCCGCCACTATCGCCTCGTGCAGCGCCGTCCTGCCCGTCGCTGCGGGCGCGGGGAAGCGGAGGCGGGGGGGAGGTGGAAGACGGGGGGTGGGGGGAGTGCGGGGGAGAGAGGGGGAGGGGAAACTTGGTTTGGTTGAAGAATGAGAGACGGTTTGTGAGAAGGTGGGCAGAGGGGACGGCTGGGAACACGAGAGAGGGAGTATGAGAAGATCGGGCATAGCAGGGATGACAAGACCGTTGCCATGCAGAGCGGCAGGGCCACCTGGGTGCAGGGCGGTGAGCTCGCGTCACCTGGGTGCAGGGCGGTGAGCTCGCGTCACCTGGGTGCAGGGCGGTGAGCTCGCGTCACCTGGGTGCAGGGCGTTGAGGAGCAGCGTGCGCGACGAGGCCTCCTGCAGCACGCTGTTCACCATACTCGCGTTGTTGGCGTGCGCCGCCTCCACCAGCTTCAGCACCGCCTTCACCTGCATCCCCGCCCCGCCCCCCACACTCATCCCCCCGCCCGCGCCTCCCACTACCCCGCCTCCTCCGCCTACCCCTCCCCCGCCTTCCTCAGCGAACCCCAGCATGCCCGCGCCAGCTCCGCCGAATCCCCCGCCCCTCCCCTGCCTGAGCTCCCCCGCCAACCCTAGCAGCTCCTCTGCGCCCATCCGCCTTCCCCCCCCCCCGCCTCCCCCAATGCCCATGCCATCGTCAATGAAGCCCAGCGCGGACGAGCCTCCGCCAGGGTTCCCCACTAAGTCTGATAGGCTATCCGCTCCGCCCCGCCAGGAGCTGGCGGAAAACGAAGACTGCGGGAAGGGGGGGTGGGGTGAGAAAGCGGAGACCGGATATTTGATGGAGGTTCGAACCCGCCAACGAAAAGCGGAAAACGCGGAGGGTGGCTCGCTGACGTGGCACGAGCAACTACCGGAGTACGAACACGACTAAACGAGAAGCGCTGCTGGTCGTACCGAGTCAGTGGACAGGTCCGCCCACGCGTCCTGGCGCCCCACATGACCGTTGGCAAAGTCGCTCTCCCGGTGACTCAGCACCCTCCGCAATACTCCGTCCCCTCCCCCATCCCCTCCGCCCAACCGCATGCTCCCGCCGTACCTACCGCCACCCACGCTCTCATATCTCCCCGCCAGATCCCTCCCCGTGTCCGCTAGCCGCTCCACATCCATGCTCGGCGACCCTGCACCCAGGTGTCTCCCCCGCATCGCTGCGAACAACGCTTCGCTATCCACGATGCTGCCTCCCATGCTGTTTCCCATGGCGCTGCCCATGGCGCTGCCCATGGCGCTGCCCATGCTGCTGCTGCCTGTCGCATCCAGCGACGCCGCGATCGACGACCGACCTCTGTGGCCGTACGCGTTGGGAGTGGAAGCCGAAGACGGGATCCGCGCGGCCTTCTCGCTCCGCTGCCGCAAAAGGTCCCCTTCCGCGCTGCCCAGCTCTCCGTAGAGCCCCAGCACGCTCCCGCCTACGCCCTGGCTCTCGCCCGCGTCGTGGAAGTTGTGGTAGATTTGAGGCCGCAGGGCGGACGACACGGACAGCGTCCGCCGATGGTTGTTACGGGTGGGTCGATCTCGCGCGATTTCGCCGCCGGAAGAGAGGGCGGGAGACCACGTGGTCTCCTCGAAGTCGAAGTTGTCACCCCCCGCATCTGGCTCGTAGTTACTGTAGCTGTTGTAACCCGCGTCAGCTGGTCTGTAGCTGTTAGATTGGCCCGTGCTGCGGCTACGAGGATAAGAAGGAGCAGCGGTCAATTCCGTGTCCTCCTTAAAGCGCCGAGAGAACGAGTCCGTTCGCTGCATGATTGCAGTGACGGAGTTAAGAAAGGCTAAGCATGCCGCTAAGGATTGATAAGCTTATGACATGATTGCGAACGCGACGAGGCAATGCGACTACCTCGCAACCAAGAAGCACGCTACAAGAAATAATAACTTATGGTACTGTACTTACTATCGCGCAACACAGTAGAGTTTCTCCTGAGCATGAGATGACATAAGTTAGGGTTGTTCGACGAACAGGTAGTATGTTCCGTACAACTGAATTAGGTGGAAGGCAGTAAGGTGGGACAATGATGAGTGAGGAGAGGCAGTTGGATTGGCAGTCGATAATTTCCAGGATGAAGCAGCAGGAAGGACCTCAAGCTAGTGTACTGGCTCTGCCTGCGGCGGGGGGGGGGAAAACCGCGGGGGAAATGGTGATATCCACCAACGAGAAAAGCAAACCCGAGAGTGGGGGGGGCAGCAGAACACAGCTCGCAAAAGTGGTTTGGACTGTGGACTTTTGACCAGTTTCTGGCCGCGAAAGATCAAGTTCGTTGCGTTCAATATAAATCCCTCTACATGCTTGTAAGGAAATTCCTTTTCCTTACTGGGCTCTACTACAGCGCGTACGCCCTCGACTCTCGTAAGTCCAGGCTCGGCCAAAATCTTCGGTCCCGAACCACTTCGTGAACCCAAACCTAGACGCGCGGCGCTTCCGTAGCTTTCGCCAACCGGACCGCCCCAACCTGTTCGCGTGGTTCTCGGCTAGCTCTGTTCGTGTCAATAAATGCCTAGGCCCTCATTTGTATCAACACTCTTGAAGCACGACTCCTTTATTACACTACCTGTTAATCTGATTAATTCATAACAGCTGGTATCAGAGCCCCGTTCCTGCCTACTTAGTCTTCCATAGAGTAGTCCGTTTATATCGGGAGAGGGCCCGACATAATAGAGGGTTGGCCTGCGGTTGGTAGGTGAGCTCGTTAAAGCTCCTCCAACTAGAAGCGTGTGCACCCTCAGATATGTCAGGTAAAATTTCCAGCATGTCTATTACGCCGGAAACCTCTGCTCGTCGTAGTGTTAGGAACGTGACTCAGGAGGAGTTTGACGAATTGCAAGTCAGGGCGGCTACAGTGACGACACTGCAGGCCCAGCTCCAACAACTCGCCGATAAGTTCGAGTCGCTGGGAAGCGAAGTGCAGATGCTGCGCAACGAAAACTCGTCGCTTCACCAGACGCGGGGTGAAACGCGTCAGGGGCGGCCTGTTATCCGAGACGAAGATGCTGCGAGCGAAGCGAGGGCGTCGGCGACACCAGAAGTAGTTGAAGAAGTCCACAGCGAACCGCGGGCGGCCATTAAATCAAACCTCGGATGCCACCGCCGTTCAACCCGACCGACAGAACGACTACAGTGAGCGGTTGGCTGTTCGCCATGTAAATCTTCTTCACAGCAGCAAGTATTAATGACAACCCGTCACGTGTCAACTTGGCTGTGTCGCTGCTGAGGGGACCGGCACTCGACTGATGGCGCATGCATCTAGACGAGGGAGGAGCCCCGGCAGGGAATCAACGGACGGTAGATGGGGAGCACGGTTCATCAACGGCTCAAGCGGAACCGATCTTTGGGTCGGCCACGATCCGCACGTGGAAAGCGTGGGGCGAAGTATTGAAGATCCGATTCGAGCACATATCCATGCACGAAAACGCTCGCACAAGCCTTCGGATGTGGAGACAGTTGGGCTTTGTCCAAGAATACACGGCTTCGTTCTTGGCGCTATGTGATCAAATCGGAGGGCTTAGCGAAGACGATAAGATCGATCGCTACGTAGGTGGTCTCAAGACAGAGATTCAGCAAGAGATCGTTCAGCGAGCCTCGACAACATTCAACGAAATTGTCAGAATCGCGGATGCACTGGACGCAAGGCGTGGACCCGCGAGGGCGGGTTTCCTGGAGGGAAATCGCTTTCGAGGCCAGCCCCAACACACATCAATCAACGGCGTGGACGTGTTTGCAGCCCAGGTATTTTCCTGATGCTGTTTCCACTACAACCAGTCGGGCCACATGGTGAGGGAAAGCCCGCAACTGAAGAAGAACTTAGCTAACGACGAGAAGAAATCGGGAAATGGAGATCGTCAGTAGCAGATGGGCCACGGACTGACTTGACTGCGTCGCCCGAACGCCAACACCCCCACCAAGCTATAGTGCCGATTTAAGATATCGACCATTCTTGACTAAATGAGGGGGGTGAACCAGTTGATCGCCCTGTACTGGTTGAAGGAAGAGTTGGCGACACCCGCATCAAAATATTTGTTGATGGTGGGGCAAGCCACAGTTTGATGGATGTGACAAAGGCGAAGAAACTCCGATTGCAGCTGGAACGCTGCATGCCCAAAATCGACGCGAGGTTGGTTGACGGCACCCCACTGGTGATTCGGGAGCGCGTGCCTCACGTGTGAGTCACCTGTGGCGAAAACTTCAGTTTCACGACGAAGATGCTGGCGACACGTTTGGACGGATGCGACATGCTGCTGGGACGCGATTGGCTGCGCGAATACAACCCGAGCATCGACTGGCGGATGGGCGATTGTCGCACAAAGTGGAGTGGCGAGTGACGACGGCTACCCAAGTGGAGCAGTCAAGAGTCGACAACATCGACGGTCAACACAGTGACTATAAAGCGCGATGATTCGAGGAGCGCAACTGTATGCCGTCCGATGGGTCGCATCAACGGCTGGCGACACGCCGACCGACATCGACAAACTCTGTGCAACTGTCCCGGATGATTTGGCAACAGTGATTCAGAAGCACGCCGATATTTTTCCAGATGACCTACCAGCCGGCTTGCCACCTCAGCGGCCGCATGACCGCAAAATCGAGCTCGAACCTGGCGCGCAGCCTACTGTTCGGACCCAATGGCGCTGACTCAGCCCAAGTTAGATGAACTTCGATGCCAGCTGGACTACCTGCTCGAGAAAGGTTTCGTCCGCCCCAGCACATCACCATTTGCAGCTCCGATCCTGTTCACCCCGAAGAAAGATGGCGGTCTGCGTATGTGTATCGACTACCGAGCCTTGAATCGGGTTACCATCAAGTCTCGCTACCCCATCCTACGTGCTGACGACCTCATCGACCAACTTCACGGGGCTTGGTTTTTCTCGAAGATTGACCTGCGAGGCGGTTACCACCAATTTCGCGTGCACGAAACTGACTGCTACAAGACGTCATTTCGGACACGGTAAGGGAGTTACGGGTACACGGTCATGCCATTCGGCTTAACAAACGCGCCTTCGGCATTCCATTTGACCATGAACGAGATTTTTCGGCCGCTATTGGATAAGTGCGTCATCGTGTACCTCGACGACATCCTCGTCTACAGCACTACCTGGGAGCAGCATTTAACGGATTTGGAAGTCGTTTTCTCTCTCCTGCAGCAAAATCGACTCATCACCAAGGGCTATAAGTGCGAGTTTTTGAAACACGAACTGGAGTTCTTGGGTCACGTGATTTCTATCGACGGTGTTAAAATCGACCCCAAGAAAATCGCGACAATCCAAGACTGGAAGCCGCCGGCTAATCTCTGCGAACTTCAGAGTTTTCAGGGGTTTGTTAATTACGTCCGCCGTTTCATTCCGAACATGGCGGGGGTAACTTCTCCCCTCATGGATCTCCTGAAGAAGGGCACGTATCTTTGGTGGGGGGGAGAGCAACAGGCTGCGTTCGAAAAGCTCAAACTTTTCCCGACTACACCGTCGGTTTTTCGGATTGCAGGCCCTCACCGTCCATTCGAGCTCATCACCAACGCTAGCGATCTGGCCGTTGGCGCACTCCTGTTACAAGACTTCGGCGAAGGCCTACAACCGATCGCCTACGAGTCACGAAAGATGAAACCGGTCGAGCGAAATTATCCTGTCCATGACAAGGATTTACTCGCCATCGTTCACGCTTCCAAAGTCTGGCGCTGCTACCTGACGGGCGCAGACGTAACAATCCGAACAGACCACAAGTTGCTACAGTTCATTTGCGCCCAACCGATACTGAATCCCCGACAGATTCGCTGGCTCGACTACCTCGAGTGCAATTTCCACTACAGAGTCACCTACAAGCGAGGGGTCAGCAACATCGCTGGCGCACTGACCCGCCCCTCGGTCCACACCGTCGCAGTCCTAATTACCCAAGCTAATCCGCTACTTACTGGTCTATTCACCCACGGATACAGTATTGACCCATTCTTCACCACTAACTGTCATCCCCAACTGACGGTCAAGCAAGGGGCCTATTATCTAAAATCCGATTCCAATCGGATTTGGGTTCACGCCTACCGTACCCTATGGGAATTACATGAGGCACATGACTCGAATTTCTCAGGTCACTACGGCCTCGACAAAACCGCAAAATTACAGGGCCGTAATTATTACTTGGCCGACCTACCAACAGACGTGCAGCAGTACGTCACCTCATGCGCCACGTGTCAACGCATGAAGTCTTTTCGACTTCGACCTGCTGGATTACTGCAGCCGCTCGAGCCACTCAGCCGACCCTGGCAACAAGTGACGATGGACTTCATCACTGGCCTGCCAGCTGGTTCAAGCGGTAACGACACGATCCTCGTCGTCGCTGACCGATTGACCAAAATGGCCCATTTCGCCGCCTGCAAGACGGGAATTACTGCCGAGCAGACGGCGAAATTGTTCCTCACGAACATCGTGCGGCTACACGGCATCCCATCGGCAATCATCAGCGATCGTGACCCACGGTTCATGTCCAACTTCTGGACAAAAACATGGCAGCAGTACGACACACGCCTGCATCTGTCCACGGCGTACCACCCGCAATCGGACAGTCACACTGAGCGCACCAACCAGACAATGGAGCAGCTACTTCGCACGACATGCACAGACCCGGCCCAATGGGAAGACGCCCTCCCATTGATCGATTTTGCGTACAAAAATGCCCCATCGGCCATGACTACTCAGTCCCCATTCTTCCTTAATTACGAGAGAGATCCGACAACCCCTCTATCACCACCGATAGAAAATCCGGCACCAAGGTCTCAGCAGTTCATGAAAAATCTCCGACAGTCTCAGCAAAAAGCCGCCGATGCCAACCTAAAAGCCAACCAGAGGGCTAAGCAGCAAGCTGACCGACGACGCCGAGACTTAACACTTGTCCCTGGACAATTGGTCCTGCACGACACCAGGAATTTGGGAACCCCCCTCCCAAATAAATTACGACCAAGATTTTTCGGTCCCTTCCGCATCATTCGCATGGTGACACCAGTCACCGCCCAGCGGCAACTGCCGACCGACTGGCGAATTCATG